GCTATATCTACTGCACAGGAACAGACCATCATGCAGAACACGGGATGCTTCTTAGAAGAGGTGCACTCATCACACATGCTCTCAAATCTGCAGAATCAAGAGATATGTCCGGGATTGACAGGTATTTGGAAATCTTGGACAAACATGCAAAATCCTAGAATTATTAATAGAAAAGTGTTCAATAGGGAAAAGAAGATGCCCATAGAAATCCATGTGTAAAAGGGCCTTGACAATGGGAGTCCTGGCCAACTAAAATCTACAGTTACCAGTCTGTAAGTAGATAAACAGCCTTTAACATCCTAGGGTGGTGAATCACAAAAAAGTTACAGCTATAACCCAGTCTGTTCTTAATATTTACATCTAGAGGTGACGGAAATAATCTTCAGGGCAATTCTTTCTTCTTATTTTCATTTGGATTGTCTATTGCTGTTATTTACTTCTATTATCTAAGGTCTGCAGAACTTGCTGCCTGTACTAGTATCACTGCACTACTGCTGGAGGGACGGAACAGAAGAATATCTGGCAGTAATTGGCTCTCATGACTCCTAATTTAAATGATTTATCATCTAGCTTGCCAAAAAGCCCAATCAATTGAACACCACAAAGTACAATCTTCTTTTTTCTCTGTTAACGTTCTCGCAGGAAAAAAATATTGATATCATTCTCTTAATGCTCACACGAGTCTCAGGACTCTTCATTCCAAAGAGCTTCAGGGATGCCGGCAACGCAGTGTCCTGTTCCCGATTTTCACGCTGCTCTGCAGCCCACTACACCATTAAGAGGCCAGCAAACATGGATCCAAACACCAGTGCATACATACCTAGGAGAAGGTAGGCACTGCAGCGTTCTGTAGAGGAAGACGAGTGGCCAGAGCACCCACCACTCATTCAGAAAAAGACTTAATCGTGAGCGTAACCCTCAGGCATGCAAGTGAAATCAATGAAACTGCTCCTGAAATGAAGTACGTGTGCAGGTGCTTTGCCAAATCAAGGCCTGAGAAAGCTTCAGATACCTTGGCTTTAAAATAGCACGATGCTTCATTTTCCCATGGCTGGTTTTCCTCACCTGTCAGGGATAACCTCTGGGCACTAAATATTTAAGGATCCTGCAGGGGATTTAGAGATTCCTTGCAGAATGCAAAACCAGGAGCAGAGGTGCCAAATCCACTTGGGGAGCAGTAGTAGAACTCAAAGGTTTATCCAAAGGCCTGACAAAAGAACCAATATTATAAAGCTGGGGGTGGGTAAAGAAAGAGGTCACAGTAGAACAGCAGGAAGAAGTAGCTGTATGTTGCCCAATTTGCTTGCCTTTGGAAGGCCACAAGTGCTGACCATGACACTACAGCAAGCAGAATTCATGGAGACTTCTCTGGCACCATCGTTGTTGGGCAGCCCACACCTACGTTTTAAAATTGCTGTGTTTTTGTAAGCTGATGGCAAATTTAATGCCGATTTGAACAGGTACTGGGTCAGGCTAGGGATGGAAAGGCTTTGCCTTTTTACAGTGCTTCAAATTTTGAAGCCCAGGCTGCATTCTTAGCACAGCAGCACACAAAACAGCTGGGCAATGCACAATTGTCCAGTCATTCCAGTATGCCAGGGGGGTTGTCTTCCAAACACAGGGTCACAGCTGAGCCTAATCGAACCAGACAAATGCATTCTCCCAGCTCCCTTTGCAAAATCAGAGAGCTATAATTAAGGCTGCATTAGCATTTCCGTTATAAAGTCCTACTTCTGAAGCTCCCATCATTTGTATTTAAGACATTCCTACCAAGTGGCAACTTGGCACATAGGGATGAAAACTCAGAAAAATCAACTCTTATGCTAAATTCAGTAACAAAGGTCTCACTGATTTAAACTACATAGAATGAGGCCCTGCATTAGCTGCTTATCTGGGGTAGCTAAAATCCCTAGTAGGGCTGAAATACTAATTTTTCTTAACATAATTTTTTACTTATTTTCTGAGCACTTGAATGATATCCCTGGTTTTGCCAAGCAAGCAGAAGGTTTACGGCCTGGCTAATGAGGCTTCCCTACCCAAATCCCAGCAGTCGTGTCTCCTTACTGCAAGATGGATGCACTGCATTGCCTGGAGCTCGAGGTGTGCCTTCAAGTCCCCCAGTATTGACATCAACACCTCTCTGTGCCAAGGTCTATAAAATGCCATACATGCACAGAATCTTAATGACAGGGCCAAGGAGACAGATGACAGTTCTTCAAACATTTCAATAAAGTGCCAACTTTTTTTTATATATATATATACTTTTAATGTGCTGATTTCATTAGAGAGGTGCTTGTCTCCGGCCATGGTGGAGCTCTAGCTTGGCTGAGTGCCTGAGGGTATGTTGACACTGCAGTCAGCACTGCAGTTGCAAGGTGATGCAGAGGTAATGCAAATCCCCTGTAGCCTAAGGAAAGCAGAAGGACATCTCCACCCAACAATTTGGTTCACAAAAAGTTTGCAGGTTCTGCTAAGTTTCATGCTGCAACAGCTACAGGTAGTCACTGCACAAAATTCATGCCCAGGACTTGTGATTGCTTTTTGGAAGCAAGAGCCACAAAAACTTATGTTGCTGTGTAGACTGGAGGTGGAAGGCTCATAAGCCTTTTTACATTACTTTCCTCATGTGGTAGCATTACCAGCACTAAGTACGAGAGGAAATCTCCCGTCAGCTACATGCAAAAATGTTCTATGCTGCTGACAGTCATGCGTCCATGGTCATTTACACAATCTGAGATGGGTTGCCAATCCATTTCTTCAACTCCAAAGTATAGCGATTCAAATCCTGTCTTCAAAAGCACCCCTTACCTGCATTCAGTTTAGAATCTGACCCAAAGTATTACACAACCAATTGCTAGTTGGATTGCTCAGACATCCCGTAGCTGACCCAAAGTAGAAAAATTCCAGATCAAACTATTCTATGCAACATCTTCAGCAGTATGCTTCTCTTCTCTATCACTCCCTTGAAAAGATTGATGAAAACCAAAAATTTCTTAGTGTATTAGCTCAAGCAAGCAAACTGTCATTCTATTAATTTCTCTTACTAATTTCTGCACTATTTCAGGCAGCCTAGAGATTCCTGGAAAGAACAGACACCAAAAGCATTCTCATTTACATTAGTGTGTGCCATAATTAGCTGGAAGGGTCTGCTTTACTGAGGGCCTCTTTAAACCTTGTCCATCTGGTTTCAATCAAATCATCAAAAGAAACAGCAAACATCTCCTTCAGAATAGCTGTTTCTTACTCATTACAATATCCAGTTATGAGTAAATAAATCATCAGACATCTCACTGTCTGTATGTCAAAGACCATCACCTCTGATACCTGGTCTGACCTTGGAACATCACTAAGTAGGGGAGAGCCAAGCCCTCTCTTCTCTACTAAACACAGCCATCAAGCTCTTCCTATTGCATAAAAAGAGCTGCATGGGGATTTTGATTCCAACACATAAAGGAATGATGTCACTCACATTTCTCAATAGGACTTTTCCTGTAGCTTACCATCAGTGTGTGCTAGTTTCTTGTGTACGGAGTGGCAGGCCTGAAGATGTATTGCTGCTTGAGTGTCTAAGTACTAAGGATTTTGCATGCGTGCTTAAAAAACAAATCTAGCCAGAGCAAGTATACATCTCATTACTCACCAAAATGGATATATGCTATATGGCCATAACAACCGAAGGCCAGCATATGTGACATATACCCAAATGTTCACAGGGCACACAGTCTACAGTATTCACTGCAGCCTAAAGGTGAAACATAATTATTAAAAAGTTAGAAATTACTGCAAACTAAACCTGCTAGCAAGCTCAGCACACCAGGAGGCTGCAGGAACACATACTCAACACCTTAAACTATCTTGTGAGGTGCTGAGACAGTAACAAACCTTACTTCTTATTCCTTATACCTGGCCATTTTGTTGTGGCTGCTGATGGTTTCACCTGCGGTCCCATAGTTAAATTACCTCCTAGAGATGTCCAAAACCCAGCACTTTTCCTGTACCACTTGTTGGTCCCAGGTTCCAACCCCTTCCACGCATGCTGGTGTCCTCTCTTTGAAGGGGAAAATTGCTGCCGGTCTGACTTTCTGGGTTTCCCAACCACATGAACTGAGCAGACCCCTGTAAGAAAAGTTTTCAAAGGAACTAGACTAATAAAGTTATGGGTAACCTCCATCAAGGTGTAGCAAAATTTCAAATATTCTTTATTTACCTGAAAGCCGTAAGAAAAAGACTCAGAACTGCATCCTATTTAACCACTCACTTCTCCTGGTATGTCTCAGTAGATTACACACAGTACCTCCTCCACAGCATTTTCCTCTGGCTGAGGCCCAAGCATTTTCTCCCTATCGAGTTTGGTGTCTTGAGCCTGTTCAATACCTTTAATTCTGTGCTCTGGCCTTGAAGAAAAATTTCCAGTTAGCTAAAGCCACGTGGGTCAGCATTCCTCAGACTTAGGGCATCTGTAATATTTGACTCCTTTTAAAAAAATTAGGACATTTCAGAGATACCTTGTTTCTGTCTCATCTCTGAAACTATTTTCTTTCATATAGTTTCGTTGGCCTAACACTCCTCTTAGATGCAACTCCATGGTGTAAAACACAGTATGAAGAAGGTAAGCTATATAAACGAAGTAGTACACATTTCACTCTCCTTGGTTTTCTGTGGTCATTGTGCACTCTCTCGTAGCAAAAAACCTGATCATTACAACCTAAGAACTTCTATTATATCATGGTATTAGTCTATTTTAAAGCTGTAAGAAATGCAGCGGTAATTATTTTTTGAGCTTTTAAAAAACTTAGTGAAACCCAAACTGATGTTATTAATTATGTTACTGCCTCTCCACAGTTTCAAATTCTTTGCTTTCCATTTTCCAGGTATCTTATTAAAATGAATTGTGCATGTTATTGTGGTTATGTAACTTTTCTAAAAAAATCCAATGTAAGCTGATTTCCAACAGCTGACACAAAATGCTGACATAATTCAAACACTCTCATTAAAGAAGAAACAGTATAAAAATCACTTTTTATTAGTTTTCAAATACAAACCAAGAATTTCTGCATTTGCTTATCCAATGCAAATGATCTCCTCTGTGGTCAGTCCCAGCATTAACTCTTACAGATATTTTACAGCATCATAACGGATTATGTTCAAGCACTGCCACACAGTAAAATCAGTTTTTGAGAGTTAAAGAAGAATGAAACAGAACCAGTGACAAGACCCAACATTGTTCGACATGCCCTGCAGAGTACCCCAGAGAACACAGCGACTCCGCCGCCTTACGCTCACTCATGAGTTGTACCCATTCTATAGATTTTATCTTTTTGCACTTAGCCCTCCTAAGCAAATTACCTTTCTTGACTCAAACATTCACAGTGCTACACAGCTATTCCCACACACCCAGCCATCGGTGGTAACTCTGGTTAGACTGTGGTGCTCCTGCTCATGTCAGATACTAGCTTTCTGCACCAGTGTGCAGAGACATTCCTCTACCTAACAGCAGCCCACGGCCTCGTGCCAGACCCAGGCTGAAGTGCAAGAACTAATGAACCAAGCTTTCTGCAAACAACCTAACTGTAGGCCAGGATCCCCTGCCAGCCCAGTCCTCCTCCTCCTCAGCTCATCCAAGTGCCTTCTGCTAGTTAACTAACACTTAATGTCAACGGAGTAACAGACAATAGAGCAATCAGAGCTAGAATTTTCCCTTTTACATATGTAACAACAAAAACCTCCCGGTGCATTTAAGAACAGATGTAAATATAAAGTAACCTGCAGAGTAGTATACTAAATAGTAGATACCATGATAAAAGCATAGAGAAAAAACTACTTCACTTTTAAAGTCCAAGCTCTAAGTCAGATTGTCAGATGCAACAACAGATGAAAACACAGTAAACAGAACCACAGGTAGGCCAATTATCTGCTTTAAATGTTATCTCTGCATCACAGTGCAAGTTGGGCTCTAAGTTTCTATACAGTAAGTACATTATATGAAGAACCTTTGTTGCACAATTAGCCAGACACAGCATGAATGCCGGTTGCTGCTTTGTGATGCCAGCCAAACTGGACATTAAGCTCCAGACTAATACTTTTTTTTGCTGTTGTTCTGGTGAGTTGTTTTTTTTTTGTTGTTTGGGTTTAGGTTTTTTTTTTTTTGTCTTTTTTTTTAAAGCACTTCTGATTATGAAGATTTATGATCTAAGCTTCAAATAAAAATCTAAGATTTAATTTTTTTTCTAGAAGCACTGTAAATCCCAATTAACAAAAACAAATGCAACAGACAAACTCAGCCCTTGAGTAAGGCTGCATTTTTAATACACTACTTCTACCTGCAGTAGAAGCTGAAAAAGCAACTTGTAAAATTATGAAGTGACTATCAACCCAATGGGTTTCAATGCATAATGAGGCCAATCAGCACTTCTCCACAAGATGCTTTGTTTTGGTCCTTACAAGACTGTCTCTAACAACTAGCATGCTGGTGGTTGGTTAAAAATGAAGCTACTGTAATTAGACTGCCAAAGACATCTATGTTTTAGTCAGCATAAAACCCTGGCTCCCTTTGTCTAGAACATCCAAGATTTTAATTCACAAATCTTGATGGGTGTGATTCAGTAATAGTATGTAATTTTATCATCAGTGTTTCTGTACAATCTGCTAGAAGGCCTGGTATACATTCATATGTGTCTTTTTAATTTTACAATTACTTAATTTCAGCATTGAAAGATTCCTCTAACAGCAGTTCTAAAATCCCACTTTGTTCCAATGCTTATGTAAAATATAGTTGCACCAGTTCCACTTCTGGAAACCAATTTAGTTTTGCTTAACTCACTGCCTTGTATCACCATTATCTTCATCTTCTACTACAGGTTAGAACGAGTCAGCCAGGGAAATTCCTGGAAGCAAAAAAACCCAAACAAACAGAATAAAAAAACCATATAATGGACAAACAGTAAGAGGAAGATGATACAAATATGTATTAACTACCAGATGGAATCCACAGGAAATAAAGATTGCTGAAAAACATTTTATCTCATTTTGTTAGGAATAAAAAGGAACAATCATAAATTCTGGAAACAGTTGCTAAAGTCACTAACCATTAATAATAGCCAACAGGAAAAAAAAAAAAAAAAAAAAAACAAAACAACCAGAAAAACAAAACCCAAACTACAAAACCAAATCAAAAACCAAGCAAAGCAGATGGCACACTATAAAAGCACCCATTCTCCTATCTTCAAAATCTAAAGACATTTTTTCTGCCTTGCAACTATCTCTGCCTTTTCTACAGTTTAAGTGATACTTCCAGAGGATTTCAGACACTTGCCAAATGAAGCTTGCAGGAAAAGAAAGGAAAACACCTACATACCTGCTCCTTTCTCTCAGACTGTGGATCAATCATTACATTTATAAGAGAAGGTGTTTGCTTGTCAGTCAGGCTTGCTTTCAGAGCATTCTGCAATTCTTCTGGCGTTTTAACAAAGTATCCTTTACCTCCAAAGGCAGACATAATTTCCTCATAGTGTGAATTTGGCAGGAGGGAAACAGGAGGTACACTGTAACGAAATGGAAACCCTCTGATTAATGGCAGGGAAGAATTGCCAGACTGACCAACTTAATTACTTCAGCACTGATTTTGAAGTGTAAGCTGATTATTGTTCTGGCCTGATGAATGCTCCTGGGCTGGAAGCACTATGTTTCCTATACCACTTAAGCGATCTTTATAGGGTGGTATACTCAGTTTCATCTTCTGGAGACATTCCTGAGCAAAGTTTTAGCTTGCTTCTCTTGGTCCAGAGATCTCAGATCCAGCAGCAGAAGCCCAGTGCAAACTCAGAACACAAGTCTCAGGTAAATTTGGAGTTCATCATCATTTTGGACGTAAGCCCACTGTGAACTCTGTATTGTGTGGCCTGAATTGCTGCAGGAACCTGAGACAACTAATAGACAGTTGCTCTGCACTTGTTTTTGGTAACTGGTTCTTACTTATACAAACTTAGCCTAGGACTAAATACACTGTATGAAAAATTTCAATCACAAATCATTAAAAGTAAAGAGAATGACCATTTTGGTCACTTCTTCCTTAACTAACAGGACATACTTTGAAGATGCTCACCATGTAGCAGGATCTCCAAACTTTAACATCTCCTTCCAGGCATCTGCATCCAAACCAGTGTAAATGCCATTGTTGTTTACTACGATAATCAGGATTGGCAAATTGTATCTACAAAAAAGATGCATTTGGAAGAATTCTGAAATACTTGCACCTTTCTGTGAGATGTTAAAAGTGTTACTTACCCTTAAAAGGAAACTAAAAAAAAAAAAAAAAAAAAAATCACTTCCACCTGAAACATGACCCACTCATCACTGGTAACACATTATATCACAACAGGATAAAGACAACCATATATATTTTTTTTTGGTTTGTTTTCATATACTTTTAAGAGTACCCCCAGAGCAGTGTCCTTGGCTTTCTAGTTAAATTGGTCCTGGCAACATATGAAGAGGGTCTTCTTGAGCAAAAGACAGTTACCTGCAAATAGTTTCCACCTCCATCCCAGAAAATCCAAAAGCACTATCACCTTCTATGCAGATAACTCGCTTTTCAGGTGTTCGGTCTTTAGCTACCACTGCAGCTGCTATAGCAAAACCCAGTCCAACTCCCATCGTTCCAAAAGTACCTGCATCAAGCCTAAAGGGGAGAATACAGAATTACTATCCCGTTATTCCTACTCAAATTTTTAAATTAATCCATGGTGACCTCTCTTCACTTCTAATAATTTGCCATATACTAGTCAAATACTGTTTCTTAAACAGTTCGTATAAAGTGATACTAGATGTATAGATTAACATATTCAGTCAAACATTTTGTAAGACTGCAAATGTTTTAAGTGATATAAACATACTGGAATTACAATTCCAGTTGTACTACAATAAAGACCTATTCTGGTATGCTTTGAGCTTGCATAGTAACAATATTTTCAAAAACATTCAATTACTGTACGGATAAGCAGACTACATGAAATCTTTCTATATTTAATTTCTTGAAAATATAACTAGAACTCTGAAAGCCATCGGTTAAATACTGCTGTTCAAATTTTAGTCTTCTGTTCAACTTTTGAAATCAAATTGAAAGCTGTAATTAAGTTAGATCATTTCAGTCAGAAGCACATAATGGAAACAAAAGTACATAAAGAACTAGATTATCCTAGGGTTAACTTTTCAAATTTGCTTTCAGATATGCACAATGCAATCTGAAGAGACAACCATTAACATTATCATGCCCTTATTTTAAATAGGGGGGGAGGGGGGAAATGCAAACTCTTCTTTCAACTTTACTGGAAGTGTTTTTTTGTTGGTTGGCTGGTTGATTTTTGGTTGCAAAGTATTTAGGTTCATTTAGGACAAGAAGGCACCAGCTTCACTGTCAGATCAGAAGTTTCACCTCACCAGACAGAACCCACTTTTCCCCCTCATTCAAGAAACAGCACTTAATTCCTAGTTACATTAAAACTAGACTACACATTATGATTAAAGTGACATACCAACACTTCCAAATTTGAGTGCCTACATTTTAGACATGCAGGTTTACATGAAAGTGTGCCCAATATATAATGCAATTTTCAAAATGAGTTCATTCTTCTTAAAATTTTCCCTGATTTTAAGTGTGTTTCAGAGAAAAACTCTCCGTATTAATTCTTTTCAACATAAGAATCCCAGCAGTTGTTTGTATTTTAAATCAATATTTACTACAGACTCTGAGCACAGAAATAAACATTTAGATCAGGGAGTTCAACACGATGCTCCTCACTCACTTTTCACAAAAGCACGAGAAACTATCACCATTCTGTTGCAGAGCACACAGACAAGTCACAGAGAACTGCTAAATTCTGTAACAGGGCATCAGTACATGTGCAGGAAAACTTCCCTTAACCCCTCTCCCAACATGCTAAACTTTTATTTTTTTTATTTAGAACCTTTAAAAAGGATTACAAGAATTCTGGACCATCATATTTCTCAGCTAAATTAAAACATTTATACAGAGATCTAGCCTGTTAAGTCAGCACAACAAAGAAAATACCACACCTTTGACGAGGGTAGTAATTTGGAAGCATAGTTCGTCCAATGTCCATGGTGTTTGCTCCCTCACTTACTAAGATGCAGTCTTTGGGTATCAGCTCTCTGATGTGATGAAAGACTGTGTAATAATTCATAGGCAGGGATTTCTGTAATGCTAATCCCTTAAAAAGAGGAGATATTAGTAACTCCTATGGGTAGAATTTATAATAAGGTGCAGAACTGAAACATTTAAAAATGATGGAAACAATAATGCACTCTGCTAGGTAAGGCTGAAGTATCTGATCTTCCATGCACTACATCAAGGTCACTCCTATATCCATCCTGGTGACAATGTGTTTATCAGAGGTTTGCTCAGCTCAGCAACCCTTGGATGGCCTGTCATAGACAGGAAGTTATTAAAACTCAGTTTAACCTGAGAGGCATGTGAAATTTTTCTGCCCATCATTCTGACCACTGATAACCCTAAGCGAGCTGTCATCTGTGTGCTGGGAGGTGGTTCAAAAGAGGGATCTGCTAGAATGAATTTATTTTAGATCCCAATCTCAGAAACTAGCATCTGAGCTTGCAGAATACGAGTTGCATAAATATGCCAAGCATCTGTGGTCTTTTGGCCGTAACAGCTACTTGCTTTTAACAGTCCACCAGCATTGCTAAAGAGCTAAACAGCACAGTTACAGGAGAAAAATAAGAATTCATCTCCACTAGCTTCCACGTGGAACACCTGTCCATTGCTTAGAAGTCACTGCTCATAACACTGCAGCTCTGGCTGTGGTCTGCTATGACTGGCTTTAAGAACCCAGTCCCAAAGTTCAATGACTTCCACACAGTTTGAACTGACACAAAACCTAGAATACTTAAGTATTAAGACTTAACTTACATTTCATAAGCCTGACAAGAGTAAGCCACTACCAGAATGGTACAAATTTTCAAAATCTGTGACGTGATTGTCAGAAGTAATTGAGGAGCTTGGATACAGACCAGTGACAAAACTGACCATACATTGATACCTGTTAAGGTGAGAAACCTCTTCTTCAATATAAAACTACCTTTGATCTTTCCTCATTGTGAATTATTTTCTTTCTTAGCTTCTTCCACCACTCTGAATTAGAAGGATATTTCAATGGTCTTTTGCTGATTTCTTCTAAGAGCTGGAACAACATTGAAATGTTGCAGATATTTCTTTCAACGTATTTAAAAAAAACCACCATGACCATTAAGAACAGTTATGAAGAAAAATCCCAGCACAGTCACAGTAACACTAATCAGAATCTTTAAGATTTAATCTGGGAATAGACTGGATTCACAGCATGAATACATTGCCTGAAAAACAGTTCTCCTTGAACAGTTTGTATTTTTTTATTTTTTTTTTTTTTTTTTTTTAACTGGTAACTTCTTTATATGATCAGAGGAAATTAAGGTCAAAACAGGAGGACACCTGACATTACGTTACCTGCTTAGTCACGGTGCTTATGTCACCTAATAAAACTGCAGCTGGCCTCACGTTATTCCCCAGCTCTTCTGCACAAATATCGACCTATATTTCAATTGGAAAAAAAAAAAAAAAAAAAAGAGACCAACATTAACTCAAAGATATTAAAGAGATTTCTTTTCCAGTTCAAGTAAGGAACACTGTTTAACAATGTCTTCATACTTTATTTTAGCTGTACAGATAACTTCCTCTGCCTTTCATTGAAATGACATCAGGAGATCCTTTATTCAAAGTAAAATCCTGTAGGACATACCCATTTTAATAAAAGTTCATACATATCCTTAAAATTGATGCTTCTTTCAAGATCTTGCAGACAATACAGAACTTTATTAGAATATTAAGGTGGTGGTGATTTTAGTGATAATTATACAAGAGCCCAAAATCAAGACTTGGGTATACCCTTAAAGTCTATACAAAGCAGTAATTTTCTTACTGAGAAAAGTTTGGGTATGCTACTTAGCAGTAAGAATTTGGCTAGTATGAAGAAATTGAAAAGTAAATTGCAACCACTGAATAAACTTGCCCAGTTTCTTTACTAGTGATGTACAAAGCCTCTAAGGTTACATGGAATACTAACTTATGACCAGGCCACACAGAATACAAACAGAATTAGTATTTTAATACTAACCCTTTACAGTGAAAAAAAAAATTACTTTGTCAGATGAAAAAATATTTTTCTCCACATCCTTTAGAAAAAGGAAACATAAAAGATTATTATTTCATAAATCAAAAGGAATTTTAGCTTAAAAAAAATCATGCTATTCCTTTGGAAAAGATGCAAAATTTGGAACCTGTGATTATGTTCCAGACCACTGAAGGCAGGCCAGTCAGCACACTGAATCAACTTCTACTCTTTGATCACAGACTCCAAGGGAGGAGATTGTAAGGGCATAAAGAATTTAATGACTTGCCTTTCTAAGAGCTGGCAGATTGTCAAATACATTGATTAGTTAAATAGCCTTTCTTCCTCTTATTAACATTTCTGAGTGACTGAGCTCTTGTGATTGACTCTGGATCTGAAAGCAATTCTATTTAAAAAAAAAAATCCAGCTGAGAACCATCAAACAAGGTTTCACAATTTCAAGACAATTTGCTTTCAATCACGGAAATTCCAGTGCTCCAAAGATCACACAAGTATCATGAGTCTAATCCGGTATTAGTCAACTACACAGAATTGTCTGTCCAGCACCAAGTCCCTGATAGCTGAAACAATGTTGTAACCATTTTTAGAAAAAATAAGGAAGTAAAAAAAAAAATTAAAGAAACGGAAAGTATTTCTGAAGAACTACCATAACAATATGCACTTTACTGCACTGTTCATAGGGCAGTATTTGCCACATGAAGTACACTACCAAAATAATTTACAGTAATTGCTCTAGGCAATGCTAGAGCACAGAGGACTTCCTTCAAGTGATGGTAATTTTCCTGTTTACCTGAATGACCTTTACATCTTCTCGAAACCTTGGTGGAAGACCAAAATGCAAAATCCAATTCAACCTTGCACCAAGCAGGACGATTACATCAGCATGCTGTAATGCCCTAATAAAGAGAAATAAAAGAATCAGATAAGGAGGAATTATTAATTAAATTTAATAGTGTTTTCAAAGTTAGAAGTAATCCTAACCACCACATCAAACCCCAGAATATACATACAATCCTTCCCTCATCTAAGCTGCTTGCTTAGCCCCCAAACCCTCTATCCTTTTACACAGCCAATCATCAAGCCATTCTTGAGTTTAGGAACTCAAGAAGAAAATTAATTACTATTTCCCTAATACGCTGTGTTTGGGAAAGGAATCATCACACTATGAGACTAACAAGATGCTATAATGATGCTGACGTTGAAGCAAAAGACTCACTACTCTGACACTGGCAACAGTGGGTGCCAAGATTAAGATTGCTGTAAACATCTTAGTTTAGACTCCTGTGTATTCACCTTTCAGGTGTGTAGACAATATTTGGTATATTCTTTTATTCTCCATTTTTCTTAACAGCATGCTTAATAGTGATAAATCTAAGATGCTCAACAACAGACAATATTTTAATCTCAAAGTATATAAATGCTCCCTCTGCAAGCTGACTCTGCATATTCATACCTAGTAGAATTCTTATAGTCCATTCACATTAATTTTGCCAAAAGCAGAAAAAAGCTCTTGTAAATTACTTAAAACGTAGTCCTCCAGCACGTTTGAAATGCACTTTATTAAAAAAAAAAAAAAAAGGAAGGTAATTTAGTGATGGTGTATTGCAAACACCATGCTGAGACAGCAGATAACAGAACTTCAATTGTAATGTGTGCATCTCAGGCTTCTGCTTATGGTGTTAAAATAAAAACCTAGTAGTTTGTCTAGTGCATTAAGTTAAATGATTAACAAACTGTTTGCCAGTTTCATTTTATGTTATGAAATACATACTAACAACACTGATACATCTACTTGCCATAGGTTTCATAGTTACTGAATATTAGCTCTCAGATAAGGTATCTTCCTGGTCAGTATTCTAAGCATTGTTAAAAGTGAGCCACCTAAATCTGTTGTCTCTTTCCAAGCAAGATCTTCAGCGCTCTAAAATGAGGTGCAAAATGTGGCTGAAAAAATGTTCTTGTATGCATTTTGTCTTTCCTGGTATCTGTAGACCACCACAATTCCTAGTTGTTTCTCAGATGTTAGGATTAGAAGCCTTGCTTTATAATATTTACGTTGATCTTGCTGCAGCTACACAATTTGGATGGTTATCAGGAACTACTCCTTTTGCCATTGGTGTAGGCAAAAAAGGCAGTCCACAAAGGTCCACCAACTTTCTGACGTTGTTTTCAGCATGTGAATAAGCAGCACCTGAATAAAATGAAAGAGACTGCTTATTACTACAGAAACCTACCATATTTGCTTAAACTTCAATTCACTTGGTGACATTAGTGGCAGAAAGAATACTATTTCCCATTATGAAAGCTGCCTATTACTTTTCACTCTAGAGAACTCAAACCGTAACAACAAACTACAGATATTTGTGTTCAAATCTCCTATATTTTTGACAAAAGCTTTTTTTTTTTTTTAAGACTTCAGCTCAACTATTTAGCTATTTCTGTGAAGCAGGGCAGGGAGACAGAGATTTTGTTTAACTAAAATGACAATTTTGAGTGGGGGAAGTTTGGTCTTATGGGGCAGAGACTTCTGCAGCAGCAACAGATGACGACTTTTGTGTTGCACCATGCCATGTTTTGCTTGCCCTCTGCATGCAGCTGTACCACATGCTGCATAACAATCTGCCCAAACAGGTCTACTATAAGCCTTTAATGAAAAACAGAGAAGCTCAAAGATGACCTTGTAAAGATGTCTTTGTGCATACATTTACTGTGATGCTACCTTTGGTACATGGCTGCTGAATTAAGGCTGCCCAGGCCATCTAGAACAATTGACTGGTCCTTGTGCAGTGACTTAAGCCCATGAGTCTTAAATCCTGGAGAATAAACTTCTGTATTTCTTCCAAAAATGCTGCTAACAAGATATATCAGGAAGTCCAGACACACTTGGTAAGTAGAGACTCAACTGTTGACATTAACAAAACACATATTGATGTATTTTTGAATTTTCTACCTTTCACTTTCTAAGAACACTCTTTTGTTCATGTGTATCAAGCCACAGAGAAAAAAAATCCCTCTGCTGATTTACCTTCTGTCTACTATTTCATTACCTAATCAGTGATAAGATCCATCTCATCTCAAGCCTGATTAAACACAGAACCTCCCTCCATGACACAGATCATTCCCACATCTGCAGGAAACCAGCCTGGGTTAAACATATCAGTTATTTCATTTTTGCTCCTAACAGGCCTGCATCTTCAGCAGAAATGCCACCGCAGTGACTAACATTCCACAAGGATGGAAAAAATAAGTGAGCCAGCACAGACAATAATTATCCTCTACCTTTAGGGACAACTCTATTTCAGGAATGAAACACAACATCAGAATATAATGGAAAGTCTGTAAAACAGCAATAACAGCAACACCCACTGTGTTGCTTCATGTCTCCACACTGGAAGTGCCAGCCTACCTGTATGTCCAAATGAAAAAATGATCTTTGGTTATTCTGATTCTTGCTATATACACCAGAGCATCAGACAGAATATCACTTCCGTATTCTAACGGAATTTGTTTGGAATTTTGGAAGTGATCCCTTGGTATTGGCTCTAGCCTTAATTGAATGGTTACCCAAATTTTTTCTTCTTAAACGTGTATTTTATCAATTGACTTTTCCTAAACTCGATGAAAAAGACAACAGTTACACGACAGAATAAAAACACTCTGAAAACAGAGCGGATTTTAACATCAAATTTCAAACAAGTTCATTTGTGTTTTTTGTTTGCTTGTTTTAATTGAGAGTGAAAAGGAGATGGCTAACACTTATGGGGAAAAGAAATCATTTTGGTCATTGTTCCTGCCCAGCTCAAAGCTACATCAAAGCATGCTACCTTTGCCAATGATCAGCAGAGGCTGCTTGGAATGAGCAATGATAGACACTGCTTCAGATACAGCAGAGCATTCAGCCATGCTGACGGGAGGTGGCAGGCAGCATTCCACATACCTGGAAGTCAAGCAAAACAAGAGAGGCTCTTAAAAAAACATTCAAAGCAAGAAACATTGAAAGATAAAACCTATTGTTTAGCATAAAACTGCAGTCACTATATGCTGCGTTACAGCATTTATCAAAACAGGATATATTTTTTTAAAACAGGCTTTGAGGTTTTTCTTGCATGTTTCTTTAATCTTATAGGTAGTGTTGCTCCCGAGATTTACAAAGTGACATCACTGCTTTACCATCATATTAATTCATTCCTTTTTGCACATTTCATTACAAACTATAATCCATATCACATGTTATCACGGAACGTTACATTTAGAGGCTGGATTTTTAGTATCATTTCCACCTCATGGCAAATTATTTAGTCTATTGCTCTTATTTATCTTTTCTTGTTTTAAGAAAAGAATATAGAAAAATAACTTAAAACAACAATTTCTGTTATTCAGTGACTTGAAAAATAATGAACGTAATTTTTACGCACTTGACAGAGCTCTTATTCACCTGAAGAGTTACAAAATCACCAGGTATGTCAATATAGCAGGAACCTGGACGACCATATATGCTGGTTCTTACAGCCTAGAAAACAGATAATCACAGTTTTAACGACTGTTTGAAAGGATTTTAAAAATCTTTATGTGTAAAAACCAAGAAAGTCCTTCTGTAGGCAGAGAAGAAACAGGGTGTTTCGTATTGCTGAACCGCCACAGGGCAAACTCCCATGGACTGGATTTATACCAGTAAGTCTTGATAACTATTTACATTTTCCCCTATATGTCAGCTGAAGCCTTTCAGTAGACACACAGCATTAGACTGTAAATTATTTAATTTACAATGAGACAAGTGCATTATCTGTTGTGTTTGGAAATCCTAAACTAAATAGAATTCATCATGAAAAGTTTAAAGTAGCACAAACAGAGTAAAACCAAGGCAACCAGTGACTCCATTTTCTATTACTTTTGATTCTCCTTCTTCTATTACAGGTAGATGATGTGCTGAATTTGCACTTCTGGAAACAGTATCATTGTATGCAAAATTTGGGCTGATATAGCTGAAGTGTTGCTACAACAGTAGCAAGAGACTTTTGTAGCCTTTTTCGAGGCATTGAGATAAGGATGTGTTTTCTCTCACTCTCTCCAAAAAACCCATCAAACCAAGAAACTCAAACCCCAAATACAACCATCTCCACTGCCCCAACTCCATATCTCCTTCACATAATGAGTGGTAAAAGAGCTGAAGTTTGTAATATTACATTTCTAGTTATTGCACCCTAAAAGCATTTATTTCATAAAAATTTTCCAGCTCTGACTGAAGCCAACATAGAACACTGCAAGGACCAGTAAGCACCAGATTGAACCAGAATCTATTTGTAACCTCTTCCATACCACTGTTCATAGGAAAAACCTCCCTGGTTGTTAATTTACTCGATCGACCATCAACTAACATCTGCAGGATCAAACCATGTACAGTAACAACTATACAAAAAATAAACCCTCAGAACTTATACAGGAGGAGACAGTTATCTGATGTTCTGTTGCTAATTTAGTATCTTTTCATACCTTTTCAATAACAGCAGGAATAACTTCTAGGCTGCTTGGGCGGACAGACAGTTTGTTGTACAGCCTACCAGCTTCAACCTAAATAAATGCATATAACCATTATACTGATTCACCAAAGTGATTTGTTCATTTCCATCTCATTTCAACATGGATAAATGGAAAAAAATGACAAATGGAAAGCAACAAGCTGAGAACTTTCACATAGTAAAATGCAGTTCCTCAGCTGGTGGAAACTGTCAAAGCCAAGCACTCAGAGAAACAAGTATTCCCCCCCCCGAAAGTGGTGGCTGCTTTTCTTGGAAAGTTTATTTTGCTTTCTTCCATCTCAGAACAGACAGACAAAGGCAATTTATACCAGCTGAGAACCTAAAACAGAGTATGAATTCTAACACGAGTATGGGACAAAGACATTCCCGCTAACCTGCTGTATGTACACAACGTCAATTTTAAACCAGCAGATGGAGCAAATCAACAGCATTATAAGATCTGTTAGGAAATGTTAGTGCTTGGAATTGTTATTCCTAGACTAATGAAGAAACAACAGCAATTATTTAACTGAAACTTTTCTGTAGGAAGTTGTATGTCTGCATACCTGTGGGAATTCCTGGAAAGCTCCCATGGTTTCCTGATTTCTGTCAGAAGAGCCTCCAATAACAATCAAAGGCCTAGAAAAGTATATATTAAAAAAACAAAAAATAAAAAAAATATATATATATGTAAAACCAACCCTAAGCACACATCTATTTTTTTATAACTGCAATCACATCTGTAAGCTCTCTTTACAGTCCAATCCTACTGGTCTTGGGACGTTGTGAACCTTCAGCATCCTCACATCTCAACAGGAACAGAAAGTGACCAGCACAATGCAGGAGTGGATTCTAAAGATCAGCTTCTCAGAGGGCAGACTTCCTAGCAGCTTTTAAGTCGCTAGTTTTAGGACAGTCTGGCCGTATTAAGTGATCTGCATCTAGCATAAAAATTCCAAAGCCAAGTCATATTGCTAGCAATTTTCATTCAAGCTTGATAACATGGGTGACAAGGTGGTTTGAGAGGAATGACAACAGCTCATCTAAAAATCTAAAAGGTATCGATTGATCTAAAAAGTAACAAGAAGTTTGTTTATAAGAGGCATTGTCACATGCACAAAGACTAGAACTAGGAAACTGTAGGAAACAATCTTTTCAGAAAGATTAGATTTTCTTTGTATGCAACTTGGAACACAGCAGGAGTTAGCTGACTATCCAACAGCACTTCTCCCTGCATCCAGTTTTTAGTAAAAAAAAATAACCCAAAGACCAAAGAGATAACAAAAAGTTAACATGCCTACAAGAAGTCCTGTTCTTAAATTAGTTCATGTCTATGTGAGAAAGGCAACACTAATTTACAATATGAGCTATACATTCTACAGAACACATTTTTATTATAATTTCCATGAAATACAGTAAGTTATTTTCCTACAGTGAATGAAAACTGGTCTTTGATTCAGTTTGTAGGTGAAACTCCTTAAAATTCTAAATGCTGAGTCAATAAAAAAAGGCCGTTTTATTAATCTGCTCATTCATCCACACAAAATTGAAATACTGGGTCAATAGCTTTCTAGGCTTTTCCTCCTAAACAATTTCTCTTCAGCTATAGATTTCCCTTGACTGCATTTATCTATACAATCCATTAAGCTGCAACAATTACAGTGTGCTCAATGCATAAGCCTGAATTTTATCACCCATCAGATTTGTATCTAGACTTGCATCTAGATCCAAGCTTCATAACCAGGCGATTTCTCTGCCACAAATAATAATAAAAAAAAAAATACCCTCAGTTCTAATCCCCTGACATGGTCAGATGAGAACTTCAGGCTGTATCTTACCCCTGTGAAAAATCCTTGTGAAAAAAGTGCATTTGGTGTATCTTCTAGATATTTTATTCTGCTGATTCTCTCTTCTCAGCAAAATGACTATCTATTTATAACCAGTCTGTTTCACAGTGATAAACTCTATGTTCCTTTCACTTACCCTTTCCAAATTAATTTATATGTTTTAATAAACAAAATAACTACTACTTCCCAATGCCGAAATACAATTAAGAAAATGCTGTACTATTAAGAAAGCCAACTTTAATGGCTATATCTTGAAAATATCTGGTTCCGCTTTTAAAGTTTACATAATTGTAACCAGAAATAGGTTCTTCTCCCAATGAAATCATCGTACTACTGTCACAATATGGTAGACATTTTAAAGAGCAGTACTTATAAATTAAGTCAAAACCAACAGTGAGGCAGGAATAACAATCACTATAATGAAACTAATAAGAATAACAAGCCTTATGGACTTGCAGAACAACTTTGGTAAATTTAAAAAAAAAATTTCAGCTGCAATTTCAGGTAAAGAGAATGGTATTTCACCATGCTACCATATAGTGAAATCTTACCAACCATCACAAACTATTCTTTGGAGTCCATTCTCATAGCCAACTTCAGATACAAAAAGTTTCACTCAGAATGAGGCAGGAGAGAAGATGACAGCACAGTAGGTAATTTTTAACATGAAATATCAAAAGGTTTCACCCCTGGAAATGCAGTTTACCAGGGACTTGTTAGCTACCTAGTTGGCTAGATTACTATGTCCAAGAGCTCACTGTGACAAGCTTTCAGGGCAAACCAAAGGCTCTTCTACTCAGCCAACTTCTGCTCCAGCAATAAAATCTAAAAGCACAATTGGTAGCAAACTGTGCTATCACGCTGCTTGACTTTCAGCTGATAGAGAAAAGGTTTCTTTCACCTGGAAGTGACAAACTGAGTAGAGTCAGTAGAATGGGTCTCTAGGCTCAAGGAAGACAACTCAGACTGAGCTTTAATGACTATCACTTAGTCCGAGTTATTTAAAGTCAGAAGCAGTAGGGTCAGTTCAACTATTAGCTTACTCCTATGAGAAACGAGCCACAGCTCAGTCACTGAAGCACAGTAACAATGCCAGATGTAATGCCATGGAATTGCACAACACCTGGGAGATACCGATGAGGGATAATCTTGACCTAAAATCAGTCTCTTCACACCACCTCCTTGCAGAGTATGGTACAGAGCAGGAGACTTAACACCTTGTTGCTACAGAAAGGGGAAGGTGTCTCCAAGTTCTGCTCCCAGCTGCACAATCCACTCCCTCCCTCAGCTATGTACTCCATGCTCGCCTGACCGCAGAGTGAGCCGATTTAGATTGCTTACCTAACATTACATTATTTACTTATTTTTGCAGGGCTGGCTTTTTGAATAATGAACTGAATGTGACTGTTGGGGCAGACAAGTCCCAGAGCTGTCAAGAGGGCGAGCAGCAGGAGCACATGGCCAGGAGAAAGGTGTGGAAGTGAGATGGGCCTATGTCCCTTTCCACGGCAGACTGTATTAGATTGGGGTAACCAAACCCCTCAATGTGCATCATATTTTCACCTCCTTTCCTTTGCCTGCACTACTCCTGCTCTTCCCCTGCAACACTCCTTTTCCATAGTGGCTGCCCAAGTATTCAGGCTGCTGTCTAGTGAAACAGGCTAGAAAGTGTTTAGTTAACAGAAAAATCCCTAGTCTTTCTCTTCAAAGCATACACCCTTTCTTGTAACAGTAACGCCAGCCAAAAGAAAATGTGAAAGCATGTTTGGGATTCTCAGACACTCAATGGAGGTGTCAAAGAAAATTAGTTTCATTAGGCTAAATTTAAGATTTGCAAACGCTTACTTCTCTCCTTTTGGCACATGGCAGACAAAAGGCAAGTCTGATATCACCAATGAAAAAAATCATTGGGCAAACACTGTGATTTGGCCAGTGAAAACCAATCTTCTTACTACACTGTCAAATCTTCTGCCAAACTGGATAAGTCACTCCCTTTACCTTTTGCCAGGAGTACAGGTTTACACAAGATCAAGTCAGGTAAACAGATCTTATCTCAGACAAATATAAGCTTGTGAGAGAATAGTAATGTCTCCTGTAAATCCACAAGTGAGTACCATGACTAATTCTTTCTTATAACCAAATTCATAACTGTTCAAAAGGAAGGTGATCTTTCTTTTTAATCTAAGGTCACACAGGGGCAGCAAAACTTTAGTCAGTAACTCATTTTAAAAAAAAGGATTTAAACACTTGAGGTCTCTCTTCAAAGTGTCATAGACTCAATTTGTTAGCATTCCCATTATTGAGCTTCCCTTGCCCATCACCCACCGTTGATCTAATCCTCCAGATCACATGTGCTTGGCATTACCAGAGCTTCTGCCCAAAATACCTCATACACCTTTCTGAACAGCTTTCAGTGGCAGACCAGCTAAAGTTGTCATGTCTCAGGGAAGGTTTGTGGGACTAAACACTATCTCTCTGTACATAATTATATTCAGTGCTTAATTATGGTTTTAAACATCTGCACAGGAAGCAAATACAGATCTTAACAATGCAGCTGTGAATCTGTTCAAATATGAAATACCATAATTCAAGGGCAATGTGGATTTAAATTTAGTAAAAACCTCTAAGACTCCTTATGATCAATAAAGCATTACAGGCTGAGTATCAACTTAATTTTCAAATGTACCCATACAATCAGGTATACTGACGGATTTTCCAATACATGCATAATGGGGTAGGACAAAAAGCAGACTTTTCTCCATGAGAATATAAAAAAATGGAACTAAGATACTTTTAGGGTTGATAAAGGAAGAATTCCCTTCTCATTACCCACAAGAACGAAAAAAGTCCTATACTAAATACCATGGAGCTCAACATCTGCAACAAGTAACAGCAAACAATTATTAGAATTTTAAAGGGAACACATAGTTAAATTACCAGCAGTTCATGGTTGCATTTGCCATCCCACCAAGGGCGTGTAAAAAGCCTGGACCGGACACTACAAGACATACTCCTGGTCTAGAGGTGGGGGGAGAGAAAAAAAAAAAACAAAAAAAACAAACAAAAAAAAAAAAAAAAAAACCAAAAACAACCATAAGTACCAAATAAAATTAGTAAGATGCTGAAATATAAATCATTAAAAGTTTTACTCATATCATCAAAATGCGTGAATGGCAAGGGATTTGTATGAAGGACTAAAGATAGATGTAGGCATCTGAAATCATTTAGCTGCTTCAACCCAACTGAAAAAGCAAGTGAACAGCTGTTAGGTGCCACCCACACAGAGGTCTGCAACATATGCAGGCTCATCATAACACAGCTCCTTGCTTATTTTATTGCATTTACTCCATCATCTAGCTTTTATATGGAATTTGGTAAGCCACTTATCTGCAGTTTTCTCAACTCCACTTCAGCACTAGATATCAAATGAAGAAAGCTCACAAAGAAGTGTATCTGATTCAACACAAATTTTATTATAGTTTAATGCAGCCAGAGGCACTTGTTATTCCAGGTAATGAGATAAAAATGACAATTCTCAACTACTGAGCATTCATAACTCTTTACATAGCAGAAAAAACCCAGCTTACTTCCAGAGAATTATTCACAGGAAGAAAAATGACAAAACTGTATAACATGGGTGTCAATCTTGCAGACAGAACAAGGAATGATCACCTGCATTGCTGGGTCTGCAACTGTGAGCAAGCAGACACCAGATGTTTACTTTAGAAAAGGATCCATGGGATACCCAAGAAGCACACTTCAAGCCACAGGCCACAGAGTGCTTCCCAACAACATTAAGAGAAAAAACACAGTAGAAAAGAGGAAAAGCCAGTACTTTGTGTCAGGACTGGAAGGCATATGATCAGTCTCTGTATTGATAAGGGATTTGTTGAGTAATACACCCAGATGATGAGATTAAGCTATAGTGGGTTCAAGCTGCAACAATCAATGGTGGTATGATTTCTGCCCCTCTTACCAATGGTGCTACACTCAGAAATTAAAAGAGGAAAAAATAAAAAAGTTGTAAAATGGACAATATCATATGATCTTAAGCATCTCCTTGTTCCTGCCCTGAATCATAGCAATAGAAATACTGATAACTGTTACTGACAGTTATTTTAAAATTCATGTTCCATTTTAACTGCCCCACACCTGCACACACTAAAAACACCCAGCTCCAAAACAGAAAAACATTCCTAGCTTCTAACTGTTGAGTGCAATATAGTTATAATATTATAAAATAAATATGGAATGTACCTGCCAGTCAAATATCCAACAGCAGATGCAGCATAACAGGCCTATTGAAAACATTGGAGTTAATTATACAGTTATTATTATATATACATTTCATGATATCTTACAAGCAACCTTCAACAAAAAAATACTGAAAATAAGCAGGTACAGATTTTGCCCTGATTGTTAGAACTTAAATCTAAGTAGAAGTACCTCTCCACCATCCCTATTATAAGGTGTGTTCATGAACACTTATCTGAAAAATCTCAAAACTCGTCTCCACATTTCAGGCTTCTGTCATTCCAGGACATTACATTAGGAACATTTGTTGTTTTAAAAATGAAAAAAAAAACCCAAAAAAACCCAAAAAACAAAAAACAACATAAAAGAAAGCCCCCATAAACAGGGAAGCAAAAGAAACAGAACAGCATAAGAAACTTCTGCCTTCTGGATTAACATGGAAGAGGAATTTACAAGAGCAAGGCAACAAACAGAAATCCAGCCACCACGAGAATGATTCATCATATTTCAGAAGTTAAGCAGAAGGCTGAAATCACGAGCTGAAGAGATTCGTTAGAAGATTAGGGACTGCCTTTTACAAGCTGAGCTGCTGAAGTATTTCTCACTCCACTTCTGGTATTGCACTTGGCTTTAGCTACTTTGATATTTTAAAGGAAAACTTCATTTTGGGTAATTTTCACAAAAGGAATGCCTACAACATACGTTAACATAGCTTAGCAGCAGTATTACTATGGACTATGTTTTTATGCTATTCCTGTAGTAACATTAAACATTCAGATATAAAGTCCACCTGGTAACAAGACAGTCTAATCAAGTAGAAACAGAAGCTTATGGGTGACCTGAGAACTCCCAAGGATTCACATATGTGACATTGCCCACTCCCTCTCTCACATTCTCATGTTTTTGTCTTGAATTCAGCAAGTTCTAACACTTAATGGAAAAAAGTAATTTTGCATTTTTTTTTTTTTTTTTTTTTTAAGCAAGCTCCTGGCCTTATAGGTTGCCTCTTTCATTTTGAAATAGAGTTGGGATTTTGTTTAGCTTTATTTGAGTGGTATTGTGGTAAGAAGAATAAGTAACATTATTTAGTAGCTCCTTCTACAAGTTTACAAAGCTACTAAACATATTCCTCAAACCTATGAATAATTCTAGGTAACACAGCTTGTTAGCAATGTCAGCTTAAATGAGTGAAAACACAGACTTGTAAGCTTTTACACAGAAGGAGAAACTGTCTTTAATATCCTCATGCTTATACAGACACAGATCAACTGTTTTGAGAAAAACTTGGGGCTTAGAGGAATAATAAGCAGCCCTTATCTTCTTTGAAGCATTAGGATAGAGAATTCTTGACAAAAAAGTACATTAACAAGAAAAATCTCTTTCTACTTTTCCTAAGCCTCTGACGTGAAGAAGAAAAATGTTGCTAATATTCAAGAATTAGATAACAATTTGATGATATACCTGTGTGCAAAAGCTTAGAAATATTTGGAGTAGGTGTTACTAAAAATCTTCTTAATGGAGCTCAAAGCACGGTGTTGAGTTTCCATAGCAATAATTTTTTAGAACCGAGTGGCAAAATAAAGCAGCACATAAAATTTAGGTTCATGTACAGTCATTGCCATTCAAACTTTTAGTGCTCCATTCTGCAACGAAGCAACATGACTAAATCTACCTGTATTTAGAGGAAACCAGTAATTCTGAAGGTACACTTAAGATTATTTTTGTGTGTGTGAACAGTACGGACAAAAATCCATTTTACCTATGAACCTTGCACCACCCTCTCACCCCACCAAAATATGAATAAATGGCACTCGTATTATCTGTTAAGATTACATCACAGATCCTTATTTTCCTCGGACAGGCAATAAGGATGTAGGCAAATAAAATGACAATGATCACCAAACCCACAATCAACAGTAGGAAGCAATGTAGGAGGTCCCGATGCAGGCACCGAACTCTGCGATCGCCCATGAGCGCTGGGTTTGAACTGTACCCAAAGCAGAGGCCTGTTGCTCCCATACAAGTAGAAGCACACTAGGCAGGGCTTAATTAAATTAGTCTGTTTTCAACTAAAACAAAAGGAAACTAATACAATGTAGCTAGTAAACAATGGTTAAGCATTTTTGTACCCAGTGGCCCAGTGAAAACAGTACTGCCGTGCCTAGGAGCAGGCCTGAAGCCCTTATGTTAATCGTATCTAATGTTAAATGTTCCTACAGGGCTTGTGAGCAACTGGGTATGAGAACTTGCTGTATGAACCTGAGCTTGGTACACGATGTCTCTTGTTATGACATACAACCTAAGTGTGGGCCTTGAAAACATTGACACAGGTTTAAAGCAGCAGTCCCGGCACGGGAAGCAACTTGCTGATGATCAGTTACTGGCCACTGAAGAAGTGCCACTCTGAGAGCTGGGAAGACTGACACTCCTTTTGCTTTAGGCTAAGCGAGGGAGAACAAAACAAACCAAACCAACCAACCCAGAATAAAAAACAACCAACAGATGTGCAACAGGATAAGGCACCTGTTTTGGCCTGGGAAAGCAACACCCACCCAGCACCACACAGTCCAGGCACGGAGGCCAATGGGTAAGATCTATTCAGAACATCTTATAAAAAGAGATCTTTAAGAGGTGGAGAAAAAAGATGTCCACTTTGGTTCCAGCTGCCTTCATTGAAGGGTTCTTGAGTCTGATTCCCTTGACAGCTAGCACCATTCGTGCTAACTACAGTGTACCAGCTCCAGCATATTATGTACTCGTGACTAACTTAGGATATGATTATCAAGAAGAGATCGCTTTGGATATGTAGTGATAATTATTATTAAAGATTAAGAACGAAACATTAACAACATGTATTGTTAATGAATATCTGGTAAAGGGTGTTCTAGAAGTTTAAAACTGACCTGGGTTATCTGTCTTCTAAACAATCACAGCAATCTCTAATTACCCAGGGACAGATACACAAAACACATGCCCCTATCAAGTTGCAACATAACTATGCAGTGTTCAAGGGGCATACGGGACACAGGTTAAACTGCTTCTAGCAAACATGCCACGTTACAGGCCACAGAACATTATATTATGGGTACTGGTAGTACTACTTAGCTTTTAACTTCATGCTTTAACTTCATCTTTCTAGTCAAACCGTTTACTCTGCAGTTTTACGGGCTTTGGCTATGTCTAGCCCAGAAATGAGGCAGAAACTCAATCCCTGGAAAAGACCTTTGTTTTCCATGTATCTCAGATCATATATAGCTGCCTTCACCAATAAAGGAAGCAGCTGTATACACATCCTCCGCAGACAGACCACACAACTGATGGACAATTAAAACCATGACATCTGTACATATTAAGTGTATCTTGAATATACTGTGTATAACCATTTACCCTCTCCTCTGCCAAGCAATTACTCTACATCTTCACTGAGAACAAAGAACAAAACAAAACCCACCACAAAATATATCTTTGGTCATCATTTTCCTTTCCTCAAAGAAGAGAAACCCTGATATTTTGATGTAAAAACAAGTCTCCATGTTATCGTTATTCCCTAAAGCAAAAGTACCTCACCATACACAGCAGAATGCTTCTTGTATTCTTCAATCTAACAGAAAAGCGCCTAGTAAAGAGTGGTAAATAGGACAGCATCTCATTTGGCAGTGCGAAGCAATCTTCCCTGTTAACTACAGACAGATGAGGAAATTAAATTCAATCATGTTAATAACCAAGGCTAAAACTAGAATACTTGCTAAATAGCCTACAGGAATATAAAGACTGTGTTGAATTCCCAGTCCTTCAAAGGAGTCAAACATACCTTTTAAACATATCTGCATAGGTTTGCCTCTCTCACATGTTACAGGTTTTCCAGACACATGAATTCCTCTATAAATTCTCACATTCCAGTATAAAGATGTAAGGATTAGACAGCAAAACACACAACCTGTGACCACACGATTTAAGAGAACTACTATTTTAATACTTTATTGATGTCTGGGATGATCTGTGGAGGCTGTGAACTACATGGTGGAAAACAGGAAAGGAACACTGCTGCAAAATACAGGTAGCTGAATACTGTGCAGGTCCAGAACATTAAAAGGAGTTCCTTGGAAAAGTGGTAAAATTCTAATTAATAGTGTTCACAAAGAGACAGGATCCATAAACAAGTTAAAACACAAGAAAAATCTCCTGAAAAGATAATAATAAAACTATTTGTTTATTTGTTGGCATCAGCTACGGAAAATTGACAAATGATGTAGAGCAAGTCTAGCAGAGTATGGAAAGCTGATGGTCCATTTGCTAGCAGTCCAATATTGAATCAGCTTGTGCAGCAATCCTTGAAAATGAGGTATAAACCTGAGGTTACTCTATTCAGCCCCAGACCACCTAAGAAACTACTGAATGCTTGAAGAGTTACTGCTGGGGAAAAACAAACTAATCAAGAACTGGTGGCATAACGTCAAAATGCTAATGAGTTGGAATCTAATTTCTGGTACCCGGACAATGAAGCTGAAATATAAACAATTAAGAGTGTCTAAGTGTATGCTCATGCTTGACTTTGAGCATTCAGACACATTATAACTTTCTGTGGTTTGATGTTTGGTGAGCTTTTAAAACACAGTTAAGGAAAAAGAAAGATACTACAAATACTGCAAGTAGTCAGGAAAAGTTTATCAGCAGGAAAACTTTCCTCTTTGGGCACTGCAAGAACAGAACAGAGACAAAAATCTGCATTTTTAGGCCTGTAGGTAATAAATCCCAAGTAAAACATCCTTCTAAATAAAAAGGAAAAATAGTAGCTAAAAAAGCTCTAAAAAAGGAATGAAAATACCATCAATTAGAGAACTACAATATTGTCCTAATTTGGAAGGGAGGACATCAGCAAAAGAAAATGACAGTAGAAAAATGTAAGGGAGAAGTATCTTGGAAAATCTGTAGAAAGCTATAGAAAAACAAAAAACCTGGATGAACCTCCTCAAAAAGTGGCAGATAAAATCTGACAATGTATTACTCGAAGGAGACAAAATTGATTATTTTTTCTTTCTGCAGTAAAATGCTTTGTTCAAATTCTTTTTCTCTATTTTCATCCTATCTTCTCTTCCTTACTGGAGAAAGGCATCTAAAAATGAAAAAAAAGTTGCAATTCCCTTATGAGAAAAGGAGGGAGCACTTAAAAATGAAAGGGGGAGAAAGAAACGCCCAACTCAATCCACCAATGCTCTCCCTTATTCTAGAATGACAGTAACTACTTCTCCAGAGGTTCCTTAAAGGAACGTTCAGAGACTACATTCTTCTTGGTAAGAAAAGGTAAATTAGATTATCCATTGTAAAAGAGTTAAAGCAAAGAACTGGTCCCACTATCGATGTATACTTACGGCTTGTTCATTTCTCATTCCTATGTATTTTATTCCAACTGCTTGGGCCGCAATTGCAATTTCAGTGACTGGAATACCAACAATGCCAAACATGTATTCAATATTCTAGAAAGAAAAACGTTAAAAGAAACCTGAATTGTTTTCAAAACATAGCTTTAATAAACGTGTGAACCACAATCATGCTAACTATATAGGCAGTCTAAAAGTAAATTGCAACAACATATATATATTTACATAAAAGTTCACAGGCCACTGCTGGAATGTATACAACAGCAGCTGGCATTTGCTGCTCAGTCCTCTGTAGCTGTTCCACTGCTTGTAGGCCTCCAAAATCCAGTGCTTCCACATCTGTCCAGCCCAGCTTCTCGGTCAATGTATGTTTAGCTTTTTTAACTGACCACTTCTTACTTGGGACATCTCTGCTACATCATCTTCCTGTTTCTCAGTATGTCAACTTTACCTCTTCTGAAAATTCCTCACATTGTTACATATTTTTACGCTTTCAGAGAATTAGCCAAAAAAGGCCCCAAGAAACAATCGGGATGGTAGCACGCCTAAGAAACTTAAAGATGAAAAAACTATGCTTTCTTTTATTGCAACTGAACTACCTTTTCGTGTACCACAGACCAAACAGAAAGCCCTCCTGTTAAGATCGGTACCAGTTCAGCACCGTTTCCAGTTTAGAAACGACACAGACTTGCGGCGACTGAAGAGGGGGAGCTGCCGCGGGCAGCGCCTGGTGCCACCGGAGGCACGGGGTGAGCTGGGGAAGGGGCGCGCCCGTACCGAGCGGAGGCCCGGGAAGGCTCTCCGGGCTCCCCGCCTCACGCCGCCCCCGGGGGCCGGGCCGGGCCGCCCCCGGGCGGGGCCCCCTCGCTGCGGCGGCACCTCCCTCCGTCCCGCCAGGCCCCCCGCGCCGGGAGAGCGGCAGCAACGCCCGGGGTGAGTCCGGCCGCAGCGCACTCGCTTCTCGCGGACACCCGTGGCCCAGCCGCCCCCCGAGGCCGGCGGGAACTGTCCCTGCTCGCTCGCCGTAGAGGAAGCGGCTCTCCGGTTCTCGTCCCGTCCCGCCTCCGCTCCCCCGCGCTCTTACTTGAGCCTTGAGGGCCTCGGCGACGAGCTGGGCGCCGCTGGCGGCGGCCATCGCGTCTCCGCGGCCCGGCCGCCCACCGAGGATGCGCACGGCGCAGGACCCGCGGCCGAAGGTCGGGAGCCACTGACTGGCACTCCGCCCGGCCAATGAGGCAGCGGGAGGGGCGGGCCCGAGGGCAGCGGATGCCCTGCCCCCCCCCCCCCCCCCCCTTTGACCCCTCTGGCAGGCGGCGGCAGGGGAAGCCTCCTATTGGCTAGGGCGGGCAGCCAATCGGAGGTCGGGAGGTGCCTGCCGCCCCTACGCACCGCCGGCCCGTGGCGGTGCCGAGCGCGGAGCGGCCGCCAGGGGGCGGGGGCGGCCCGGCCGGCCCGGCCCGGCGCGTGGCGTGGCGTGGAGGTGCAGCGTGAGGCTCGCGGCGCGTGGGGGCGGCGGTTGGGGACGCTGCGGGCATCGCTCCGCGCCTCGGTAGGCCTGGCCCGGGCTCCGCTAAGGCCGCGCTTGGCGTGTGGCGGCGCGACCTCGAAGGCCTGTGGGAGCCGCCGTGCCGTAACGCTCCAGCTTCGTGAAGCTGGTCAGAGATCGCTCAGGCGGAGCGGGGCGAAGCGCGGGGTTGGTTTAGGTGAAGACAGCCGGCACCGGGGGTTCATGGGGAGGAGCGGGAGCGTAGTGCGAGGTGCTTTCCCCAAATCCTCGCGGGAGGATGGTCGCGCACCTTTTTACCTGGCTCTGCGCATCCCGGCCACGCCACGCTGGCGCCTGTGTGAGGAGTGAGACAGCGTGTTGTGCCCTGCTCGGTGACATGGTTGGGCTGAGACAGTAAGTTCTCAAAGCCAAACCACTAATAACACGAGCATTCAGTTCATCCTCGCTCTGTCAGTAACTTAGATAACGTAGATCGTTCAATTAGTGAGGTAAAGGATATTTCAGGAACCCCGTGAAATCTATAAAACATTTTGTAAAACACTACCTTGGAATGGGTAACATTCTTTAAAAATACATTGTGCCTCTAGATAAAAACCAGGAAACTAGAGCGAAGTTATGTGCGTTGCACACAGAATAAACATTTTTCAGGATAAAGGAAGCACAGGATACCTGTTGCAGTGGCGCCATGATTGCATTGCTAAAAAAAACTTCATAAAAACCTCTATAGTAAAGTACTGTATTAAAACATAGTACAGCATATAAAAGCAGTAGACAGGAGGGATCAACTGAAAAAAGTTGAGTTTGCCAATATTTTTACATCTATGTAAGGGCTGTTGTGTTACATATTCTATATATTAGAGCGGCAACAACATCACAGTTCATAGATATCGCTCAGTGTAAAAAATAATTATTTTTTCATAGCAAATATAATATTTTGTCTACTAATTATTACTGTTTATGTTACCATAGCTTAACAGGCATTTGCTCTTAATCACTTCAGAGGACCCAGACTAGTCCTGTGCTACTTCTCTTTTTATAGTCTGTTGGATTCTCCCAAGTATAAAGGCACTTGAGAAGCGGGTATGGGTTGCCTATCTATGTGTGGTGAGAGTTGACAAACTTCTAAGTTTCCAAAGTAGTTGAAAAGTGAGTGACCAGATGCTTTTCTTCACAATGTACTGAGGTGTTTCTGAAAAACTGAACGGGAAAAGAGTCTGCACTGTGACTGAGAGAAAAACCTGTCTGAATCGGCATCCCAACTTAACCACTGGTCTTTTTACCTTTTGCTTAGAACTATAACTAGAATACTGTGACTGTGTGACAGTAATACTGCCATGAAGTACTTATATTTGGGTGAAATGATCCTATTGAAGCGTATCTGCCAGGCAAAAAGACTACGTAAATCACAGAAAAGGGACAGAAAAAGAGATTAGATCATAAAGCATTTCAGTTCATGAAAATTTAAAGTCATGGCTCAGGTGAAGTGCCAGCCCTCTAGACCCTAAACAAATTAACTTCTCTTCTAGTAAAGGATTTATTAGATGGTATAGCATTTTCCGTTAGGGAAAAAAACAGAGCTTGGCTGAGACTTATTTGTAGTCTCAACAGCCTAAGGGCTTAGTAAACCCTGATAGTATCCTTAATTTGGCTGGAAGGTTTACTATCCCCAAGCCCAGCCTTGGGGCTTGTCGCAGCTCTCCTTGCTGGAAGCAAGACATGCGATAGCAGCGATAGCAGCGTTCTGTTGTTTCAGCTGTCAAATAGGGGAAAGGCGTTAGGGAGCATGCACGGAAGTGCTCAGCCATCGTCTGTAGGACTAGAAGTAGTCACAACCAAGGGTGAGGACAGTTTTAGTTATTAAATTACTTTAGTTGGCCCTGGTTCGACCGGATGGGATTGTGTAGTTGGATGTTCAGTGCTAAACTTTTTGTGCATCTAAACGAGGAAGGGATTCGGGTTAGTACTTGAGTGTTTCTTACCACCAGAAGATAAGCTGTGGCAGAAAAATGAGAATTCTCCAACCATGTGTGTATAATAAAACATTTTGTAGAAGCCCATTACCTGTTAATTTTTTATGTTACTGTGTTTGGCTTAGAAGGCAAAAAAGGCTGTTTTTCTAATGCATAGCAATCCTCTCCTGTGATCTGAAACTCTCCAACTTTTTCCATCACTAGTAATGATAAATTCTAATTACATCTTAGTTGACAACTTTAGTGACGAACAGCTGACTAGAACCAAGTCCTGTCCTAAATAGGCGTTTTGGCTCTGAAGGGATGACAGAAATAGAAAAGATAGTTTTGTCAGTGAAGTGCAATGCAGTATGTTTATTCTCAGGGGCTTCCTTAACTGTGAGAGGCCTCCCACCTCTCCTCTCCCTCCCCCTGCTCCTGCTTTATATCTTCACGTGTACCTTGGTGTTTCATTTGCAAAGCTGAGCTGCACAGGACAAAGTGGGATCCCCTGTTCTTGATACGTGTTGTCAAATCACACCCCACACCCCCCAGTACCAAATATTTTCCTCAAGATGGAGAATAGCAAGGGTAGTTTATTGTACGTCACTTCTCAAAACTGTTTATATAAATGGAGTATCTTTAATACAGCTGCTTACAGAGATGCCAAAGCTTTATTCTGGTTTTATTGTGCTGTAGGTATCTTAAATTTACCCTTGAAGGCATGTATATATGGACACATTGGCAAATTAAAGCTCAGGAAGGTGTGCAGTTGAGCTTAGCAGCATTAATAGCTAAGCTACTCCTGGACCCTTACAAGTGTTATTGCATATTAAAGGTCCTTGGTTGAGCAAACAAATTTTCTGCCTGTCTTGTGCACTACGGTTATGATTCACAGTCCTACACGAGACTGTGTTGCTGGCAAACCAGTGTTGCAAATAGTGTGTAGAGCTCATGGAAGCAAACAAGTGGCTTAAATTAAGATACTACTTACTAAATGCTTTTTGACTAGCTTTCCTCACACTTAGATTTGTTCATTGTTAGATACTAAACCAGTTGGTGTTTAGACAAAAAAAGCAGTGTTGAGGATTGCTTATTAGCTCCTTTTGATTCTGGAATTTAAGAAAAGTGATATTTTAAGTTCACTTGCCGTAGGCTTTCTTTTTTAGGTACAAAACTGCATTTAATGTAACAAGAATAAAAATGGGATTAGTTTAAAGTTGATTTCTTTTTTTTCCTGCTGAACTCCTAATGGGAACTAGAGAAGCCTGTTCATGCACGTGTCTTTCAGGCTGTATTTGCTTTGGAAAAATTCAGGGAGTTGTGGATCACAAAGACTAAAAAGCACTGAGTGTTTTGGAACATTTTTTTTCTTGGATAAGTGTTACCAAAGAGCAAATACAATCTGAAAGTCAGTAACTAAACTTGAAGACTGTGGGCTATCAATATACATTTTAAGTGCACCCCTCCTGCGTGTTCTTTCAACTTCACTGGTATTCAAGATTTAGTTCCTTAGTGATGCTAGTAACATTGTGGTGACAAATATGGAATTCTGAAATTGTGAGAATAATTCTGAATAACAAGGCATTTCTACAGTAGTTGTTAAGCATTGCACAGCCATTGATCGTGTCAGTCTTTGTTCTGGGTAAGTTGTTTTCCCAACTTGAGAAGTCAAAAGGCTACGTGGGGAACTCATATTGAAGGGAGTGCCCCAACCTTCCAGACTAATTCATCATTTCTTTCTAAGAAAAGCTCAGTAATGCAAATTTTCTGCATTTTTTATGGATTTTTGCTGTATTGTTAGTACTGTTATTAAAACGAAAGCATTTTTAGCCTTGCCTATCTGCATTATATAGGAGGAATGCATATCTGAATTGAGCTCAGCATTTTTATAAGTGCTGAAAAAAGCTGCAGTGTGAGACAAATTAGTCTGTTAAATTACATATTTGGAGTTGGGATAGAGTTAATCCATAATCCATCAGGAGAGGCATTTTCTTGATAGAAAGATAGATAAATTCAGAAGTAGTGTCTAGCGTATTTCTTTTGGCAATTCTCTGTATTGATAAAGCACTATTTCTTCTTGACTACTGAGTATAGTGTCTAAGTAATTTTAGGGAGGACTACTTTTAAATACATCCCCCATCACCAAGTAGGGAGGGAGAAACTGCAAATTAGTGAGCTGCTTTTGAATCTTCCCAAAGATGTTTTGATACGTGGTGCGATAATCTATAGGTGAATGCTGAAGTTAGTTGTAAAGGGAGACTAAGCAAGAAGATCAGTAGAACTATATATGAAGCTAAAATGCTTTTAAACAGGACACAGTTCTTTAAAGCACCAATGTAGTTAGATATAAGGTTTAGAAACAATATGCACGTGGTCATTCAAGAGTTTAAAACCAACACACTCTGTTCAAATACTGCTAATCAGTTACAGTCCATATTTAATTGTACATTTAAATTCCTGGCATGAGTTGTTGCTCAAGCTCTCCCCACCCCACCTGGGATTTTTTGCTCTAGATTTATGGCATACACCATGGTGGATCTGCGCTGGAAGCTGTTCGTCTGCTTTTTTTGCTATCAAGTTGTCTCAGGAAGAGTTAAGAAGGAGGGGCATTATGTTGCTGCCGTGTACGAACACGAGTCCATACTGAGTCCTGACCCAACAGCACTGGTTGATCGACAGTCTGCGCTGGAACTCATGGGCAAAAACCTAGACATCTATGAACAGCAAGTAGTGGCTGCTGCAAGACAGGTATGCTGCGGCTTAGTAGCAGTCGCGTGTGTCCCACGTATATATAGAGTAAGTGCTATTTGAAGATAATCTTTCCCATTTGTGTTCCCAGGCAACTAAAGCTGTATTTATCCACATTACTATGGTCTGGTTTTTCAGACATTCCGCCCTGTCAGAGGCCTGAAAAAAATCAGACCAATTAACAGCTCGCCTGACTTGAGTTATTCCATGATTGGAAAAACACGCCTGTAGTTATTTGGTATAGGGAAATTAATTTTCTATTTTGGCCTGAATACCTAGCTCCTTTCTGTTTTCTTAAATGGAATGTTTTTATTGAAAGATTGTCTTACAGACAGCTGTCTTTGGGTTTGATTTTATTCCAGTGCTCTCAGTGGAAATTCCTGAATGTTTCTAAAAACGTAAGGAAATTAAATACTTTGGAAAGAAATGTTCCACCATTAACAACTTTGTGGAAGTAAAGTTTTCCATTCTTTCCTCCTGCCCTCCATGGAACGGTTTGCAGTCTAAATATATTTAGAGGAGAGAGGCTAGTATTTCTGGCTGTTCTTATGCACAGCGTCCTTTCCTTCCCTCCCCAAGAAAACCCAAAGCTGGTTCTAGTCAGAGGAAGCAGGCATTACCATCCCTATGCAGAGAAGAATTGATTTACAAGTTTCACAAATCTATTGTTTTGGAACAGAAGAATTAAAATTTTTCTCGAATTTAGAAAAGTGAAGTGGTTGGTTGGTTGTTTTTTTTTTCTTTTTCAGAATGGTGACTGGGCATCACAGTCCAGAAGCATAATAGCTATTTTTATACAGTACTGCATCCAAGACACATAAATTATCCCAAAGCCATAGTGCAGATAACACATTTGAACCGACTGTTGAACAGTCACAGGAATTTGGGTGACTGATGCTGCGTCTGATTTAAGAGGAATCCACTACATTTTTAGGAACAGATCTCCCTGAACTTCAGGCAGAGCCCGCCTGGCTTTGGCACGGCTACATTTTTTCCAGCATCTGTACTGCTTCCACAGTTAAGCTGTTTCTGAAAACAACTCTCCTAGTACCCTATGCCAGCCTCTCTACCTGATCACACAGTACATTGGCCGGCCTGAGTCATGCTGCACCTTTGACACAGGTACAGCATCTTTGACAAAGTTCATCACCTAGCATAATTCTGAAAAAAAAATCAAGACAAATTTTAACATCATTAGTTTTTAACCTGGATGATGTCACTCTCATGACTCCTGTGAATGGAGAATACTTTTGGTAAGAATTTGGATGAAGTCCGCTCTCATTTGCACGCCCTTAAAATAATGTCAAGTTGGTTATTTTTCAAGCTGAAGGTATGCATCAGGTTAAATAAGTTTTGTTTTTTTTTTTTTTTTAACACAGTTACACCTACTATGAAGTCAAAAAAATATATTTTCAAACCACATTCTTGTCAGAACATACTTGGGTTATCCTTAACTTTCATTAGCTCTTTTTACCCGTGAGATTCCCTTTTTTCCTTTCACATTTAGGTTGGTTTTGCTTTGCCTACAAAACCTGTCTCTGTTTTACATACAGGGGGCACAGATCATTGTTTTTCCTGAAGATGGGATCCATGGCTTCAACTTCACCAGAAGCTCCATTTACCCTTACTTAGATTTCGTTCTGCATTCACATTCTCTGAAGTGGAATCCCTGCAGAGAGCCGTATTTGTTCAATGACACAGAGGTAAATGTAGGAGTGAATTCTGCAGAGAGGTAGAATAACTGAATGCTAGATCTGTGCTCCAAGTGGGAAACTAGTTCTAGTAGTTTTGCTTAGGAAAGTAAGCAAGAAGTTTAACAACTCGTAGTACCTGATTCTGTTTTCCTGGACTCTCAGTTTCTGCTGGTTTCATTATTAGCAGAGGAGGGTTTGAGAGAGATACATGCAAGAAGATTAGCTTGTCTATGAGCCATCTGGATTGGTCATCTCCTCCTCCCCAACCTATGATATGGTAATTACTCTCTAGTAAGATACATTGTGTGTGATTTTATTTTGAACAACACTGTTTTATATAAAACAACATAGCAGTATCTTCACTTCTGATGCATTCTCATTACTCAGTTTTAATGACTTCAGTGACACCAGGACATTCTGAGTCAATGATTGTGTGTAAAATGATTAGCACAAGTAAGAGGACTTGACCTGCTGTAACGTAATAGAAGTCACAACTTAGCACAGACCAGATGTGATTACAGAAGCTGTGACCCGCATATAAAAATGGTATTTTCATTGATTGTTCTGAACCCAAAGTGAAAATACCCATGCTTAGTAATAAAAACTATTCATTCTTACTAATATTACAGTAGTCAATATAATGAAAGTCATCATGCTTGTGCCTACTAAACAGCCTTTGTGTGCAAACATGAATCAGAGTTGTAAATGGTGACCTACTCTGGCCTACGAATCTTTAGTACCAGTGGTCCTGGGCGAGCGGGCAGGAACTCAGTTTGCCCCTCAGATCCTGTTTGGAGGTGGCGCGGCTGGCAGCCTTTGGTGCAGCGCTCAGAGGGCGTGAAAGAAACATCGCAGTAGTACTACAGCCTGTAACTTTTTGTATTTCTTTTCTGTAACTATGCAAAGTCTATCCACTTACATCTTTGCTTCTTGAAGCTGTAGCTAGTAATCACTTTTTTTAAAACTTGGAGTGAAACAGTCTGTTTGCAGGAACAAGCCAGTGCAGGTTGCAAATGACCATTATTAGACATTTGCTGTTCTAAAGGTACATAGAGATCAGTTATGCTGCCTTGTCACAGCTTTCAGTTGACCTGTGGTGTTTTAAAGCCATTGGTGATCCTGCAGTGGTCAGTAAGTTTCTGAAAATTAATGCCCTTGAAATAGAAACGTTATTTATTTACTTACTTCTGAGGAAATCAAACCCAGATAATTTTTTCCAATGCTATTTTGAAAATAATAAATACCTGAAATATACTTTTCAGTTTAGAAAGCTACTGGTTCCGGTAGCTTTTGTCAGAAAGGCATCAGTACTTTTAAATTCTACAGATACGGTCAAACAGTGTTCAATTTCCAGCTGAAAATAATAATTTGAAAAGTATTAAGTAAGTCATAGCTGCTCAAGTAGAATTTATTCCTTCGTGTTCCGAAGCGCTTACGTTTCCCCATACTGTTCTCCAGGTTCTTCAGCGTCTGAGCTGCATGGCACTGAAGAACAAAATATTCCTTGTGGCAAACTTAGGAACTAAGCAACCCTGTGAGCACAGTGATCCTCACTGCCCCCCCGATGGAAGATACCAGTTCAACACCAACGTGGCATTCAGGGATGATGGTGTGCTGGCAGCCACATACCGCAAACACAACCTGTATTTTGAATATGCTTTTGATACCCCGCCGGAGCTGGACTATAAACTCTTTGATACCCCTTTTGCTGGCAAGTTTGGGATGTTCACTTGCTTCGATATACTCTTTTTTGAGCCTGCCGTGAACCTCATCAGACGATACAATTTGAAACAAGTTGTGTATCCCACTGCCTGGATGAACCAGCTCCCACTCCTGTCCGCTGTAGAATTTCAACAAGCTTTCGCGACAGCCTTCAACGTCAATATTTTAGCAGCTAATATCCACCACCCTACCTTGGGCATGACAGGGAGTGGCATATACACTCCAGTCAAATCGTTCATCTACCACAACATGGAAAGTTATGGTGGCAAGCTCATCGTAGCAGAAATTCCTGTGATTACTACAGATTATGAAACCAACCTGGAGAGTAATGAAAGATTCAGAGAGAGCTTACATCCCCCGTGCAAGACTTTCACAAGCACCTCACTGGACGATCAAGTTTGCTTTAAGGAGGGAGAAGAGATCCCTGGCAGAGTATCAGAAGAAGGACACGAACAGTTACCTCCCTTGTTTTATGCAGAAATGATGTATGACAACTTTACTTTTGTTCCCGTAGGGGGGGAAAAAGGAGAGCTCCAGGTTTGTGCCAATACCCTTTGTTGTTACTTAAATTATCAGAGAGCTGCTCTAACTGATGAATTCTATGCCTTGGGAGTTTTTGACGGGCTCCATACGGTCCATGGCACATACTACGTCCAGGCCTGTGCGTTGGTGAAGTGTGGTGGTCTCAGCTTTAGCACTTGTGGGCAGGAGGTTACAGATGCCACTGCTCGGATAGGTTTCCAGCTATGGGGAAACATGAGCACCCCTTATATCTTCCCTTTGCTGCTGACATCTGGTATTACCTTGGACTTTGCTGATCACATGGGCTGGAAAAACAACCACTATTTCATTAAGCAAAAATAGAACATCTTCTGGCCTACTGACAGCTGCTCTGTATGGACGATGGTATGAAAAGGACTAGCACAGATATTTGACTGAATCAGAAAACCACTGCCTGTGTGTTAAACATCTTCACATAAATTGTTGAACATCTGTGTCCTAGAGCTTCAGGTGTGTTTGTTATGTGACTGACTGAGGAGACTCCACAGCTGAAGTGATAAGTGAAGCACTGAGCCTGAAGAGGCTGCAAGCACAGTCTGTACAGTGGTAGCTTATGTCCTACCAGGAGCAAAAGAACTGCCTTGCAAAAAGAAAGTCTTGTGGTAATGTGATGGGATGTTTCATATTGGGAAAATAACATTTCTCATTTCAACCGAATTTGTTCCTTTTAATTTAATCCTTCGGTTTTCTGGGGTCCTGGCTGGGAGTATGGAAACAAATGGAACAGAAAAACATCGCAAAAGGAGGAAGAATAGGAAAGGGAATGAAGACACATATACCATGCGTGGAAATATATATGTATACATACATATAGCTTGTATATGGTGAGGTTCTGATTTCTGGTTAGGGTGCCATGATTTATTTTTTTTATTAGAATGAAAAATCCCAGCTGAAATCATTACCATTTACTGGCCACTCAGGTGTCTGTAATCTTGTTAGAAAACTCAGTGAGTTTTCTCAGGTACTTTTAACAGTAACTGAACGTTACAGTTGTGAACATCTACAGAACAGCTAGACTGGGGAAGAGGATAGCCAATGATTGTGAAAAACTAGACTACATTAAGACACAATTTCCAGCCTACTGTGCAAGGAATTGTGATTAAAGAAATCGCCGGCAACGTTATATACAATGGCGTATGTTATGTACTAAGTACCTTAACTTGCCCTGTTTAAAAGAGAGGTCATTTTGAGACTGTTTTGACTTTAAGACATCTTACACATCGTTCATAAATACATTTAACAAGAGCTATGAAAAGCACATAATGAATTGTGGGACAGCGAGGTTTTTACATAGATACTTCTTGTGCCAGATGGCAGGGTCCTGCTGCTCCATGACCAAAACCCGCCACTCCTTCCAGAGCAGTAACTAGCTCCAGTGCTGTAACTACTGTACTGTGGTGACAAACTGTTCTACTGCAGTGAAGTTGGGAAGAGACTATTTAAAGGCTGCTAATTTGGGGTTAAATTCAGAGAAGATTAAATTATTCTCAAGCCTTATAATTTTGTGCAGTCTGACCGTTACGACTTCATCTGCGTAACAGCTGTTGAGGAACAGAGTAAGCACAGCCCTTCCCGTGGCGAGTTCCAGTTGCTCAGTCTGTTAGTCAGGCTCACTACCAGGAGAGCTGTGAGTCTCTGTTTGGTGATAGGAGTCGGTTCCAAGTTGTGTTCAAACCACTGTGGCAGCTACAAGTACGCGTACTGCAAGGTGCTCAGTAAGCTCCTGCGTTGAATGAACTCACTTTCTGGTTTCAAAGAAAAATGACCGAGAAATTGTTGACTTTCTACCTCAAGGTTTACTTAAATACTTACACAAAATAAGTATATAAATATTGGTGATCTTGGGCTCTATCAAAGATTCCTTCTCCAAGCTAAATCACTGTGAGCCAGGGCCTAGTCACGCTCCACTTTGATACAGCAACCCAACAGGTTTGTTCATCCTGCAGCACGTATTGGACAGAAATACACAGAGGGGAATGTTTGTGTCTCATTACACATAAGCTTGCTGATGTAAAAGTGGGCCATCCCACTGCAGGGTTATTACAAATCATGAATTCTTTAGCACCCATAGCGGTGTTCTTGCTGAATGCTGCACAAATTCCAGAACATACAGGGTAGAACAGAAAAACATTTGTGATGCTCATTTGTGCTTCTGATTCTAGTACCATACGACCAAGTCTAAAAGAAAGGACCAATGAAGGGCTGGAGAATTTCAGCTCTCAGTAAAAGCCTCCCCACTCTGCTTTGTAGGCTGAAACCCACGCATCCTCTTGCACTAATACTGATTCAGATTTAGTTCTGAAGCAGACCATTATCATCACAGTAAATTAGGCTAGACAATTAAATAACATGACATATATTTGCTCTACTTAAGGGGAAAAAAAAAAAGGCATTTAGCTGTGAGATCCTTGCAAAGTGTGCTTCCCAGTGCTATTCTCGCTTTGGGTGTATCAAAACTATTAGAAAACAAGACCTCCTGGCCCTGCTGTTTGCATGGGGCAGGTTGCTCTGTGTCCACCCCCCCGAGAAGAGCAAGCAGGTGTGCTAGAGCGTGTTGTCATACCTTGTTCCCTTCACCCAAAAAAGCAGCCTTCAGCAAAGAGACACTGGAAAAAGTGGAACAGACAGTACCAGACACGGTGGAGAATTACACCACCCCCCCCCCCGCCCCCGCTCCGTCGTGATTTTTGAGTGACGACAGAGCCGTGTCTGTTCTCACCAGCACCCATGGGCAGTGGTGGGAAGCCTGCACTCTCCCCAAACAGCCCGGGAGCTACATACCACGCCCTGAGGAGGTGTGAGCAGCCTTCAGCAAGGCTGACGGTCGCACCGGCGGACTCGCAACGTGCTGTAACGCAGCCCGTTACCTAACCCCTGTTCAACGGATGTAGCCGCTTTTAGGAAAGCTTCCTGACCCGTTTCCAGCCGCGAGGGCAACGAAACCAAACCAGAGCACAAGGACTTTTTTTTGACAGTCGGGAAGCACAGCTGAAGTCTAGGACAGCTTTAAGTCACTCCATCTGTTGAGCTAAGCGAAATGAGGATTTGGAAGTTTGTACGGACACCGAAGGAAAGGTCATGTCTGAGGGGATGACGCCTTCAGCGGGCCTTGACACTGCCCCTGGGAAGGTGAAGACAACCACGGGAACTCTCTGTCCAGGGAGGGGTAACAGCACGTGAGAGGTGTCTCAGGGGTTTCTCCATAAGGGATCTGCTGCTGTGGGACTCGTGACCAGGGAGTTTTCCAGGTGGATGTGGGGGTACTCCCGAGTCCAGTCAGTGAAACCACCAGAAAGCAAATCAAAGGAACGCTTGGCAAACAGGACCTCGGAGCTGAGTTGAGAGGCACGCGAACAGGCTGAGCAGCCAGACTGGGACAATCTGTTCAGAGCTGTCGTGGTTTGAGCCTGGTCGGCAGCCAACCACCACTGCAGCAGCTCTCTCTCCCTTCCCCTCCAGGCAATGAGAAGGGACAGAGAGCCAGGCTTGGGGTTCGAGATAGGACTGGGATGGGGGAAAAATCCCCCTTTATGATCACGAGCAAAAGGCAGACTCGTTAGGGGAAGAAAAAAAACCATACATTTATTACAGACACTAACAACACTTACCAGAGTAGGACAGTGAGAAGCATTGCCACATCTTGAGAACACCTTCCCCCCACCCCTCCCTTCTTCCCGGGCTCAGCTCTGCTCCCGATATCTCTACCTCCTCCCCCAGCAGCGCAGGGGCAGGGAATGGGGGGTGCAGTCAGTGCTGCCACTTCCCTTATCTTCGGTGAGGGGAAGTGTCCGGAACTTGTTCCTCCTGCTCCATCGTGGTCCCCATCTCACAGGAGACAGTCCTCCACAAACTTCCTCCGACTGGATTCTCCTCCCACGGCTGCAGCCCTTCCCGAGCTGCTCCTGGCGTGGGACTCCCCCGCATGCTGCAATCCTCCCAGCGCTGAATTACAGCAGCGGGGCTACCTTTTCCCATAAGACCCCGGCCTTCTTCAGGCACAGTCACCTTAATCAACCAGGCAGAAGCCACAGGCCATAAATCAATGTCTGCTCCACCGTAGATCTCCATGGGTGTCAGGGGGGGCCGCCCTGCCGTCTCCCCACAGGATACAGGGGGGTCTCTGCTCCGGCACACCTCCCCCCTCCTTTCTTCCTCCGTTCCTCCACTGACCTTGGTGTTCATGCAGCTGCAGCAACTCCTCCTCACCAGTCCCACTGCTCCGTCACCACGTCCCTTCTTAAATACGTTATCAGCAGAGGCGCAGCTGATGGGCTCAATTTCCCAAACAGAAGTGGAGCTGACTTGGAGCTGGGGGAGCTTCGAGAAGCTTCTCACAGGGGGCCGCCCCGATAGCCCCCTCCCCTGCCACCAAAAAACTCCACCACTCACTCAACCCAGGACAAGACCAGAGATTCTCACAAGGCACAAGTGGGTGTAAGCTCCTTCAGGCAGATCTCTACGAGTGAAATGAACCGGAGCGAAGCAAGTGAGCCCCAAGGCCTCCTGCAGTCACCACAGAAGGAAGGAAGCCATCGTCATGAGGCACAGCACAGGTCTTGCCCAGGCCATGGCCTGTCTTACAGCATCAGGTATTTAACAAAACAGCCCAGCATCACAGAAAACCCAAGAGGACCAACGCAAAAACCTGACTGCTGTCTTTGTCTGCTTCGGGCGTACCATCCGAAGGGAATAGAAGAACCATCTGAAGAAAACTGCATTTTCAGAACTGTTAGAGAAAGAGGAGCCGGACAAAGCCTAACCACCGCTGTGGTGCACAGATTCAGCAGCTAGAAAGAACCACCCCTTCCTCCTTCACTATATAGGTGAAAAAAGCAAAAAGAAAACCAAAAGTGGTGCCAAATACCATTCCTGAACACCCCAAATATTCACAGGCTGGAATTACCTCTCGATCAAGTTTTTAATGGTCAACAGCAATGAAAAATACTTCTGAGATTCACTGCACTCTCCTTCCTCCCTCCCCTGAGAGAGCAGGCGTAGGCCACAGCTCGGACGGTAGTTAGTGGTACAGAGGTAGAGGTAGCAGATCAAACAGACTCTTGCTGGCAGATATTAGGAAGGTCAAATTCACTAAGATGTTAGCAGACTCTAAGAAAGATTTTAAAGAAAACTATGTAGGCAGCTTGAATAACAAAGTTCTTCAAGGAAATATACGACAGGATAGGGCACGAATACTTAGATTTTGCTTTAAAACTATTTAAGGTATCTAATCTGTTCTTTTAACATAAAACAATATCTGAGGCCTCAGTGTCAAGCTTTCTGAACTTAGTCAAACTCCCAGGTACAATGAGAAGAAAATGTTTGTCATTTGGTAAGACTTGGAAGTGGGCTTTGTTTTGTTCTGTTGTGAATCTGACTAGCTTCTATTGCAATTTTAATGAAAAAAAGAGAACATAAGGTGTTTTTCTCCTCTAAATAGTTAGTGACACTAACAGTATTAAGACAGCTTGAAAGGCTCTTTACGTTCCATATTATTCAACTACGTTTACAGTTACTGTGGTGGAATAATGCAAGATTCCTTTCCCAGTCTTGGCTTGAAAATTGCTAAAAAATAGCATGCAATGGAGGGAGCTCAGTTTATCCTACTGTAAAATAACACACAGCACCAGGGAAGCATGGATAATCTACATACTGCTTTATTTGAAGACAAATAACAGTGCTAAAGAGACTGGGATACCGGGTTGGAAAGAGTTGCAAGAAATCTTCAAGTCCCACAAGCAAGGATGCTCATCTTCCTCTGTCAGGGACGTTCAGTTGCAAGATGAGTTGGAGAGACAGGAAAAAGCTCACGGTTTGAAAATTTTAGTCACGTCTGTAACTAGTTTTCCCCCAGGGAAAGGAAACCAAAACTCTTGCAGTTTTCCTGGGCTCTACAGGACTGAACAATGGACAGGAACGCTCTTTCCAAGGCTGCCATTTCAGGGAGTTTTTCTCTCAGTAGGTGTGAGAGGATACACCGATCTCGACTGGGGGCATGGGTGACCTTCACAATGTGCAGCCAGGCCTCTGCTTCTCCTGTTAAGCAGCAAAATGAAGGGATTTTTGTGATAGAGTTTATAGATCATTGTAATAATAGGATATTTTCTTAATAATAACCAGTGGTTTTGCCATTTCAAATGAATGCACAGTGGTTCCTTTGCACTTAACATTCTTTAAAACATGGCTATTCTAGTGAGAAAAAGAAAAAAGCCAATGCTATCAGCTAACAGAGAGGCCTGTATTTAGTCTCTTCACATTTAGCATCTCAGGTTTCAGTCTATAAAGGAGATGCACGTTTTATTAATTCTTGTCTTGTCCAATTTAGAGTCACAGCTACAGATATAAAAAAAATATACATATATATTTTTAATCCTAATCTGAAAGAATTCTTTTCCAACTGTCCCATCGACTTCTGCAGCATATTAAAGGATTATAAGGAAGTCATCACAAATCATTGAGAGATTACTACAGGAGGCAGTAATTACCAGTCAATCTTGGATTTAAGGATTTATACTGAATTTGCTGGAGCAACTTCAAGAATTTAAACGCTTACTTCTTCCTACTATTAAAACGGATTTCGCTGAGTTTGAATCCAAACCTATGAAAGTGGTGTTTAAACTGCTTATTCAGAGATGGTAAGAGGCCCTGCTCTCCAAGGTTATTAGTCTGATTCTGATCAGGACTGACGTTGTTACCAGGAACCAATGCTTTTTAACCAAAAGCAGGGCAGCATCTCTTTGGGGAAGCGGGTGTGCACCGTCAGCAGAGCCACGGAGCGGGCGAAGGGGTGGGAGATGGGGAGGGCAGGTCCTGCCACCTCCTGCTGCTCGCCCACAGAGCTCCCTCACCCACCCTGCGGCACACCAAGGCGAAGAGCACGTCCTCCAGGACTGCTGTTTCCACAGGTGCTTACCCTTTTTATTTAGATTTCAATTTGGAAGATGTGAACCTCACCGATCAAACGCGGAATTACGCGTAGGCTCCCCAGACGCAGCCAGCACCGTTGAAAACCGTTCCACGGTTGGCACGTGAAAAAACTTCTCACAAGTATGTGCCAGACAGCAGTCTTTTGTGCAGTACTCACTGTCGTTTACAATCTTTCTGCAGGCTTATCCTCTCGCCCAGTTAGTGCATGATTAACAGAAAGGTCACCACAAACATTTTTTAGTTGTTTGGTTTTTTTTTTTTTTTTTTTTTTCAGTAAAGAAGTTGAGCTACCAGAACACTTGTGTTCTCTCCAAATGGATTTAATGAAATTTCTCTCTCTTTTTTTTTTTTTTTTAACTAAAATTAATAAATAGAGCACATTATTCTGGATTACTACAGTAGTTGTTTCTTTTAAATGGACATCATCTCTGGGGAAGACAGGAAAGCTAATTCCTCTCAAAACCAGAATTATTAGGTTGAAGAATCTGTATACATTATCTCGTACGCCTTTTTAGTCATCTGCCATACAACTTAGGCAACAGCTTTGGGATCTTTAGTGCCCTTTGTGTAGATGCTAAAAGGAGCAAAGCTTTGAAGTAATTAATTTTTAAATATTAACCTTTTTTAACCAAATTCTTTAGCCTGGTGAACAGACAGAATCTTAAACAGAAAATATACAACCAGAAAAAAACCCACAACCAAGATCCAGGTTTAAAAAGTGCATATTTCTAGCTCTGATTGCTCCAAATATATTTACGTCATTATTTTGGAGATAGCCAAGTGTGGGGAAGCAGTAAAGAGAATAGGAGGAAATACAAAGCAGGAGACACAGAGGTGTCAAGATTTTGTAAGAAATTACAAGAAAAAAATCTTTTTGATTACAGTAGGGTCGCTCTCAGGGTGAGGGTGGGGAAGACAGACTGATTCTTCATTGTAACAGCATACAGCATTTATGCTGCCATGCTACACTCTAAAAGTAACAGCTCAGCCTAGCAGGTTAATACTAACTCACTTGACATTTATCCTGAGAAGTGGAAAACCCACAAAACACCCCCAGAAGTCAGAGTGCAGAGAAAGCTGAGCAGAGCTGGTTGTCCTCATTCCTGAAGTCCATTCAATTTTCTTTTCTTTCCTTTTTTTTTTTATTTTTTTTTTTCCTCCTCGGGATAAAAAGGTTTCTTTTGTTCTAACCTACTGCTTCAGTGATCCAACCAAGGCTCACTGCTCTTGGTGAAAATCCAAGCAATTGTTTGGATGAAGCTTGTAACAATAACTGTGCCCCGTTCATCTGTACAAAAAGAGGAGGATTACTTTTAGAACGACGGAGGTTCCAGTGCCATTTTCTGGAAATGAACAGGCCTCCACTGAGGTATGAACACTTTTTTTTTTTTTTTTTTTTTCAATCCTGTACCCACCCCACCCTCCCCCCGCTTCCAGCCACAGACAGCATTATTTGTTTTACAGAAACAAGGAGCCTTCTGTTCCTCGACCTCTCAATTAAGAAAGTGGTCTCTGACCACAGTAGCATGTTCTTTAAACAAACCACGTTCCATTTTTGGAATAAGGCCACGTTCTCAATAATAGTTCCAATTATCACTTATAAGGCACAATTACTGTCCTACTGCCAGGTAGTAATGGAGGGTTGTTTTTTTGTTTGTTTGTTTGTTTGTTTTTTAATAGGAACAAACAAATACATGCAAATTGCGATCTACAGGCTCACTGAATAAATTCTAATCATGAGATACACAAATCTTGTAACTGAATTCCTAATGGAATTAACAATTTGTAATAAAAGATCTTTAGTGCTAAAAAAGTTCACAAAACTTCAAAGTAATGCAATTTAATGCAGCCACAAAGTTTTTTTCCTCAAGAGGTGATTAGTAATGAAATAGAAGAGGTGCACAATTTCTGATCGACATAAGGAAACAAAGGTGTTCAACAGCACTGTTGGCTGTATTTGCCTGTATTCCATATCCAAATCTTTAACTTTTAAACCAGCACCTTCTGAGCTTTTTCTCCTCCATCATCCAGGCACACCGTGGTCATGAATAGCTCAGTCTCTGCTGTCCTGCTAATTTTTCAGATAAGACAGGAGTGTCCCTGCCTATAACCTGCCCTATGGCTACTGACACCGTAACACCGAGGTAACAGGCCATCTTGAAGTGAAATAGAAGTTAGCACAGAGAACAAAAATCTGCCTATTAATATAATCTCACAGTTTCTTTGAAGCAACAAAAAATCAGACAGTTTCACCAACAGAAATATTCAACTGTTATCTTTTAAATAACAGGCACGCTACCTGGCATTCCGAATCAGATTTTCCACAAGTGCATGAAGAAAAACGGGTCCGTGCTGCTTCAGCCTTTGTATTTAGATGCAGTGAATCTCAAGACAGGCCAATATGGATCTTCTGAGTGCTGCCTGCATGCTCAGCTGAGGCACGGACATCACTCCCGTACTTGTAAGATTCAGAGGGCAGAAAATACAGAAATCACCAACTCCCTGGAGTCATCCAATTCTGTTCGCAAACATACCACATATATAAACAATGAACATGGGCACAAGTGGTTAAGAAAGTCATACTTCAAAGAAATCCTAAAGGGAAAAATGAAGTAATCTAACATTTAAAATTACTTTACATTTAAATAACTCACCTTCGCTTTTAAATTAAAATGCTGGCAAAGCCTTTGTGAAATGGATATTATAAATTGTAACAGTTCAACAAAGGAGACTTTGTCATTAATGCTTAGGAGATACAAATACATTATTCATTAGTAGAACTCACATTTGGGTTTTATTATACTCCGTAAAATATACAGGAATCTTGAAGTACTGAAAGAGTGCAGGTAAATACAGTATTCAAGCAGTCACTATTTCTATGTACATGCTCATTAATTCTTCAAAAAACCCACAAAATTATCAAATAGATCAAAATATTGTCCCATGTTTCCACATTATGTTCAGAAAATCAGCTGATAATTTACAATATCATAAAGATTTCCAGTTTCACAATACAAAAAGGATAAAAAGGAAATTGGAATCAGTTTGTAGTAATTTATTCGTACTTAACCAGGACATGCAAGGATTCCTTGCATGTACATAAACAAATTCACTTGAAAAGTAACAGTTATAGTTAAAGCAGAGCCAAATAAAGTAAATATTCATATTTAACAGATGAAACTTCGGCTTACTTATGTCAGTTTTTCATTCTTCAGGCAATTAAAAAAAAACCAGTAGTCTGTTATAAATTAAAAAAAAAAAATTTTCGGGCAAGTCTGAACTACATTACAGGGACCTGTTTCTGCTGTTTATTTTCTAAATGGAGCACAACAAAGATACACAGCTCTTCCCACACACCAGACACTGTACTTTTTTCTCTAATAGGGAAATATACTTTTAAATTCACCTCCCCCGCCTTGTAAATCCAGGATTAAAAAAAAAAAAAAAAAAGTGATAGGGATATACAATTTTAATCTTACATACAAATTTATGATGTAAGGAAGTGGACAAATTATTGAAAAGAACTCTCAGTCACAACAGGGTTATCAAGACATTTCAATTTTTTATGCAGTTTCATAGTTTCCAAGTTACTAGTGTATTTTTAAATTAAAAAAAAATCTTAATCCAAAACCCCAAAATTAAAAAAAAAAATAATCTAAAACTGTGCAACAATTACTGTTTCCCTCCCACATCTCCCACCCCTTCCCTTGTTTATTACACTGTACATTTTTCACCCTGACTTCACCTTGTTAGCTGGTTTAATTTTAGTATTATAAAAGTATGACAAGTTCATTTTCATTTCACCTAAAAGAAAAAGAAAACAAAACTTAAAAGTACATCTGCTTTCTTTCATGGAACATTTAATAGTGTTGGAAGGCTTTCAGATGATTTAAAAAAAAAAAAAAATCAACATTTAAAACCAAATCTAAGCTTCTTTTCCAGAAGTAATTAAGGTTTGGTTGAAACAACTGCTCAAATAACCAATTCCAGTTTTCACAAAAACGTATTTAATTAAAAAAAATCCTTAAGTTATTTGGTCCTTTGGCAATTTGCAGCACAAACAATGCCTACTGTACCAAACTCATTTATTGCCTTCAAAATGGTTTTAGTTTTATTGATAATATTTAAATCTAGCATCCTTTGTGTTGTACAATAGTGTTGTTCATTTACAGCAAGTAGGGTGCCCAGTCTGCAGAAATTACTCCTGGCACCAGAAACAGAATGGTAGAACACAGTTAAATAAAAGTTTTGACATTCTTTGTTTGTTTTTTTTTTCTTTTTGTTTGTTTGCTTGTTTGTTTTGCCACGGATTCCAAGTACTTATTTAAGAATTTAAGCTTCTTCTGCAAAATATGCTCTTAAAAATCCTCCTAGAGTCTCACAGATTTTATTTTTTTTTATACGCAACCACAATAAAAAACATCTTCCCAAAGGTCTGTCCTCTTTTTGCATTCAAACACTGATAGCTTTTTTCAAAAGCACAAGTCTGACCTTCCAGTGTGAGGGGTCGTTCACTCTTCAGACCTGCAAAATGTGGCTTCTAATAGGTCTCAGAATCTGAGTCATTGAGTTCGTCTTCTTCTGTATATGGATAGCCACCCTCCCTGCCAATGTTGTTGAAAGTACAGTAGGAACTATGGTCACTCCTCATGATCGGCAAGGAATCGAAGGTGACAGTTTTTGAGGTGTTGGTGTAATGATTAATGGCATTGAATGTAAGGGAAGGTAACATGCTGCTCGATGAAACGGGCATCATCGTGGCCAGAATGAGAGCCAGGCAATCAGCCACATCCTTATTGGGAGCACAGGCCAAAGCTGGTGTGTAACCTAGAAAGTCAAGAAAAAACAAAAGCCTTCACTTAATAAAGACACTGTAAAAATTTCTCCAAGATCATGTCATCTCTCCCCTTCAAAAGTATTTTATACTGCTTAGTTCTGCACTGGTTTTTTGTTCTTGTTTTGTTCTGTTTTTTTAAATAAAATTAAATGCATTATCAATTAGAATTTTTAAACACTCAGCTACAAAAACAACCCAGAAGTTAGTGGGCTTTGGAACAGGGATGCAATCGTTCTGTTAAGCAGTCAGACACTTTAGGCCAGTGAGAAACGCCTGGATCTGAAAATCGTGACGAAGTCACTTGGCTGAGGAGAAACCACTAATGGCAGCTAACAATGACGTGTGAAGGCACTCACTAGACAGCCACTGCAGAAACTTCAGCTCAACATGTTAAATATTTCTTATTCCAGAAGCTTCCATATAGATGCTCACCACAGACAGTTACTTTAGTAAGACTGTCCTATGTCAGTAACAAGCTGGCTAAGGCATCAGGGCCAGTTACTTGAAAAGGCAGAAGATACAATTTCAATCAACCTCTACTACACTACACAGTAGTATAAACTATAAAACTTTTATTTGAGGGGTATCAATTAAGCAATCCACAGCAGTTTGAGGAGACGCCAGCTGGATCAGTAGGCTGGGAGGTGCTGCTGTGACAGCCCCCAAATGCAGGAGGTCTCGGGCTGCGGAACGATTTGCAGTCAGGCCACAAAGCTGTGAAATCTCTCCTGGCTAACTGTGGCTCTAGCAATCCTCCAACCTTTCTCCTCTTGCAGCTTCCCCCCTTCCCCACGTACTCGCCTCTACCTCATCAGACATCAAGAAAAAAGTTTCAAATCCTCCTCAGCAGAGATCTGCGTGTTGCTCCTGCCTTAGGCTTTAGGCTTAACCATTCAGCAAGGCACCTAAGTTTTGGCCCAGGTAGGGCATACCTACACCACTGTAGTTGGTGGTGACAGGAGCGGCTCTAGAAGCAGGGCAGTACAACCACGGGTAATAGCTAATCTCGCTGCTGAGACCAAAATTCATTCCCTCTACCTGTCTCCACACAGGAGCAGGTGGCCGGGTCGCCCTTGCAGCATCCACGACTGCTGGGGAGATCCAGGCCCACAGGGAGCCGAGCAGGGAGGCTCACGGTCAGGAACGTTTGGTAGGCCGAAGTCCTGCACTGCCTCCCTCCGGTCCACAGCTTCACGGCGTACAACATCCAGGTAAAAAGCACACTGGTGATTTTCAATAATAGATGACTTTAGAGCAAATTGCATGATGGATTTCTATCCAGACCTTAGGAAGGCATGGAAAATGAGGCAAAGCCCGTTCTACCGGCAAGTGTTTCAACTACTAAGGAATCCCCTTTATTGCAGAAATAGGTCCAGGTCAAGCGCCAGGATAGAGCTCAGGAGTAGTTACCGTGTCGTACAACTGCACAGAAGCTTTAAGCAAGTAGGCACATTACGGAAAATAACCGTAGCTAGAAGTCAAGGGAATCGCAAGCAGGGGACAGACAATCTTGCAGTTGAACTATATTTGCTCAGGACAGACCCTGTGATTGATGCTTGGAACAGAGTTAGACAACAGCCCCTGCCCAACGGAGCACACAAGCCAAGGCAACACACAGATAATTCAAGCCCAAAGCGCACCCGCTGACCATGCGGCAGGGCCGTACAGAAGCGCGGCGCAGGAGATGTTTTCCCTGTTAGTAAGGTGTCACAGCACTGAAACAGCTCAGAGTTAACAGTGACAGCCTGCAGAAGAGAGATATTTTGAGAGGATTCAGAAGCAAGGGCCAGCGCTCCCTGCACTCGGATGAAGACTGCACTTCAGGCACGTCAGGCAGAACAGCAGGCTCAGCACTGATACTCAAATGCACACAATTTAATATCTACGGTTGCTGGAGATCGTATGAAGGTAAGATGACACAGAAAGTAAGTTTATTCAAGCTGGCTATACTCAACATCATTTCTTTCACTAACATGCCTTGATAAGAGCTCAGATAAACATGAGCAGTCACCAGCTACCTTTGAGCATCCCAGTTCATCATAAAAAAACTTTAAAGGCCAACATAGAGTTTAAACAGATTACTTGCTTCTCTTAAAAGTTCTCTAAAACCAGTATTTATACTAATACTTGATTGTAGATCTTAAGCTTCTGGCTTGCATAACTAGGAATGAAATACCACAGTTTTATTGCCCTACGCATAGCAAAATGAAGTAACTGCTTGGACCATGAAAGACTGACAACTGCGTCCTCCACCACTTCATTTTTGTCTGTCTTATTTTAGAACTGTAAAAACAAATTATATTTTTATGTCCTTTAAACAACTGCAAACTGATCATTTATATACCAGGACAACAACAGGTGTAAATACTTTAACTGTTCTTTTAATGAGATGTTAGTAAAGGTTCTGACTCCACTGAAATACTCTTACTCAGCTCTCGTATAATGCTCCTCACAATCCGTACTTGTATTTGTCTAAGTTTTCACAGGACAAAAAAAAAATGTACCACTATCTTCATTTACAGACAGGGCAGTAGACGCAGAGTGAAGCAAAGCAGCTTCCTCACACAACAGAAAACAGAGCTTAAGGGGTGCACAGTCTTAAGACGAGGGCTCCCCCCGCCCAAAGGCAGAGCTGCTCCCTCCCTGGGGCTTGAAAGCTTCCATGAAGGCGCGTACAGGAAAACCAGAGGGTTATTCATACGGTCAGCGTAAAGACAGTCCTCGAGATAAACTGAATTAAGTCTTACACTTGAGAAAGAGAAGAAAGTCTTCTGAAGCGTGAGTCATCTCGTAAGCATTTACAAGAGAAACGCCTTCCAGAAAACTGGACGTCTCCAATATAAACTGGAATACGAGTAAAGGAAGGCTGGGAAAAGAACTAGCCAAAAAAAAATATCCCCTCCCCCCCCAGTGTTTTTTTGGTTGGTTGTTTTATTTTTTTGTTTTTCCCAATGCTTGAAGGGCCAGTCATCACTGTAATGATGAATCTAGAAACTAAGAGAAACCTCCACACTATGTCAGCCTCTGGAGTTAGAGAAAGCCTCGTCTCACTGCTGTCGTGCACATTAATACGACAAATAAAAGACAGACTGTACCAGGAAATTTAGCTAGTCTAATAAGTAAAATAGTGGGAAAAAAACTGAAACAAACAAAAAAACACTGAGAAGTTGGTTAAGTGATGGAAAAAAACCCACTTCAGCTGGTGTCAAATGAAAGAAAAAGCTAGTTATTTCTTCTAAGACAGGTAAACTTGCGTAAATAATGTAAAATTCAACAGAACTTTTGTAGAGGAGAATGATGGCAAAGTTTCACCATGACAGATGTGGAAACATGGGAAAAAAACCTGAAAGATCTAAGTGAGAACAGATACAGAACTGAGAATGAACCCTCACAACATGACTGTTTTTGGAAAGTATACCGGACAGTTAGTTTGCTATTTCAGTCACATTTAATCTTTTAAGAACCAAGAGGATTGTATTTTTTTTTTCCAAATATATTAGTTCTTAAACATCTCAAGAAGTCATCTCACCACATTATGAGATGCTCTACAACAAGAGCAGTATGACTTCAAATCTAGTTTTAAATATCTTATAAAGCATTTATAAATTGAAATGCAAGGAATTGGAGTGATGTTGTTTTGTTTTGTTTTGTTTTTTCCCCAAAGCATTTTTTGAATGTTTTTCATTTTCTGTAGCCCAGATATAGCAGCAGAGGACTATTAAGTAGACTTATACAGATGTAGATACAAATAGAGACTGCTTGTAATGCAGTCTTTATAGAAAAGGACAACTTCAAAGACAAAAAGGGAATCTCCACGCCACACCAGCTGAGATTCTGCTGGTTACATGTTCCATAAAGCAAGCCAAGCTTCCATGTAAAATGCTAACTCAAACTTTACCTTCAGTTTCATCTACTCTGAAATGCCAAGCTTGTGTGGCAAATCACTGCACTTATCTGAGCTACACTAAAATAAGAGAATGTCAGTGTTGTGAAGCAAAATATTCCAGTGCCTATTTCTTCAGTGTGCTTTGCTAAACACATAGCTTTCACCCCCCAAAATGCATGAATTGTACTCTTTTTAATCCTAATTAAAAAAAAAAAAATCAAGTTTCTACTATATTTTTACTTGATTAGAAATAAATAAATGTAATTTTTTTTTTCTTTAGAAACACTTGTACTCTAGCAGTAGATGCTGAAATCAGAGAAGAAGACCTAAAGCAGAACCAGGTTACCACTACTGCCAGCTTTTGCATTTAATATAAAAAGCTCCACTATGGAAATCAAGAAGGCTTTTGTAACAGGTTTATCAAGCCTGCTGACATACTCATACTTCTAAGTACTAAGGAAAAATTTACAGTGACAAGTGAAATAGGTGGATAAATCCCATGAAAGTTTTCCTTGCTCTCTCAGAACCCAAAGTATTCATCACTTTGCACATACTGTATTTCAAGCTGACACTTTCATCCAACAGAAAAAGAATTAATTACGAGTATTCTCAAGGCTGCTTAAAATTTTATAAACAAAGCAACTGCTATTAGAAAGAAAAGAACCACAGTGGGGAACAAGATTAGGTAGCACACAGAGTTACTTTAAAATACCCGCAGAATTAAAAAAAAATATTTTAACATGTTGCAGTTAGCTCCTCAGGCTGCCAGAGAACTGCAACCTTTATACCAGCAATGTTTTCCTCTGTTAGGTCAAAAATCCACCCTAACAAGGGACTGGCTGGCTGCACATGAAAAGCCCACAAAAATACAGATCTCCAGTTGGCACGATGAGAAACAGAAATCAAAGAGATACCTTCTCCAGTCTTTTCATTTCAGGGCGTTTCATTTAGCAGTTACCTCTGTCCCCTATTTTAGGCAAGGAATGATTTTTAAATCACCCATGTCACTTTAAGCAGTGTAATTTGAGAAACACACAGAGAAAGTCACAGTAAGCATTAAGAGAAGTAAAACTTTCCAAACTGGAAATATAATTAGAACTATTAATTAGTCACATCCCTTCTGGAAGAAAAAAACAACAACAACCAAAAAAAAAAAAAAAAAAAAAAAAAAAAAGAAGGCAAAAAACCCCATCCCCCCCTGCTACTGCTTTCATTTAAGATACACTGGGGTAAGCCCTTAATGCTGCTAAAAGCACAGCTTCGGAGGACCACTGAAGTCTTACATGAAAACATGCAAATAAGAAGTCAGTAGACCTAATTTTCTTTTGCTCTTATGAGGTATAGGATTTATTCTCTGTGATAAAGCAGTTACTTTTTCTTACTTCTATGTGCAAAAAAACTCTAAAGAGCCAGAAGCTTGAGACCAGTAACTGAAATTTGTAATTCATCCTTGCTTTTAAAGGTTAACACCAATATACCTACCGTGAAAAAATGAAAGGCAATTCAATCCAGCTTCTTCACAGCTGCCGGTTATACTTTTCTTTGAGCGTGTTTTCCTGACTGTTTTCAGTATGCCAAAGCTAGTGTGTACCCTATCAATACACACTATAAAACTACAAGTGCAAACCAAACATTTCTATGCTGTCACCCGCTTTGTTCTGAAAGTTTTCATTCTCCTTGCACTTCTGCTGCTTTGCCAAAATGACCCATCACCAACACATTTTTTTTTTCCTGTGGAGAACCTACTGCAAGGCTCGTATGAAATTTTCAAAGGGTTATTGTTTTCAGTAAGCTGAGTTTAAAACCACAGCTCCTTACGGGGAAACAATGTTAAATTTTTTTCTTACCATTTTCATCTACAGCAAGTACACTTGCTCCCTTCCCTAAAAGCTCTTGAACTACAACCGTTAGTCCATTCCGAGCAGCAACATGCAGAGGTCTGTGAAGACAAGCAAACTCATATGTAAACCTCAGAACAAGGTAATAAGTAAGATAGGTAGCTTGCATCTATTTAAATGATTCAAGTATTTATACCTGTATGTTATTTACATAGTATATAAATATTGTAGATATAATAACTAAGATGGGAACACCATCAGATCTCTTTTCTTATTGCAAAGAAACTATACCGAAACAAATGTGCACTTTCTTCTTTTTCTGGCACCACATGGTGACGAAGTAGCTACTAGAAAAGACCTGCTGGCTTATGAACTTTATCATGTTAAAAAGTTAGAAACATCTAGTGCGCTACTGATGATAAATCCTTCACTGAACCACTGTAACAGGTATCGTCATATCTGGGAGTTACTGCTTATCACTGGCAATAATCACTAGAATACTAACAGCAGAAAGGTAGTCGTATTTTATTGCATGTAAATGCTTGTAAGAGATTCAGAAGCATTTCATCAATCTGCCTTTTAGAAACTACTATACTCCACTGTGACTAGAGATAACAAATATTTTACAGTATAATGCATGAAGCAAGAAAAGCAGATTACTTTTCAAAACCTCAAACCATTAACCATAACTCTGTTTTGCAGTGACTTGATCTATCAAGGGAAGTGTAGCTTTACCTCAAATATCCTAATTGTAGCTTTTTCAAATACAACAGTTTCTCAAAATTGGTTCCTACTGGCTTAAATAAAACCCCACCACTGCTCAGCAGGAAACAGAATAATCAGCTTATTTTCCTTCTGATTGACATTGCTCTTCATTCATTTTGAGATTCTTAAAATTGTTTGAATGAACTGTGAACTATATTTTGATTTGGAAACAAGTGTCCTAGAGACCAGAAATGCAAACGATACAAATAGAAGCAGCTGTATCTATGGTGCTTATATTAATGTATTTGAATTCAAGAACGACTGCACACCACAGATGTTGAAAAATGTACTGTAATTAAAATAATTTTAATATAGAGATCAATAATTTTACTGCTTATCTTGTCAAAAACTAAGACATTGTTTAGGCTGTTTAGAAAGTCAGTTTAGTTATTAAAAAACATTTGCCAAACCAGTAATATTTTAAACAACTGTTAAAATCTTGCAATTTATGTAAACATTTCATGGAGGCGTGAATATGTACCTATTTTTCCCCCTGACATCTCTTGATCAGACTGTATGAGCCAAGGCATGTGGGTGGAATTACATGAGCCTGTGGTAGCATACTTTCCCCCTTCTGTTCCCATCTCACTTTTGCTTTTCTTTCAAGACATCCCCGCTTCACACCAGAAAGGAGGCAATCAATTCCTTCCTGCTTTCTGGTGATTTCGTGCTGCCTGAGGTGCACCATGGTGAGCAGCAAAAGCGGAGGAAGAAGCCTGCCTATCTCAACTCCTTAGTTCAAGCAGATCTCTGGGAATAGCTGGAAGAACTGCAGCGGTTTGAACATGACCGATTCCAGAAGGAACGTTAGGCCAGAGAAATACACAAGTTGCTAACATGTTCTGGTGGGTTTTTTTTCCTCAGTGGTCTGTCATACCATTATTAAAGCAGTCTAACAATTCATGTGCATAACTCAGCTACGTATCAGGTGTCAAATATTGCTATAACACAAATACAGTATTTAAAAGGAAAAAAAAAAAGCATAAGAGTAATTTTAATAGTACATCTTGCTATATATTCCCCAGTATGACATACCACTACATTTTTAAGTTTTCCTTCTGATTGCGTGAACAAAATAGGCTTAATAATGCTTTCTGAAGATCTGTCAAGCAGAAAGAATACTGTATTCTCCAAAATATTTAATAGAAAGTAGTCTTCTAGTAGAAATAGGTGCCTTTTGCTAACAGAAAGCATGTCCAAGAATAAAAGCATACTTCAGCTAGGTTTTTCTTATTAGCTAGCTTCGAAGAGGTAGTCTTGGTTTACCTCGAATGAGTTAACTGAAGTGAATTTTAACTGAAAAATTAGATGATTTACAAAACAGAAAAATACTGGTTTACACATAATCTCAATGGCTCGCAGTAATTTCACACAGGATTCTCTGAATCAGCATACTGTAAGATTTATCATCCCTTTCACCCAGCTAAAACTAGAAATTTAAGTATGAGCAAAGCACTGTTCCACTTCAAGTCGGTTCAACTCTTGGTACCTATTACGAATTAAAATCCAATGAATTTGGAAAAAATTCTGAAAAATGTTTCTCTTCGTGAGCAAGATACACACCAAAAACTCATCTGTAAAACACACTCACTGCCGATACATACGTTTGCAAGGCTGCATTGGTGGCATTGATGAGGTTTCTATCCGTAATCTTCTCCAGTATTAACAAGGCACTAGTTTCATGACCCTTAATACAGAACAAACATCTGTCATATAACAAATATTCTTCAAAAATTGCTTTGAATGCCTTTTCAAAGTAACAAGTTGGTATTTACAAACAGTGCTTGATAATACAAAGCTCAGCACTGGTAAGTCCCACTGTGCACACACCTTGCTGCAGGCCAAATGGAGTGCTGTGTTCTTAGAACTGTCTTGCAAAGTCAGATCAGCTTTAGCACTGCTAACCAGCACCTCTGGGGAAATAAAGATCGGTATTAACTAAAAGCATATTCCTTAAAGTCTTAATGGCTTACATTTGTGCAAAATGAAAACATAATTTTGACAAAATATATCCACAAGAACGTTAACTACGAGGCAACTTTATCCATAGTAAGATTAACAAGTCTAAGAGCAAAAATATATAAAGCTTTCTCTTTACCAACTGTATTTGTCTGTCCATTTTCTGCAGCCATCATTAAAGGTGTCTTCCCAGAAGAATCTACAGCATTTACTTGAGCATTGTGACTGAGCAGAAGCTGTAGACACTCAACATGATCTGTAAAAGCTGCTGCATGAAGAGGAGTTCTACAACGGATCAAAAGACAATATGGCCATGTTCAGCCATGCTTTCTACTTTATTCAGAGGGGCATCCTGACCGCCACCCTGCAGATACACAAGACTGGGCAGCCCCTCCCACCGATCCTTTAAAATCAGTATTCCTGGAGTTGTGACCACTGCCTTCAGAAAGTCACCTTCAAGTTTCAAAGAATTCCCTCTATGTAGTTTATGAGAGACATACAGTTTCATTCAGAAAAAATAAAACATGCATAAAATACTCATAAAGTGATACAATTTAAAACATGCTCAAACTTGCCAATGTAATAAAAAGGCAATTCAAGCTTATTGAATCAGAACAGGATTTTTAAATATAAGATTTCTAGCACAGAATAATAATAATAAAAAAAAAAATCAAAGAACAAAAACAGGGAGAAGGGGGAATTAACGTAAGTAGCAGATACAAAAAATGCATTTGCATTTACACTCTTACCTTCCTTTTGAATCTGTTGAATTTACAATACCAGCACCTAGTGTATCAATTAACATTTCTGCAGCACCTTCGTTGTCATTTATCCTATAATGAATTAAACAGGCTGTTATTTACAGAATGATAAATGTTGTGTTAAATAAAGCAATAAAATCTACGAAGAATAATTTTGCACTTCCTTACACAGCACAATGCAACGGACTGAAAGAATTTCCCTCCATTTTCTGGAAAACTTCCTGTTCCAGGAGGAGCTCTACACAACTGTCATGGCCTAAAGCAAATGTAAGAGTTAGGCATTAAAAAAAGGCAATAGGTCTATTTATGGATGACAACAAAAAATATGTATCTAAATTAGATCAAGCAATATTTTATTTGAAAGTTTCAAAGACACATTGGATATATTTGATGGGGCTATGTTTAGGAACTAAGCCATTATTTTAGAATCCTGAAAATCAAACTGACATCTACCACTGTAAACCTAGATGGGATCTCATGCTGTCTGAAGAACATCCAGAATGCTTAATTTAGTTCTTTGCACCTCCATGTTTCAAACTCTTCTGTGTGTTCACCACACAGTCCACATGAAAACATCCCCACCATTTGAGGGTTATTTTTGTTCCACTGTCTTGCTAAGCTGCTAAACCAAGCTGATAATCATAACAAAAGCTTAAAAAGGCACGTTCAACCTATCATACTGTGATTTTCAAATTTCTGTAGCCTGCTGCCGTGCAGGTAACTAACAACTGAGATCTGTTTGATCTTCAATGCATGTATGCAGAGAACTTCAGTCCAACTTTCAGCGGTGTCTGAAGATACGCATTTTCACAAGTCATGTCCGATTTTCATTTTAGAAATCAATCTATAAATCAAGCATATTTCAGTTCTGTTTTATTCAGACACTGCGGTCACTCTGAAAACGGACTAAGAGTTTAATTTTATGAATGTGATAGAGATATGTTATTCTAGTTCATTTCAAATAATCAGTGTATTACCCAGTTGCTTCAGCTGTGAAGACAGCCTAGCTCGTTATTCACTTAAAAATAATTGGTAAAATGAAGCTCTATACCCCTACATCTTGATCTTTCTCTATTGTGTGACTCAGAGGTGAAATAAATGAGAACCTCTACTATGTCAGAAATGAACACACAGAATCAAATCTTTTGCAAAGGAGCTGGATTAATTTCCTACCTTTTAAGGTCTCCCTCACCCCCAAATCCAAGGAAAGTATCAGTGAAGAAAAAACCAAATTCTTATTGAATTACTTTTACACACGTCAGCTTCTTATGCCTATCAGGGTTGATCTGAAAAAGATTTAACCTGAAACCATTCCCCCCAGGACTCCCTGTGAAGGTTATTTTTTGGGGACGTGTGGCACACTTCTCTTCATGGGTACTACACTGAATTTCAACTTCTTGAAAGACTCCTTAAGCCATAAACCTAAGAAGACGGTTTACAGAAAAATGTCGTACAAAAATAAGCACCTTATATTATGTATTAGATGTTAATGTATTCTCTCTCAAGATATCACGTCCATCATATTGTCACACTGACTGATACAGACTGAAAGGGGACGGACTTTAGATGTTGCTTTTATAAGCAGTAATAACATCTATCTCAATACCAACAAATGCATTTAGGCCTGTATTTTAACTTTAATGTATTTTACCATTATAACAGGCCCAGTGCAGTGATGTATAGCCGTGATTGTCTGCTATTGCAGGTACTGCATCCACAGATGTAGCTGACTGCAGGAGAGCTCCTAGAACACCTATATGTCCACAGGCAGCTGACAAGTGTATAGGGGTTCGGCCCCTACAGTCTCGTAATAAGGACTTAGCACCATGTTGAAGCAATGCTTCCACACATTCCTCATGCCCGGTAACTGCCTGTGAGAGAGACAGGAAATAGCAAGTTTATAAATATCCATTTATATAAGCCAAGGTGCGTAACTAAGGCAAGCAAACTGCAGGCAATTTCTTACATTTTTAAGTAATAACAAAGTAAGCAGAGTTGTTATTTTTATTCCTAGAAACGATCATTTTGTTGGAAAAAGAGCAATGTATTATATATTGATGACAGAATAATTTCTTGGAATAACACTGAATGAACTGCTCATCTCTAGCGCTCATGCAATTGTCTTCTCGGCAGAGACTCTAAAAAAAAAAATTGCCATGTGGCATACATCACGCTTCTCTTCCTCCCATTAACACTGTGCTCTGGTACCTCTCCAGTCAACACTTCACAGCAAGATTAAGAGACTCTAGAAGTCCAGAAGAATTCTGAGGGCAAAAGCTAGTCTTTTGAAAGCAACTAAAAAGAAAATTAAAAAATAAGAACGGCAAGGTGAGAATAATGAGAAATTCAGTAACAGTACCTATTAAGTCCGTATTCAAAAGTAATATGTGTAATACTGGAAAGGACAGAAAAGGAATATTCTCTTACCCCTCTATGTAATGCTGTCCTTCCCCACTTATCTTTGGCATCTACATTCGCTCCTTTGTTAAGGAGTGAATAAACGCAGTCGGTGTGGCCATTGAGGACTGACAACATCAGAGGAGTCCTAAGCAGAGAGTGAAATCAAGTGTAATCTACGTGGAAGTTCACAGGCTAGCACTCAGCTGAGATACAACAACCAGTATCCTTCTGGACAATGCTGTTAATACGTACATCCATTATCTCCGCTAGCACTACCTTTACTCCAAGAATGCCGCTCATATTTGCTTTTTAGATTCAAGAAAATAAATTAATATCCCTAATTCAGAAGACCTAATGAAGTTACTAGAATTGTTTTTTCAGCATCTGAGTAATAAGACACATTTTAGTTTCCTCCCAACTGAACAAGATTTTTCACTGTCAACATTGTGTTTATTGCAAAATACACAGTTTCCTTTGTCCTAGTTCAAACACCACCTCCCTTTAAAGTAATGAATTAAAAATCACCAAACTATTTAGTTTTTCCTTTTATGAAACATGTAAAGAACAGAATGTGTATCATTTAAACTCACTGTCCGTTTCCATCTTGAATGTCCACAGCATTCTGTGGTTCTGCATTTCCTATCAATAGCCGCAAACATTCTGAGTGACCATTCGTAGCTGTAGAACATCATAAAAATAGAAGTTTGTCATTAATTTCCTTTGAGTGTACAGCTCAAACAGAACAGTAACCTACTCAGACTCAAGCCCGTTAGATGGCTACAGCTTTACTGTTGTATTATAAGTTAAATTAAAAACAAAAAATATGAACACTATAATATTATTTTAGAAATCAGGTATTCTCAGCTGTATTAGTACTAAAAGTAATTGATTCCAACTGTCAATTGCCAACTGCTATTTGTCTTTGGCATGTAAATGAGGTTGCACACATTAACCATAATTAGAATATATGCTTTTACAACATCCACAAGAAGAAATAATTAAATATAGTAATTAGCATAACTTTTGCTTATCTTAAGGCACAGGTAAACACATACCTAGCCAATCATACACACATTTTGTCACCAAGTGTAACTTGTGCACAGTTACAAAATAATAACTGAAATCACATTTAGAAAGAGGGGAAGGAAATGTAATGTATAGAAGTAATTAAACAAGCAGTTAAAAAAAATAAAAGAAGAATGTAAAGAAACAAAACAAAATGAGAAATCACATTTAAATGCAACTCATGGAAGAGAAATGATTGCTTCTTGAAGGGGAAATTATTTCTGACACAGCTGCTGTATTCAATCCACATAAGAACAGCGTCAATTCATGCCTCTCTAGCTGGCAGAAATGCTAACAGAAGTTAGGGGAAGCTAAATCAAATGCAATAATACAGCTTGTGCTCATGGACAACAAATTAAGCGGTTAGAAGGATGATGTTTTGTACATAATGCTCTTTTTACTGCAACATTTCTGTAACACCATAACTATAAATGTCAATTTAAGTAAGTCTATTTTCAAAGAGAGGGAAAAAAGTAAGAATATAGTATGAATACTAGACTTTGGGAAAGGCAGGTTTATAGAACGTTTTCTAGGAAACACGGCGAGAAAATATTGCAAAGGATTGCTCTTATTCTGAAAACACTCAGGAGTCATTTAAATCCTTGGACAAAAACCAAAGTAGAGTTTTCATGTCTCTTCTCAAACTGACAAAATTCTCCAAGACTCCAGTCATTTTCCGAAGTATTTTCTGCCAAGACAGGCAACACCATTCATGTATCTAAATTTGGGCCCGAAGTTTGGGCTGGGTGAAAGACGAGGAGAGAAAGAGGAACATGTCACCAACGCCTGCCAGCACAGCTCCAGACTAGCTAGCTGAGTGGACAAGGACAAGGCACCCTACCAGGGTGCACAGCACTCCTCGAGCTGGAAGGGATTACTGGGTTAATACCAGTTTCCACCCACAACTGCTGTGTTACATCTTTCTTAGTGTAGCAGATACCTTAAAAGTCATCGCCTATTCCTAAACATCAATTCTTAGAACATTAATGATGGAGACTTCTAAACACAAAGATGATCCACTTCAAAAGGCAAAATCGTAGCGGTTAGTGGCTAGCACATACCTGCAGCATGTATTGGGGTCCTCTTTACAACGTAATCTTTCACCAAGATTGATGCTCCCTGATTAATGAGCACATCTACACATTCCACGTGTCCCTTAAAGGCAGCAAGATCCAGTGGTGTCCTTCCATTATTATTCCTCACATCAAGGTCCAGCAGCGACTGTACCAGCACTTCCAGAGCTTGATGGTGGCCGTGATAGGCCTACAAAAATAAGAAAATTCTTCAGTTTTCCTACTCTTCACATTTTTCCCTTTCTTACCGGGATTATGTAAATGAAACTGTGAAGATAGTATTTTTGTGTCAACAAGTGAAAGAGCTACTGATGCAGCATGTAAGTAGTTAGAATAGTTAGCACTAATTTTAAAAAACCCCACAATTTCAGCAAGAAGGTTGGTGGGTTTTTTTCCATTTTATCCTTTCAGTCAGCAACTGAAACTTCCAGAAAATGGTCTGTCTCCAATTTGTATAGCTGCAGTATTCTGAATACTGCATGTTTCATTCCAGTATGTTACAGTTACATCACTCTCAGATTATTTCAAGTGAGGAACATATGCAAACTTAACTAACTCATTTTAGGTTTTTAATAAAATATTTTAATAAGAAAAAGCCAGTAAGATTGTAGGTAAAAAGAATACAGTACAAATAGCTACAGTTAACATAAAAGTGACTTAGGGGATGAATCAGTTAATCCAGTATATCCATCAGAATGGATATATAAGGATAAAAAAATAGCGTAGAGAATACTCTGTAGGTATGTGTGACGACAAAGTGTCAGTCAGTACTGAAAACAAACATCTACAACTATGGGTTTATAATTTCCATAATAAACTTTAAATGTATACTCATGGAGACACAACCTCTGCCCGCAGACAAAACTGATTTCCAGGAGTAGTCTCTTCTAACTGTTTTCCTTTACAAGTATTAAAGATTACTTTTTACTTTGGACATATGTATAGATGTACTGCATGAGACTTAGGCTATTTTCAGAAAGTACTTTTTTTTTTTTTTTTTTTTTTTTTTTCCCAATTGCTCAAAGTCCACTGAAAAGATGAAAGCTACATATTGAGCTGGTTACTTTGTATTTTGAGTATATTTGCATAGACAGTTTCATCAGGTCCTCTCTACACTACTATGCGCAAATCTGTCTTAAACTATTAAGGACAAGCATTTCTCATACTAAACAATGGTGAGGGTAAACCAATGATGACGATAAAACACAGTCATTGTTACTTATAGAACAAGTCTTCCGTAAGTTTCATTAGTATAAATTATAAATCTTAATTCAAAGATTCCAAATGAAAGCTGTTTCCTGAAGCAAGTTTCAAGTGAAATGCACAAACTGCGCTGTGTAGCTCACTCAGGAATACTAGTATGTATTTTTGTGTTTCATTTATTGTCAGTGACCTATTTTAAAAAAAATCCAGAATGAATAAACCTATGTCAACACCTGTTTGCAACCAGATGATCTATCATCACCAAAGAATGAAATACTTACAGCTAAATGCAGGGGACTTATAGGTGCTCTGTTGTCTGAATCATTCAGCATGTCAGCACCTGATGTTTCCATTAGCTTAGCAAAGACAGAAAGTCAGAGTGAGTGCAAAACCCCTCACTGTTAAAAACATTCAGCAATAATTACTACAGTTTCAGTTATACAGATTGAAAAATAAAAGAAAGAAAAACAAGAAAAATAATACAGGATTACAGTTTCCTCAGGCATTCTATACCTCCTTCAACCTTTTAAAGAGTCTGAATTGCAATGATTGCAACCCCTCCCCATATTAATTTCCCAAGCACAGTTGTTTAATTTTGAATAACAATGCAATAATTAAATCAGAAACCAATCTAAAATTATTATTTTTCCTGAAGCAGCCATATCAAATAATACAGGTTAAATGCATACAAAGAGAAGACAAGGACAGGTGAGAACTGCTGTAGTAGGGAAAAAAAACAAACCAAACCAAACCACCACCAAGCATTTAGATTAGGTAGAAAAGTCAGCAACACTACAATACAAAAAGCCAGAAGGCAGGATCAGTTTCTCAGAACAGAAAAAACATTTCCCAGAGAGAAGAAATGGACCCAAAAAGGGCACAAGCATTATAAAATATGATTAAAATTTCTATGTATTTACATTTCTATTAGTTACTTTAAGATGTGTTCTAAAGTTTTCATTCTGGGTCTTTTTCAAGACCGTATTTAATTTAGTACACTAGTGGAATTAAACCGTTCAAAGTGTTTGAAGACCACCAAATACATTCAGATTGCTAATATTTCATTATCACACTTGTATAATAAGGTCGTACAAATCTTTAAGTAATAATAGACAAAAGGCTTAAAACATAATTTTCTATTTTAAAATTCTGAATTGCAATTAAATCTGAATTGTAATTGAAATCAAATAATATACCTATGCATTGAAGAAATGGTTGAATAAGTCTAAAAATAAGCAGTGTTTTTAAAACTATATGTTCCCTTTTGCTTTACAGTAGTACTTTAACAGTGAGAAATAATGCACTTACAACATCTAGAGGCGTTTCGCTTGCAATCTGCAATTAAAAACATTCAGAATTCATGTTTGAATATATTTGAATATAAAAGTACAATTTGTATAAAAATACTAGGTTGTATAACAAGAGAAGATGAAAATTAGCATATCAAATAACATACACATACTTGCAAATGAATTAATAAAAAACTGAGTCTTTATTATCTAAAATTCTATTATGTGGCCATTGGTCGTAACTACGTGAACTATTTTTAAAGGCACCCTTACTTTACAGGTTTTCACTACTTTTTAATTTGCTCCTTCAGATGACATTTGTGAAATTTCTTAACACACTTCTCAGTGCAATAACCTGTGGTTATTTTATTTCAGCCACCAGGAAAAAATTTAGCAGTGTATTTTAAGTTAAGAAACAAAACAAAACTAATATCCCACATCCTCAACCAGTTACCTCTTAATCTCAGAACATATTATTTTTCTGAGCCAGTATCTAGCATCTTAACCCCCCACCTTGCCTCATTTTAAGAGTACTAAGTGCTTAAATATTTATCCTCACAGGGACTGACAGCCACTATTGGCCTGGCTTTACTGCTGAAGAACTATGGTGGGGGAATCTCCTGGCCTCTGCACCCTGCTCTGTAAGAGCAGCTCTTAAAGCATTCATCTAGGATACATTTTCTTACCAATTCAAGACACAAGCGATGACCGTAAGCAGCTGAATAATGAACTGCATTGTATCCTTGTTTGTCTCGGATCCCCGGGTTGGCATCGTTTCTTAGCAAGTATTCCAGGCACCTATTTGAAGTGACATATGCAACCGTATATCTAAGTGTTGTACTTGACCTTTATACTAAGTGATGAATTGTTTCAATTCAATTGGGAAATAGAATACAGCACAGAGGAACACTGATTTAATGTACAATAGGAGCTAGGACTAGACAACACCTATCTCATTACACCGAGGGTTAACGTCAATCACAAAGCTTCCAAAATTTGGAGGAATCTTTCTCTGCAGACATCCTGCATCCTCTGAATTATCTGACTTGGTTAAAACTAGTATTTCATGGCTATGTTCCTCCTAGTTAATGCAACCGTGGTTACCTTTGTTAATACAAATGATTAGTATTTTTGTATACTTTTCTGTGGCAGTACGTTCTTCTGTACTTAACACAGGAGAACCAATAGCTGAGTTCTTCGTGGTATGTATCCAAGAGTCACATACACATACACTTCTACTACCAGACACTAACTTGCTGATTTATTTAGACAGAGAACACACTTAGTTGTTGGCATACTTATATCCTGCCATTCCTTTAATTATACAGACTTATAAGGCAGAATATGACCAGCACGATTTCAATCTCAGTTACTCAGCCAGGAGGATGGAAAATAGGGTAGTAAATTCAGCTCCCTCTACCTATTTTTCTCTTTTTAAGAGACTCCATGCACGCACCCTAAACTATTCCAAACAATAACCCTACTTATTAATATTTTTTTTTTGTCAATAATGTCAGCTCCATTTTGCAAAGTCACCATCATGACCCTGAACTTGCTGGTGAAGCCACTAGTCTTTCTGAAGTCTACAACAGGCCACTATCTCTTCTTCTCTCTGGGATTACGAAATACTTCTTTATCAGTTAAATAAAATGCACGTGAAGCTAAAAAAATGTATTATCTTATCAAATCCAGCTTGGAATCTTTCTTCCTAAGCACAGTTTATCCAAAGGTCTCACAGATTACCATCATCAGTAGTAACAAACAGGCCAGTTGGATACACTGACAATATAAGGGTTTTATCTCACAAAAAATTTATCTCACAAAAAATTGTTCAGTAGAAAGTTAAAGGAAACTTCGTAGTTATGTGATATGGCTACGCTGCTATGTCATGTGAAAAACTTGCAGTAGGATATGGCAGGTTTAGATCTGAGAGACACAAGAATCATAACATGACCTCTGGTCAATGCCATTAAGCGTAGAAACTCAGTCATTCAAAACCCTGGAGAACATTCAAACCTTGGAGAAATACAGGCAGAAATCCTACAAAAGCAGCCATCTCCTGAGGGAAGACAGCACGACCCTGCAACACCAGAACTCTCTCAAAGTTCTTTCAAGGAAGGGCCCGGGGTCAGCAGCTGGAAAAGTGCAAGTTCATCATCTGAATGAGATCCAGTACCAGCTGTGATGAAGTGGAAACACATTTCAACACGAATAAGACAGCTGTACTGGGTCAAGGGCCCAACAGCCTCATGTGCAACATCAATTTGCTGAAGTGAAGACCTGACATTCGCTTTTCCAGACAAAGGTTGAAAGTTTAAAACCAGGTGAGTGAAGATGAAAGCGGCAAAAAGCTACAGGAAAAACAATGAACAAGGAAGTGTCTAATTACAAAGTACTCTGTCTCATTACAAAGTTGAGAAGAACAGGAGTGATGTCGAGGTGCACTCTCATAATTTTTTGCCCACATCAAGGAGCAAAGGGCTTGGATAGGCAGTGAAAAAAGTAAAAATTCTCCAGTTTTAAAGAATACCATACGTAACACAAGATCTAAGTAACTACAACAAGTTCCATGTATCAATAAAAGCTACCAGTAAAGCATATCTATGTTTTTAACCAACTAATTTGAATTTTATTTGCCCATTAAACCAATGCCTGGATTTCATTCATGGCAACCATACTTGTATGTTTTTATTTGAATTGAAACAGGACAAGATTTCCAAGAATCCAAACAAAGTCAGTTTGTTCCTTTGAGTAAGAATTACTGTCCCTACATTTTATTTGTCCAATTGTTTTTCTTTGTTAATTTTACTAAATTATTTCGTATTAACATTCATGACTCATTAAACATCACTGGCCTTGCCTATCTAAATTTCTGTACTTGGGTACTTTCCGTATTTGTGTGCTCACAAAAAACACAATACACTAAATACTCCAACAGAAGCAAAGTCAACTAAAAATATAGTACCCATTCTTTCCAATGCAAAACAGATAATTATTTTTGCTGTTTCTTTTCATCCAGGAAAGAGATCATCTTTGCATCTTCTGCATAATTAACTGTCCTCAACAGGCCTCTTTAAAAGGAGGTCAATCAAACTTTCTGAAACCTCAGATAAGTTAAATCTATTTCGCATTTATTTGTTGGTGTACTGTCTATTAAACAATTCTAAGATAGGATGAGCATGTATTTTGCTCCCCTTGGACGTTGCTTAGTTTATCTCATTCTGTGATCATGTTTCTCTCTCTAGTCTTCTCAAAATGAGGCTTACTGGTGTTTGCTCCTGATCAGAAGCGTTTACTAAAGACACAGATGAAAGACTTCCAAACAGGAACAAACAAGAAAATAATTTTCAACAAAAACATCCTTGTCCCTAAAATCTGTCTTTAAAGATGTCTGAACAAAGACTGTGAAAATGCATGTAAGTATCTCTGGAGTTTCTATACAGATCATTTCCTGACATTTTTTTTCCCAGGCTTTGTATTCCAACTCAGTAATAAATTTTAGCTTCATTCTTATGTTGAATATGAGCTGAGCAGTACTGGCTTTCCAGCTGCTACTAATCATCTTGCTGCATCAATACAGAAAGCTTCTCCTCAGGCCATTCTGCTTTGCAGCCCGTCTTCCAGAAAGCCAACTGTTAATCAGAAGGGCAGTATCACATGGGTTACAGCGACAATTCTTTGAGTTATCTCCCAAAACTCTGCCGTATTGCTATCATCATTCTTGCTCGTGCCTTTTATAAGACAGATGGCAAAACGATGTCATCTGAAAAACCATTATAGTTTGGAGGTTTTCAGAGCAACCATGAAGCTAAAATTAATCCTAGCTCAACTTGTAAGAGGACAATTAAAGTAAAATTATCTCAGCAAACTCCATCAGCGATTGAAAGTATATTTAAAAAGCAGGAGCAAATTTCATTCTGAAATTTGTCCTTTCATAAAAAAGGCATGTACTTTAAATATTAGTTAAATGACCATGAAGGTAAGATGTTATAACTGTAAGTTATAAGACACCTTGTTCCTATTACTACCTCACATTTTAAAAGGTGCTGTATTAAAACAAGATGATATGGCACTAAGCAGCCCTCTTTTCTAGAGAAGGTGTCACTGTATGCATCTGCAATGCAATGCAATGCTGCACAACAGCTCGTTTCCACCTGTGGGTGTGAGCGTGTGCACATGCAAGTGGTATCTTCTCGAGTCTCCTCAATATACAGTGTCTGGAGCTTAAGTAACTTCATCAATTTAGTGCTATCTATATAACCTTTGCACGGAAGCATTTAAGTCACAAAACACTATGTTAAATATAACCATCAGTTACAAAATAAACACACACAAGGGACATCTGTGGCTTTATGAAAGTTTCTGGAGGAATTTCATTAATAAAAGCACAACTACTTCACAAAAATCTACGCTAACAAGAGATGGAGTTGTAATGCCAAGCGTGAATAGTTTAATCAAACACCAAATGAATAAAGCATCTTATATTGAAATGTCAAGTTCATTTTTACCCTGATACATGCCTACTGTAACTCACAAACTAGTTTTACAGCCTATTTCTGACTAACTACAGATTTTTGGGCAACATTAAGAACCCCCCATAAACAGACCATCATTTATCAGGATTTGATTTTAGAGTGACTCTACTGCTCACAACTGACGTAATAACCCCTACGAATGATATTTACTCGACCACTACACAGCAGGTGGGATTAAAAACTATTCCCAAAGAATCCCTGAATTAGGACATCTGCATTGTGTGACATAACCAAAAATTTACAATACATTTTACTGTTGCTCATTTTTCTCAGAAATATTTGTTACATAAAATATTTTACATACAATGAACAATCCACTGTCAAGTTTAATCTTTAAAAATATAGAAAATGCATTTGGCAAAACTGAAGGCAGAACATACATTAAATTCACAGCTCAGATGTTTCTAAGGAGAAAGGCTTTAGTACAAAGCATGCCACTTACTTTCCATCTGTGTCTGATGCAGCTGCATAGTGCAGAGGTGTACAACCCCTCTCATCGAGGTCATTCACACTAGCTCCAGATCCCACAAGGGCAAACAGGCACTGATAATTACAATTGGCAGCAGCATAATGGAGTGGAGTTCTTTAGTACACATTTAAATAAAAAGTACAATGGTAAATAACAGCAAAATAATATTATATAGACAGAAAAAACAAAATAAAATGAAACTTAAATCCTCCTTACATTTTTTTAACAAGTATTAGTGGTGAAGAATGCATCATTACAATAATAAAAAATGGGGCTATTTTCTAGGGGCCATTTAATAATGCAGAAGAGTATCTAAGGGATCTATTGGCCAGCCAAAATATGGACAAACTTTGTATTAAGGAAAGCTTTATATGAATTTTCTTGATCAAGTTTACATTAAAAATATTATTTTTAGCTACGTCATTTCAAGAACAAGGAAAAATATGGATAAATCTAAGAACTGCATGGCAATTAAACAAGGTAAAAACAAATAGCAAGTAGATGTTTTTGACAAACAGATCAGATTTTGCCTAAGAGAGATAAGCATTATTTCTTTATTTTTTAACTATAGTAACATAGCAGAGGTATTGTTAAAGAAAACTTTAAAAAATATACCTTGTCTTCTTGTAACAAAACTGTGAAATATTAGTACTGATATATAATTTCAGAGGAAACTTATTCCATCTTCAAATACATAAACAATTCTCTAAATAAAGCAGTTCAGATAAAATTTCAAAAGCACCAAGATGACTCAGAATTCCATTTTCTATTTTTAAAAGAGATTTCTACTATAAATATCTCAATTTTGAGAAGACAGTCAGGCACTTTAAAGTGTCCTACCTCTTCCTCTCCCTAAAATTACTTTTTCCCCATTTCTGTCCATTTTTAACGATTTTAATCTTTTCCCCTCTCCTGAAATAATTGCTCTATATAACATGTATGTAAAACCAAAAACCAAACCAAACTGACAAAAAGACAAAAGTTGTGACAGACAGTTGTTCCTTTTTCAGGAAAGAATGGAAGTAGAATTTAAAGCAAAATACAACTTTGGATCTATAACATTCTCCTCAAGACCTACTCTTGCCATTCACATCCTGGAAAATCATATTATAAATCATAAATATGAGATTTTACACAAGTACTCATCATGCCATCTAAACTTAAATAATCCTATACTATAAATGTATGTCATTCTAAAAGAGTTCAGAGCACAAACAAGGAAACAGAAAGGGATAGATACAATGAAAGGAAAAAGGTGAAGCAGTGGTAATAAAATAATGGATTTTTTAATTAAAAGCCTTAGAAATAGCAACAGATCTATAGGTTTGACTTCTACATTATTTCAGAATCACCACCAAATGTCCTTGGATGACAGCAAGCTAAACTCATTAGATCCGTATTATAAGCAAAAACGGTTAATAAAAATTACAGCTGAATATAGAACTCAGTCTTTAAAAACAAGACTAAACAAAACACAATAAACAAAATATGTTGGTAACTTTTGATAACATATGCTGAAGCAAAGTTTATTAGCAACATCATATCTTAAAAAAAAACATTGAAACTGGAAGACACAGACTTGCGCACACAGCAATATACCACTTCTGTAATACTTCCAACAGTCCTTTACAATACACAAATCTAGAATGTCTTACCTCCCAAATCTGTCCTTTTTATTGAAGTCTGCACCAGTATTTAGCAGAAGATTTAGGCACTCCAAATTCCTATTAAATTAATGCAATATCACTTGTGATTGCAAATTTTATTTCCTCAGAGTTAGTCTCTGCAAATATCAGAGCTGCTACACATATACATTTCAAACATTATTTCTGATGAAAGTGAACTATCACATGAAAATTCTGATAAGTATATTTTTGCATGTAAAATAGATTTCATAGTTGCAGGACCAAATTAGGAAAGACTATAAATTACTTCAAGTCCATATATAGAAATTTTATTTATGTCAAACGACATGCATAAAGCACAGAAACATTAACCAAATTCAATAGAAATTTCAATTCTTTAAAGCAGAAAAACAATAACACCTGCACTTCACATGCTTTTTGCTACCAGGATTCCAGCACAGAGGCAAGTTTTCACTGTATATTTAAGGCCAAATATAAGTTGCAACATAAATATTTTACTTTTTAGTGTAATTCATTTTCAATACAGTATGATCATCATAATATATGTACAATACTGCTTATTGTTTAAACACTCTTAGTAACTTTCCTAAGCTGAAGATGAATGAGGGAATGTGCCACAAATTATGTGCTTTTATATGAAAAGATAGCATTTTAACCTTAATCATTTGCAACAAGGATGCATCTATTAAGTATCTTTTGACTTAAAATGATTACTTAACGGTGTTACTTAAACAACATTGAAACAGAAAAATGAAAATATCAATATCATGGAGTTCTTGTGTCCCACAAAGTGTATCATGAAATTTATTACCCAATTCTTCCAGGCAATTTTGAGTAGCTGCTATAGAAAACCTACAATACAATAACAATAATCAATATGGATCACAACTCAAGTGATGAGCAAGTAGTTCTGATTGCTTCATCCACCTAAACTCTGAAATTTAATTATGGCTTTTAATTTAGATAGTTCTTTTATTCATGGATTTGGTAAAAACATATTTCCCAAAGTTGCTGTTCTCCACCTCATGTCCTACAGTGATCTTATCTGAGCATGCCATCTCTGAATGTTGTAAATCCTAAAAATTGTATCATCATCCATGGGAATTTGAAATAAATCTCAGTTCATCCCCAAGCATAAGCCTAAGGTAAGGCTGATGATACCTGGACACTGTACTCCAATAATTACTTATTGAGCTGAATATTTAATTTATTTTTTTTGTTTGTAGATAGAGTCCATCTTGAAATTATTTTCATCTTTACATAAATTCCAAGGGGAGAGGACAGGAAAAGCACAGAGAGGAAATAATAAAAAGAAGAACATAAATGATCAGCAATTGAAAACAGAACACTAAATATGAAAGCATGAATGCTTTTTTACATACCCTCCAGCTGCAGCTGCATGAAGACAAGTCCTGCCAAAGTCATCTGGTGTGTCAATGTCAAAACCTGCAAACCAAGCCTTTTGTAAAATCATTATGTAACACCACCTTTCACAAAACTGCTCTCCTTTATCCTTAAGAGAGATCCTTGCTAAGCAGACTTAACAGCTACTTGCAAAAAAGCACTTAAGCACTGAAAATTTACTTAATTTGAAACATATTCTGGCTATTTGTAATATTTTGAAAAACAGGTGTTCAAATAAAATTGAAAGGGGTAAAGACAATTAGCTGCACTGAGGCAAGAGGCTATATTCTTTCCTATACTATTTGCCTTCTAATATTTCTGTGTAATTTTGTATTGAATGTAAAATACACAAAGGTTATAGGAAAATTTAAGAATATGCTAGGATTTGTCAGGGTTATGCAGAGATATTTTTTTTTTTTAATATAGAGGTGGATGTCAGCATTACCAAATTCAGGAACTACCTAAATTTCATCACTGAGTTGAGCTCTTTAGTCCCACAGAAAGAACGTTGTTAAGCTGGAGAGAAGGCTGTAAATAGCAATTACTTACAGAGAAGCCCTTCAGAGAACACTGTGGTTTTCTCTACCCAAAACGTGTGACTATGGAACTTCAAATGTGAGATCACAAACTTTAACTGTGCAATTCCATATCTAACCATATACTGTGACATGAAGATTACTATTTACATCAGGTTTCAAAGCTCAATTTTTGGTTTAAGAAAACTGCTATATTCTCTTAAGAGTCTTGTGCTTGTGTAAAAAAACTTAGTAATTAAATTTCCAGTTTTGGTACTTTTGCCTGGGAATGTTTTTTTTTTTTTCTTTTCTTTTCTTTTTTAAGAATTGTTCAACGATAAATAGTGAACAATGCAGGATGTGTTATTCAAGAGTACTACTGTTCAAGACTTTTGCTACTCCATATCCCTCAAAACACAGATTTTTGTATGTGCCACTATGTTCTCTTCCTATCTAAATAGGCAGTAATATACAGCAAACAAGATAAGTTTATTGATCTGATGTGAAAAGTAGTCTTTGAAACCTTTCCACATCCCTACCCTAGGTTGCTTGTCTAACACCACTAACTACTTAAATGTCATTCAGTTCTGGGACAAGGCAGATTGATTTTTTTTTTTTTTTTTAAGGTCTGCACATGAAATATTAATGAATTTCAAAATCAGAGATTCTTAATTTACATAAATGACTCTTCCTCCCCAAACCAAAAGGACACACAGTCTGCAGATCCTGTTCCCTACACCAAGAGCATGTATTAATACATCTAATAAGCTGTTAGCAGTATCTAGTCTTTTAATTCTGAAGGCTGAACACACTCTTCAAGTTCTTATTTGCTCCGGGTTGGTTGTACATCCAAGTTTGCTTATAACTCATGTAAAAGTCACAGAAACCACTTGCAAGTCTTCTGCAGGGATTCCTTTGCCATACTGAATCTCCAGGAAGGGCACAGCCAGCACAGCACCATGTGCAGAAAGGAGAAAGAGCCAGAGTATTCCTGATTTTGAACACATCCAATTTAAATACAGTCAACTATAGGACAGTTCTTTTCTGGAGAGAATCCTTGCAAGTTTGTTCATGACAGGACAGTGAAATAAAAAGCCTTACCGATGGTAGTTTTAGTTATAATACTTTAGTTCTTCTCCCAGGCTTCCCTAGCAGATAATATAAAGCTGGAGAAGCAACTTCTTAGTCTTCCCTTTTCCCAACCCTCTGCCTCCCACTTTTGTTTTTTTCAAAAATCATGGAAGTGCCTTCAGATTAACGTAGAACCATTTGGTTTCTTCTTCTGTTCCTGAAGCTTCCACAATCCTTCAGACAAATCTACTTTCTCAGAATTGCCATGGTTCAAAGAGCTCAGAATTCACACCAGAGCAGACTCTTGGGACAACAGGGGAAGTAACAACCTTACAACTCTCCCCAGTTTCAAGAGGAGTCAAACAAAGAAAGCCAAGTGCAGTTTGGGATGCTTTTAAATTGCAGTGAATCACCAGTGCAACGGTTTCTTAATGTAGCAGTCCACAGCCTTCAGAGCTATTAGGTGCTCGGTACAGGAATAGATAGGAACAGACAGATCGGTATTAATCATGGCAGGGAAAGGGAGAATGGTCCAGGAAGCCATTTAGGAGAACATTAGTCTTTTCCCTTGAAGTTGCATTATGGCTGAGCCAGTCATCCCACCTCTATGGCCAACTTAATCACACAAACACAACATTTAAAAAGTTACAGACTCCTTATCATTTTTTTTTTTTTAATTACTTCTGTGAAAGTTTGCATTCACTTAATCTATGGACTGTCCATTAAAAATAACAAGCACTGGCCCCAGGCTACTAGGAAACTATAAAGATTTTTATGCATTACTAAATTAAGCCTTAATTAAAAGCTGTTCTGTGGAATAAAAAACAAAGTACAAAGCAGCCATAAGAATTTTTAAAGAGTATCCTACCTGATGAGAGGAGCTTTCTGCAGCAGTCTGAAAATCCACTTAATGCTGCCAAATGGAGAGGAAACATCCCATGTATACCCCGCCTAAGATACACCATAATCAGGTATTACAGTTTCATTACAGTTAAAATAAAACAAACATGATTGTGTGCCAAAGTGCACATGCATGGTGGGTTCAGCAAACCACGTAATTAGAACAGTGAGCCTTGGGAAAACTTCCCGTATTAAATGCTTTCTTACAAGCTAGCAGGATGCATTAAGTCAGTGCAACAGCTTATTAAAACTTTCAGAGCTCTTACTTCAAATAGATTAGAAGAAAACCTATTTCTCTTTCTTTTTGTACAAAAGGCAATGTATTGAGTAGCTACTTAAAAGTACAGTATAGGATAATACACAAAGTATTCCCCCTCTCAAGTTAAATATAGTATTTTAAAAATTATGCTAGTCTTGTTATTCTAATAAACATATTTCTAAATTCTTTCAGCTTGCATTCATGTCAGTAAAGTTACCTACTTTGCAGTGTCAGCACCACTCGTAATCAGAGTGTTGATTAATAGCTCATGACCGTATCTAGCTGCTATGTGCAAAGGAGTATTTCCATTCTTATCTTCACAATCTATTTCAGCTCCTATAATAAAAAGCATTTACTAAGTAAGGATATATGTAGGCATACAGATTCTTTTGTTAGAAAAACAGCACTGATGATAATTTCAGCAACATTAACAATTAGTTGTCCATGTATGACTACTTTGGATTTAAAATCTATACAACTTTTAGTGGTATTTAGTATTAATAAGCAAAACAAAGAGAAGCCCTTTATTATATAACTGTATGGGACAAGCTTTCTGCAACCTGGGTTATAGAAGAGAAAATATATTTTCCTGCATTCAGAAAAATAAACAGATCTTCAATGCAACTTATCAAACTTTAGAAGCAGATTTGCTTCACCATTAGTTGAACTACTACAGGATACATTAGATATGAAAAAAATTCAACACACTTATTAATACAAGAGGAGGAAAATATTCATAATACTGGAAAGCTGGTGACAAAACTACTCCCTCCCCCTTTTTACCATTCTGAATGATGGTTTGAGATCTTGAAAATCTACCATGGATTGCTGTCATGTGCAAGGGTGTTTTCCCATCTTTACTCTGGAAAAGAAGAAAAATAACCCAGTGTTTACTTGCAGCCTGTAACAGTAATCCACCAGAACTGACAAAAAAAAAGGACATTCTTTTACTTTCCTCTCTTCATTCTACTCCCTCCTTTAGATTGTTTCTATGCACTTCTGCAAGACGGATGCTGGCAGTGACAATTCAGCCTGACATGGCAAGCTTTTCAAAAGAGCTGCTCTCAACCACTCTTCCAGCTGTGAGTGACAACTCAGTGATGCCCACTCACTCACAGTTATGCCTTTAGAATAATCACTCTCAAGAGGATGATGACAGCACACAACTTTAGCAACAAGCCTTTGTCCAACTCTTCCCCCTCCCAAGTCTAAGACAAAACAATGCTGCTTTAAATTAAGTTTGTTTCTTGAAAGAAAATAGCTGTATTTACTATAGAGGTTTACACATTATGTTGGAAGACAATGCATTAAAAAGCTCATGTGTTTCACGGAAGTTTCTGTAAAGTTATATTGGTAAGCGACTTATTGTAAAACATGAGCAATCTTAGGGTAGAACTTATTCAATCATAATTTGTACTATACACTTGATACACATACCAAGTACGCACTTAGTCATTCAGCCAGTAAAGATGTCTTTCAAGGCCAACAGTAATGCATAAGAGAATTTCAGTTTTTAACAGCACAATGTCAATGCACTTAACAAAACCATTTTTTAATGTTATTACTTAGGATTATTTTTTTACCCTATACTTTATTATAGGTAATGGAAAAGCTTTACAGCAGAAAAAAGTTCCTACAAACGCACACAAAAAATTGCAAACATGACACTCACAGAAAAAAAAAAAAAAGCACTCTTGGATGCACACACATACCACAACTTTGAATTTAAAACATTGGCTTTGAAGAGTATGAAATGTTCACAAAATACTAAGTTAAAAAAGACAAAGATGGTAGGGGGAACAGAGGATATGAACATACGAACTGATATATCATGAATGGCTGTCATGTGCAAAAGTATCTTCCCATCTTCACTCTCCCTTTGGAACAAAATGGCAAAGCCTCTATGGATGTGTTACTGAAAGCCTTCTGGAGACCCTTTAGTTACAGTTGGATGTAGAATTTTTAGTTATGTCACCAAACAGAGCAGCATACACCACCTAGAACAATGCAATTATGGGAAACTTTTTCTTCTCAGACCTAGATTGAAAGAAATAAACCACTTGATGATGACAGCCAAGTTACCTCCAAATGTTTCAGCTAGTAGATTTTGTTGACTGTAAACAATGCAAAAGACACATCCACATATTCATAGCAGATGCAAAGAAACACAGAAAATGGGGTTGAAATCCACTTGAATTGAACAATCAATTTTACTTCTTAAGAAAAGACCAAATAAACACATCGTAAGTGATGACTTCCCCAAGCAATCTCTATGCTCTGATTTTCTTACAAAGAGAACTTTCTTCTAATGTCTACCTTTCATCCTTCTCCCTGTGGTTTAGTTCTACTTTCTTTATCCAATCATTAATACTCTCCGTGTCCAACTGTTTTCTTCTTTTAAAACAACCATTGCACATTCGGTGTCTCTCTCAGTTGTCTCCTCCTTTAAGATGAACAACTAATTTAAAGAAAAAACTATCATATAAAATAAGCTTAGTTGGAGTGAATGACCAAAAGCTGCTTTGGTAACTAACATTCTAAACTTTAAAAGGGGAAATTTTGAGAAAGGGAGGAAATAAATTAGTGAAATAACTGACAGAATAATAATTAAGGGTTCAGATAAAGAAGCCTGCAACCTCACTGGCTCGGATATGCTAAATCTGTATGTCAAAGGAAGGCTAATGAAGAATAAGAAGATGGAGCAGAAAAAAATAGATCCAAGTCACACTGAGCACATTAATAAAGTATCTTACAAGGACATAAGAATAACTTAAGGTGACAGTATTAGAATCTAAGGAGCATGGTGGTCAAGCGAGCCCTATCACAAGACAACTTGACTATGATCTTGCAAAGGACAGCAAAATAAGCTACAAAATAATTTTCTAGTTGTAAATGAAAAACCACAGTACAATCAGAAATGGATTTTTACATTTACTCTGCTCAGATTTTCTTAAAAATGCACTTAATGTAGATCTCTGAGACAATGGATTTGATTATCCACAGTGCCTTTCTCCAATATAGCAGTCTCAGGTTTCTTTGCAACACAGGAATAACATAGCACACAACTGTCTATCAACATATAAACACAGGCCAAGTATAAAATTAAACGAAAGTGATAATTTCCATGTTGATGCTGAACTACTAGAGATAGGATTGCATTCATAATTCCCTTCTTAGACATTGTCACTATAGGGAAGGATATACAGAATCACATGCAGTAACCATTGCCTCTTTAAGCAATGAACAGCAGGGCTCTATTTATTGAGCAAAGTACTGTTTCCTGAGATGCCAGGAAGCAAGGAAGTATTTTCAAAACTTCCGCTTCAATTTCCTTTTTTCTTTGCCTTTAAGATCTTCTACCTAAATACTAAGTTAACCACAGCTGTCTGATTCTGTGAGATCAGGTAGGATCAGAGCACATGATAGAATAGCTAGGGGCTAGTGATAAGTTTTGTTGTCTTCACTGAAACTCAATTAAGTGTGGTAATAGGAGAGATATCATCCAAATCTCCTCTATCACTAGAGAAAATATATCCCCAAAATACTTAAGGTCATATGAAATTTCTAAGAACAGTAATTGCTATTAAACAGAAAAAATTAACACACAGAATAAGGTGTTCTCTCAAGTGATTACTCAGATATTAACTGTACTCAGACTACTGAGCTTTACTGAGGGTCAGGGGAAATGTGGGTCTATCATGTTCCAGCATTTGTCCAAGTGAAATCTGCCCCTAGCAATAATTCTTATGTTCTACTATCACCAATGGAAGTTAGATACTTTTTCTATTTAGGTCACTGAACTTTCAAGCAGCAAGGGGGCCCATAAAACAATTAATACTATTCCATTAAGTACTCATTTCGACATGTCCTTCCATGCACAGAAATCCTGAATAGTGAGGAGATTGTGCTGCAGTAATAAACAATACTTAACAGGATTCATTCACTGTTCTACAGTACTATATGGACACCAACAAGTATAAAATGATGTCCTCTGCCTACAGAGGTGATGAAAAGTATGTAATATATTTCTACCATTCCGTTATCTTCTCCTACATATTCCCTTCTTGAGATGAGGCCAGCATCCACAGATATTCACGACCACTTACCCTCCATGTGCCATCAAGAATAAGAGTGTTTCCCTTCTGCTCTCCTGACTTGGACACCCACAGCAGTACGTGCTCTAATAGCACCATCTAGTCTGTACCTAGATTACCATCCATACCCACCGTTACCTCTAAAACCCCACAAACAGTTGCCCATGGAAAGGAACTATTGAATCAGATCACACATGCAATATACTTATGATGAAAAATAAATCTTTAATTGTAAGAACTACTTTGAACTTCAGCCTCAATATCTGGAAACTGAACAGGCTTGGTTTCAATAAAAACTTAGTAAGAATGCCCTAAAAGGATCCCATTTTAACTCTAAAAATGATTCTCAGCTACACAATGTATTTTAATTCAATTTCCCTTTGCTATTTTTTAAGGATTGTTCTCCTGATTAAATACAAGATTACTATCCTTACAGGACTTTTCAGGGAAGCTGAAGTTGACTTGGAATGGATTTTATTTTGCCTCAGTTCTTGCACTTTTCAACAGTGCAAGTAGTAAGTTTTCATATACAAAATAAGGCTGTTCACACCTTCAGGTGCAAATTCACAGGCCAAATTCAGTCATATTGGTATAAATCCACCTAAATGCTATTAACAGAATTACAATGGAAACACATGTTGGTAGGGAAACGGGGTAAATGCTGTTTTCAAGCTATAATTGCTTAAAATGCATATAGAACCCTACTTGCTTAATTTTGCACTGAACAGTTTTGATACTAAAACAACACATTTTAATTACAGCCAACCTATAGCTAAAGCTAGTAATCCTTTCCTCTGTAAAGACATTTTCTTCTGAAGCAGGATAATTTCAGTAGCCAAAACTTTAATAAGCTCTTAGTCTTCAGCTGAAATTCTCAACTCTCTGATGTTTCAGGTTGCATTTCCCAGCCTCATCACTATCATATTTCAGAAAAAATAATTGTCATCTCAGAGTAAGCTTAAGAGAAAACCTGGGTTTAACCATACTAAATCTTCTAAGAATTTTTTTTTTTTTTAAGCTACAGAAGCCAACAAATCTATACTTTGGATCCCATAACTTAAAATTGAATGGGAAGAAAGGAAACAATACATCTCTCTGTTGTTAAAGCACCTTTTTTCATCTCCAAACAAAAGTCCACCCACATTATAAACAACAAAGAATTAAGGAACTTTGCCAGTCACTTTGAAGATACTAGCCACTCTTTGCACAATTTCTAAGGTTATTTATTGCTATAAGTCACTAATTGTAGTGAGTACCTAAGGGTATACCATATGTAAAACAAAGATTCTTATTTCAAGTTCAAATATAAAAATTATTGTAACGTTTAACATTGTTTAATTATCCTAACAGAACACTGGAATTTTAAAATTTTAATTCCTTGCCTACAATTGAGGTGTATTTGAAAACAAATAGCCAAAAAACCCCAACCACCATTACCTGCTGAACATCCTTCTGAAATGATGTCCTCCCCACTTCTTTCTTCTACATCAAAAATTTGCACAAATTCACGAACCCTTGCAACCCAGCATATAGGAAAACAGTAATTCTTTGCTCGGTAATAGTTTTGTTTCTCTTTTGTTCTTATTTGTGTCACATACATATACATAATCATTAGTATATTTAACATCGTGGGATTATTTTCATGACAGAACGTACGTCACTGGGAAATGGTGTTTCAAGAATGTAGGACAGAAGTCAGCCCTGTAAGGCTAAACCTTATAGTCATATCCAGTCTGGGACATTAAGCAGAGCAGAAAGCTAGCAACAAAAATAAATGGACCATGACCTGTGTATTTTAGGACAAGTTGGCAATAAACCCTGTAGCACAGCTCCTTACTTCTCCAGGGCACTTTGGTGATGAATTTTTCCACAACTGATTTTATGTATATTTAAACGTGAGCAATGACACACATCTAAGATTTTTCCACAGCGAATAGCTTAAGTTACTCCAGATTTTCAGTGGGCTACGGATTTTGTACTAATAACAGATATAAAACTGTATTGTAGAATTAGCTAGCTGAAAATCAGTGTGAATATCTTACATGAAGTGAGCCACAAACCCCATGATTTTTAACAGAAATGTTAGCTATTCTAATATTCACCTCTTATCCAGATTGTGCTGAAATTCAGGCATAAGTCTATTAAACAGATTTATTTATTTTAAGAAACAGAAGAATAGGTAATTCTCATCCTACCACACGTGGGCAACAGTACGGGCAATTAGATATTTTGTAAGAGGAACACTTGGACTCTTCATTCCACATACCCATTTCCCACTTCCCCCAGTCTGAAACCTGCCAATACACCAATTATTGCCACTGAATATTTCCGAACACATATTTTCATTACTGGAGTAAAAATCAACTTAATGCAGAACAGGAGGTCTCACATCTCTTTCACATGCCAAGACCTTACCCTACACACTTGAGAAGATAAGAAAAGATATAGGTTATAGCTTGCTTTTATGCTTGTGTGGATTAGAAAACCTACCTACAGTAAGACTGGATTCTAAGGAATATTCTGCAAAGACTTGTGACCAAGTAGAGATGTAAAACGTATACTAGCCCTGCTGACAAAATTTTGCTGGAGTCATTAAAAAAAAATCTACTTACCTTTGTATTTTTAATACACCCTTCACAACTCTCCCTTATTAATTAGATTTTAGGGTATTACATTATCAGGTCTTCCACTGCTCTACCAATTAGTCTGTCCATACATATTTCTTTGAAATATCCTTGATTTCATTAATGCTGCTTATTTATAAGAAAGTCATGTTGTTATTTTGCATGTTTCCATATGATTTATTCACACTCATATGGACAGACTAGAAAAGAAAAATGATGAGGAATTCTGACACTGAAATATAATCAAGATTGACCAGAGAGTACTGTCATCTTTCTTCTTTATCCTTTTGGGCTATTTACTATATTCCATTGAGGTTTTCAGATTCAGATCAAGTTCCTTGAAGCAACATACTGGCTCATTTTTTCTATAGTACTTTACACAGAAATTTTCCATCAATCAGTGGGAACTTCTAAATGTTATCGTAACAATGATATTGACAAGTTATCTCTAATAAAAGACGTACTGCATCTTTAAGAGTGAAGAGATGGCTTTGGATTCACCTACCTTCATATTTACATCGGCTCCGTTACAGACCAAAAGCTCTAAACACAATGCTCCGTGTGTTGACGCAGCAGCAAAGTGCAGAGGTGTAAAACCCTTCTCATTCATTTGATTTACATTAGCACCGCAGTCTATGAGTTCATTCACTACAACATCTTGCCCGTTGTAGCAAGCTACGTGAAGAGCAGTATTTCCATAGGCATTTGGTTCATTCATCTATCCGATAAAAAAAAAAAAAAAAAGATTAGTTAGTAGCCAAAAACCTGTCTTACTGCAGCGTTTAATTATGACAAAGCAAAATCCTATGTCATGAGACAACTTCTTCATTATGTTTCGGGACTCTCCAAAACCAGAACTTAAAAGCAAGTTCTGAAAGTAGTACTTTGATCCAGAAGTGTGTACCGCGGAAGAGCACGACTGCTTTACAAGTGAGCCAACCTCCTCCTATTGTCTCCACGCCGGCTTCCCGTACGCAGCAGCATGCAACGTGACGGAACACACTTATGGGAAAAAAGTCAACAGTGGCAATTTGCACAGACACCACAGACTAAGCGCAGCACGGACTTCTATCATTTTTCAACAGCATCTGTGGGTTTCCGGCAAAAACAGAGGCCAAAGGGACTTTTTTCTTTTCCTGGGGTGGGGGGAGTGGGGGTGGCTGGCGGTGGGGGGTGTGCGCACGCACGCGCATGGGTGTGTGTGTGTGTGCACAGAAGTAGAATTAGTTGTGGTGAACAACATGATACTGAATTCTGATCTACTTCTCCAGACAGAACTTTGGCAGCATTCTCCAGCCTTCTAAGGCTGAAATGTGATTCCCAATGTGGATTTCTTACACAGTTTCACAGTTTGTTGTTAACACGCTTTCTACATGCAGGTCCTGTACAGCCTTTTAATTTATTTTGCACTTCAATATTAATATGGCCTTCCTTACTGTAGTACTGAAGTTTCTCAAAATTTTTAGTATTTCTCAAAGCTTACAGGGTGTAAGAAAGTCAGTAACACCTGTATTTTACAAATAACTAAAGCAAAAGAGTTTAATTTCCTGCAGTTCAAAAAGGATGGTGTGGCAAAGCTAGGAACGGAATTCCTACTTCCTGTGTTCCAGCCCAACGAACTAAGAGTAAAAAATACCAAATTAACAAAAAACCTACTAAATACAAATTTATTTCCAATTAATTGTTCAAAATTTGCAAGGCTCTTTAGTTACTTGGGGGAATCAGTTTTTTTAACAAAAAAAAAAAAGCAGGCAAATGAAGATCTTTGGAAATACTATTTTTGCTACATCACAGCCTGCTCCTAAATAAACAGTGTGCTACAATACCAACAAGAGCATTTCAAACAAAAGGAAGTATGTATCACTTTGTTTTATTTCTACTTACATCAACTCCCAGATCTAGAAGATATTTGACTACACTGATCATCCCACTAGATGCTGCAGCATGTAAGGGTGTATATGATTTCTTGTCTTTGCATGTCACTTCAGCTCCGTGGGCCACGAGTAATTTCACAACTTCAATATGACCTAAAAAAATAAAAACCAAAAGAATGAAACTGCATTTTATATTAACCAGCATGAGTTTACAAACTTAATAATTGTACAGTTGTTATAATGTGAACAAGACATTATTCATTTGGACATAATCCGGCAAATGAAGGACTGTTCTTGTATTCCACTTGTATTGCGTATCTAACTACAACATAAAATACTGATCTCCAGAAGACTAATAATCACAGTATTTATACTGCCAAAATAATCTCGTATGTCAAAAAAAATCATCTTGTCTTCTGCTTACAAAGAAGGATTTTTGGGGAAGAGTTGAAAACTAGGGAGGTGAAATAACTTCGTAATAATTAAACATTTACTGCAAAATTAGTCTTCCACCTTCACCTCAACTGCAAATGTACCTAGTGAGGTTTTTAAGGCCTTCAGTAGAAACTCTGAAAAAACTACACAAATGTGAAAACCAGAAAATATTATATTTTTAAATAAAAATATATCCTCCCCCCATCCAACTTCTTTTACTTGCACAGCCTTTAAAACACTGACCCAAATCATACAGGATTTAGCAAAGCAGTATCTTCCAAATTGCCTTGGGCCTCTGAGTAACCGTAGCCTTTTCGGAGCATCAATTATCCTCCTAAGTCACCGGGAGGAGCGTAAGAGCTGAGCGGTATTGTGGGGAAAGGATGACCTGGGGGAAGCTCCAGGGAAGCAGGTGGAAAAGGGACGGAGAGAGGGGAGCCCCCCCGAAGCAGCAGGCAGTCGCTCCCACTGCCAGCTTTGTGGCTGGGGCCGCTGCCCCAGCCAAGGGCAGCCAGCTCTCCCCGTCCCCGTGCCCGCATGCTCCCCCCCCTCCACCCCGAGCTGTGACACTGCACGCTGAGAGACAGGCTATGAAAATGGGGTAATCAAAAAAACCTGTCATTCTAGCTCAGTTGTTAACCCGTGGATAATTATGACGAAGTCTGCGGAATAAAGGAGTGCCCTTGAGTTAAACAGACGATACGTTTAGTGCTTTACCTTTGTAACTGACCAACAGACAGATGCGAGATTCTTTGTTTTACCTTTCAAGTGGTAGCCTTACCTCGGTTAAAAGGTGGTGAAGGGCATACTGACTACTTATATATGCTTATCCAGTCAGACATGTAAGTAAAAAGTATCATAGACAGTCTTCAGCTTCATAAAAGGTGAGGGTCTTTGCTTTTTTCAGTGACTAAGAGAATTTGAAAAAGTTTGAATAGGAAGTGTCTATCCAAAGGAATACAAAGCTATTTTGATAGATATTCAGTCACCGCGATACCTATTTTATGCTGCATGCCCACCAACATACAAAACAACATTTCACCCAGCTATACCAATCAGAAACAGAGTTTACCAGCGCAAAGTGAAGTGCTGAAACACTCCACTTCTGAAACACTTCAGTATTGTAGGAAAGAAGAGAAAGAGAAACGTAAACATGAGACTCATCTTCTGACCTAAACGTAACAGGGACAAGAATGAAAACAAGCCCTATAGGATAGACATAAGTACAGAATGTATTGAAAGCAGTGAGAGGAAGAGAGACACTGAACAGAACAGTGGCAGAAAAACTTCAAAAGAGAAGAAAAAAACCCTGACCTGCATTGAAAACGCAAGCAGCAATCAGTGGAAGACACTCAAACAGAAGAGCAAGGTAGTTGAAGTGGGAAGCGCTGAGGAGACACCCCGATACACTAATGAGGGCGACGCTAGCACACGAGAATGAAAGTCCATTTTAGTCGCAGCGCTGCAGCTGGACAGCAATGGAGCCGGGTGAAAAGCAGGAAGGAAGGGAAACAATGGGTATAACCCTAAGAAGTTATTTATAGCGGAGTGTCAAAAAGCATAACTTCTTTTTTATTCTATGGTCAGGTTTATATGGTGGCAAAGGTTTAAGGCTTTCTTCAAACAATTGGAGCTGTGTAAAATGGCTCTAAATTGTGAGAGAAAATGTCATCGTTTTTTTTTTCCTTGTTTGAAGACTTTCAAAGGCTGTTTATTGTCTACAACGATATTTAGGCTGATCAACATCAGATAGATTACATTTTTCCCACCTAAACACTGTTCACGAACAGTTTCCTGTTAACAGTCTATGAAATAGCACTGACTAAAACTAGATTAAGTGTAGTTTTATCTGAAAAATTTTATCTGAAGACTTTTCTCTTATCTAGGGGAGCACAAGCCAGAAAACTTCTATGTCCTCTCACTGATGCTCGTCAGATCTCTGCCATCTCATGCACAAGTTTCATTCCACAAAATTTTGCAAATAATCACCTTCAGTAAGGTGGTTGAACAGACTATCACAGACATTGCTTTGCATATATAAGTAGATTATAAAATACTAACACAAAATATCACAAAGAACATTGCTCAGTAATGAAGACTGTTCTTTAACTTCTCAGATTCAAGTACTAGTATCAGTACTCGAAGTGTGGTATCATACAGCTTCAAATCACAACTCAGAGTATTAACACTGAAATGATCACTTCATAATTCACCGGCACATTCAAGTCTTCTCCTCTGAATGCATCTCAACAGGGTCCTGTCGTTCCTTTTAGCATTTCACATCCTTATTTAACATTGCTATCAGATTATTTCAGACCTGTACCGTCAGGGACACAAAACGAATGTGAAATTGGCCTGGAACACAGAGTTACGCAAAGAGAAGTTAACAATTCTACTTCTGTGTGAATCCAGGTGTTTGTGAGAAGAACACTTTTACAACCACCGAGATCTTATGAACAAACTCAATTTTGTAAATGTGTGGTTTTGCATTTGTAAAGACCAGAATTCTCAGTCCTTGGACCAAAGCACTTACTATACAACAAACAATTCATTATCAAACCCCAAAACTCAGCGTAAGGTTTTTGCCGACTGTATTCCATAGAATTACAGAATGGTTTGAGGTTGGAAGGGACCTTAAAGCTCACCTAGTCCCACCCCCCTGCCCCGGGCAGGGCCCCCTTCCCCCAGCCCAGGGGGCTCCCAGCCCCGTCCAACCTGGCCTTGAACCCTTCCAGGGAGGGGGCACCCACAGCTGCTCTGGGCACCCGGGGCCAGCGCCTCACCCCCCGCACAGGGAAGAATTTCTGCCTTAGATCTAACCTAAATCTGTCCTCTTTCAGTTTAAAACCATTACCCCTTTTATTTAAAGAGGTACTGCCCCACATGATATTGCTCTTTCATTCTGCTCAGTATGTAAGGTTAAAACTCTATTTTTACTTTTAAGTCACTTATTCTATTTGCTCTTCCCTGTGAAAAACTGAGAAACGTTGCTTAGATAAATGTAACAACTCCAAAGCAGTTGCATAAGATACTCAATGCCACAGAATCACAGATGAGAAATACATTTAATTATCAACCTTAAGTCTGTTTTTAAGAGCCACCCCCCATGCATACACACTGCACAGTATTATGCCTATGTATAAGTAATTCTCTCATTCATAATAATGAACATGAATGCCAGAATGCATATTGAAGGCCATTTTGTCTAAGATCAGACCTCCAAGGCAGAGTTATCCTCGACTTAGAGACGTCAACTTAATAAGTCCACATAATTTCCTAGCTTATGTGTGTTTATTTTTTGGCTTGATATCAGACACTGTAAAATTAGTTTGTTTTACTCAGGGAAGGGGCAGTATAGAAATTGCTATCCTTGTACATTAACTTAAACGTTTGTCAAAAATACACAGTGCTCCTTTATAAATCCTATATATAAAGGTTTTCACCAAAACAGTCATTCCAAGTAGGATCTTCCTCTTATAGCTGGAACAAAAAAGTTCACATCTTTATATCACCTCTGGCCAAAAAGCTGCCATAAATAGGATCATTTTTCCTTCCTGACTGTTTTTCTCTAAGTTTTGTAAGATGGTATCTTAGGCATACAGGTACGCATTTTCTGGAGAATTAAAAATTCTGGAAAATGCAAATCATCAAACATAACAGGAAAAAAAAATTACATATAATGAATTCTTATTTCCCCATCTCAGCCTCAAAGAAGTTCCCAAGCATGCAGATTCATACAATACTGATGCTACTGCTTTTATTCTTCTCCGTTGGCTGGATAAAATTATGAAGCAATAAGATAAAATACTGAAGTCTTTGTCAGTGTCAGCCTAGAACTCTTCATCTGCATTTTCTAGGATTTACCTTCCAATTGTTTATATTGCTCATATTTTAAATAAGGCTTGAGATACAAAGCTCTATTATTTGTTATAGCTATGTTGAAGAAAACAATTCCTACCACTTAATAAAATGAAAGTCTGATAAAAGGCAATGAAGCACATTACTCTGATAGTACTGCCAGTGTATTGATCAATATCATGACAAAAATAATTATCCACTCCTGTAATAAGGATCACAAGGCAAGAATCTGGAGATTTAAAGATGAGATATTCTTCTTTTAAAATACAATCCCCAAGGTTGGTGTAAAGATCCTCTGTTTCAGGTACTCCTTGTATTAATTGCTTACGTTGTACTTAGCATTTCTGCAGAAGTTTTCACCTATGATGAGACTCCTGATAACTAAGGAGCATAGCTCCTTTTTAAAGAACAAAATCACTTACCTTATGTTTCTTTTTCCAACAAATTGATATTTCTTACCACAAATACACATTTACAAGGCAATTTGTAGTATACTATTAACGGTTTTCTGGCAGACACACAAGTAACCTCAAGACTTACAATGAAAATATTTTTCCTAGAAATATATAAAAACACTAAACATAAGGTGATTTTTTTTTTACTAGCACAATTCTAATCAACTGCAATATGTACATACCCATATACGCTGCCCAATGTATAGCTCGTCTGTCTTTCTTGTCAAATGCATTAATGTTGGCGCCTCTAGACAACAGTAAGCTAACCATCTAAGAAAAACAGAAAGAAAAGAAATCCTTTATTCATCATGGAAAACTCTGCTTAAAATTAGACAAAGAAACTCATAGGAGAAAACAAAAATATATGTGTTTTCAAAGGACTTAAATATGTTGGTTTTTGAATATTCCATAAGCGTGAGAAAACTGGCTGCCCACCTTGGCAGCAATAGCAAAGTGACTGTAAGAATACAAAACTTGGTGTCAACAAAAACATTTCCCACTTAAATATGGCAAAGCTGTAGAATCTTTGAAATCTTCAGGCTATTACTAAGGGATTCAGTAAAGGTAATCACTAAAAACAGGCCTACTGCAAATTTGTCTCCAATTACCTAGACACAATTTCTCGGGGTCATTTTTCAGGGCTTGAAAACTACTGAGTTAAAGCTTATTATGTGTATTTTCTCCACATCTCAGTGACAACACATTCCATATGCTCCTTATCTACTGAACAGAAAAACATCTTCTTTTTTCCATTTTCAATTTATCTATTACTAGTTTAACTTCACTTAACTCAGGCAAATTTGCTTCTGTCTTAATATGAATGCTGTAATAACCTTCCAACTAAATGATGTAATGTGTATTTTCCACAACCATTCTGTACACAGATGCATACAAAAGACAAATTCAAATGCCAAACAGGGGCTGGGGTTTTTTGAGGGGATGGGGGAAACTAAACATCAGATATGTGAGGGACAGAACAATGAGTGGGAAACAAGCTAAAACAGTAACTCTTACCTCCACGTGTCCACTGAAGGCTGCATGATGCAATGCGGTTCTGCCTGCTCGATCAGACACATTTACGTTGCTTAGGAGAGGCACCAAAGCTTCAGCACATTTCACAGCTTTGTTTGCAGCTGCTATATGTAGGGGTGTCTGCCAGTTTTTATCACGAGCATTGACATCTGCTGAATGCTTTAACAACACCTGAACAGCATCCTGAAAACATTTACAAAAAAAAAAAAAAAAAATCAAAGCCACTTAGTAAAGATATGAAATGCCAGCCTTAAATCCAAGGACAGTGTCATGGAATAAAACTATTTACAATTTGATCTTTTGTAAACATCACTTTATTCTTTGGGATTCATGCTCTACCATAAATCCAGATTTGGGGATGTTCTCAAGAACATGAGCAATATACTCCCTACAGGATTAAACTGAGTCAACTGTTTCCAGGTCTTTTATCCAGTTCCTTAAACTGGCTGGCAAATTGTTTTGTCATCACAACTAATTTCCAAAGCTCAGTAAACCTCCTTGGGATTTCTCCCATTGCTAAGGATTACTGAAGTACTACAAACTTATAGTGCATTTTCATCATTTTGCCAAGCAAAATATTTGAACTGCCAAAGTCTAGAAATGGCAAAGAAAAGAACAGCTTATTAAATGTATGTTTAGAGAACCACAGATAAAACAGAATGTGGTCACGAAAACTTTCAACATATACTGTTGCAAAACTCCTGAAAACCGTTTTAAAATGTTGCACTGAATTCCATCTCACAGAAAGATTATTCATTTCCTTTTGTTATAAGCACAAGCTGCGAAAATTTGACAAATAAGACTAATTCTTACAGCAAGATAAACAAATCCCATTAAAATACGTGCACACAATTGGAATGCGTTAAAACAAAAAAATCTGTTGGCAATTATCAACATGATGATGAATACTGCATTCTCCATCAACTCTGTGACCTTCCCACAATTCATTAATTGCTATCAGTGACTTCCAACTCAAACACTGAGCACACAATAAATGGTTGGCACTTTGAATTTAAAACATGTTACCAGAAGTAGTTACTGGAAATTTCGAATTACACCGTGGTACAATAGTCAGGTATTATTCTCAGCCATGAGCAGAATGTTAAGTAACATGTAATTCTATTTGTTACAATAAATTGTATTAAAAATGTTCAAATTTATTCTACTGTCAATAAAAAAGAAAATAGGAACAAACATAGAAGTGGAAATACTGCATCACATGCTTGTAATTTAAAAGAGAAATGGAATAGCTCTTTTATTCTCTAAGAAACTTAAGCAGCTTTAGTAGTTTGAAAATCTATTAAATACCTTGAACTTTCCTCTTTTTTGAACAAAATATTAAGAAAAACCCTAATTGGAACAAGGAAATTTTAGAACAGTTATTATCCCTTTTGTAGAAGGAAGCACCGTCGTACTAGTATAAAAATAACGTATCTTATACACATATGCATTAAAGAATTTCAAGAATTAGTGAATATGCTTAGTTTTTTGTATTTTTTGTTTTCAAAGTACACCAGGTACACAAATATAAAGGCCTGGAGCGTGACCATCTTGACATGAAGTTGCTTGAACTTGAGCAGTTGACAGCTAAATCCATGATTCCAGCTGTTTTGCATGTTTCAGTGCACTTGTTTAATTGTAGCTGTTCTTGCTTCAAGAGTAAGTCCAGATGTTTTACTGAAATTTTTATCAAGAGTTTTTTCATGACAGCATTTTTCATCTAATGCCTAAAACCCATATATGTCTGTCAGCTGGAAAACAGTGCCTACATGCATCAACCACATATGTGGGCTCCTGTGACTTACTGTGTTTATAAATAGAAAATTCTGACAACTGCCTATCATTGCCTTTTGGGTAAATAGTCTGATTGGTTTACATGTGTTGCCTTTGGTTAGTATTTTGTTTAAAATATTCCACATTTAAAAAAAAATACGACCATGGTGACATTTCTTGGTTATGATTTAGGTCTAGTTTGTCTGCAGCACTCCTCTCTGCAAGTGTTACTGATATAAGGAGCTTTTATTGTCCCTCAGCTGTGAATAATGTAGCATTTGGTGCTTTAGTCAGCTCCCAAAGGAGCAGTCTAAAAATACCTCAAGAACAACAAATAGCACTTGGGAATAAGGCACCCTCAAAGATTCATTTTAAAGCACTGTTTTGAATAACACAATCTCCACATAACTTAGCTACTAATGGTAGTAACAAAATATTGCAAATTTATCCAGGGAATTCAAAAGCAAAAACTGAAACAAGGCGTGTTTAGACAGTTCATGGATCAAATACTTAATGATTGTCAAAAACAAAATATTCAGTTCCATCTTCTAAAACAAAAATTTACACAGAATCTTTAATAAAACCTTTGGTTTTTGAGACCTGATGAAACGAGCATCAATTTGACTCAGGATCTCAGAGGAGACAGTTTTGCATAAGCTCTTCCACATAACAAGCTCAGTGTTTCTCTGTTTTGATCTTCTGCAGGCATTTAAAATTTTTATTATGACATCAACAATAGAGGAACATTAACAAATTCATTTCTTACATTACTATATTCTCACAACTGTGTAACTGATAGACTTCAAAAAACTTCCTATTTATTTAAGTGATTTTCAATACTATCATTACTCATGAATAGCTTTTTGTAAAAAAAGATGTTTGCAGGCCTTATGGAACCATTTATTTCTTCCATGCCTGAACAGACAAGCATGTAAAAAAATGAAGAAACGCAACGATTACGCTGTGAAAGCTGTACTAAATCTTAATTCACCTCTACTACTCTGGTCACCTCAAGAGAAGTAAACTGGACTTGAGAACACTGCATGCAGAATCCTCTGCCAGGGGAATGGCAGAGAGGAAAGCTGAGGACTGGAAGTTTATAGTTTTCCGCTTCTTCCTATTCAGGCGTATGATATACAAATAGACATAGCCTCAACAAGTTAAACAAACTGTTGCAAAAATGTTCTGCAATTGCAAACATTTGGAGTAGTTTCACTTTGTAAAAATCAAACAAAGAACAGAAAGGAATTTGCAATGTCTTATTTTAACACAAAGCAATCAAAAAATAAACCAAAAAACCACATACCTCACTACAAGATGCCACAGCTCTGTGTAAAGGAGTCAACCATTTGCTGTCTTTGGCATTAACTCTAGCTCCTGTAACAAAAAATAATAACAACAGAAATTTAGAATATATTTACGGAAAGTCTTAAATATTTTCAAGTACAGAGATAGAACTATTAGAAGATACTTATTCTAGGCTCATTAATACAGCATGATGCCAAAAATGGAAATAAGTCTTTTTTCCAGCTGAAGTCCATCCTTTGAGGAAATTCTTTTAACACTGTACCCATAATACTCCTCTATCAAAGTGTACTCGTCTCCTCAGAACTACGTAATCCTCTATGTTATTTTGCACTTCCAAAGGCACATAGAAGACTGTTGGGTAAGAAAGATGAAGTCTTTGCCTTCATTCAACAAGAAAAACCTCATACTTTCTCACTATAGTTGAAATTCTCCATTAAAATAGAGAAAGCAGCTACATTTACTCCATATCTTTAGCCATCTTTATTTGAAAACTGCTGAGACTTTACAGAGATGTGATAGCTTGGATAAAATGTAACATTTCTGAAAAAATAGTTTGGAAACACTGTTGGAAGGAGTTCACAGAGCAATATAGGGTATATCACACCGTAACATTAATGTTACATGGTCAGAGCTTATTCTCAGGCTAAGTATAATAATGTTATGTCAGAACCAATTTTAATTTTCTCTATGCAAATAATAGAAAAGGATGGAGAGCCAGTAAGACAAAATGTCAAACAGGCTGCTGGTCAGAATACTCAGCTGAGAGACAGGATATTTTGATCCAAGTCTCCCAGATCTGCACCAGTAAAGAAGTCTCTCCCAGTCCACCTGAACAACCTGACCAAGAAACTTAGCTGTGGTTGTATATACTACGCAAACCAAAGATTGGAAGACAGTTCTCTGAGTCAATCAGTTTCTAGTCGATCCATCCCTTTCTGGCTGAAGAACACAACATGGAAGCTGATGCTGGATCCAACCTCCCACAGTGACTCTAGGTCTTCCAAGTGCCAGACAGAGCCTGAGGTCTAATTGCTGGCTACAATTTCAGGGATTTCCCTCTTTCCTTATCCAAATTTCAGAAGCTTCAGATGTCAATCTATTTTCCAAGTTCAAAAGTTTTTGAAAAATAAGTTTGAAGGAATAGGAAGAAAAACTTCTGTTAGACTGTGGGGGTTAAGAGACTTAATCTTACCATAAATATCTGCTTTTGTCAACCATCATAAGCACCTAGTGTACTGCACCATTTCCTGTACCATAACATATGCAAAAAAATAATTTGAGGATTCTAAAAGTCACCAAAATATCCTAGGATTTTTGGTAATAGACAACGGACAAAAAGACAATAACCTGAATGATCAGTAAGTGAGAATGCAATCAATATACTTCAAACATATCTGTAATTCTTGAATTCTTGTCTTCCAGGCTATTATTAGCCACACCTTATTTTTAGCCAACAAGACAAAAATAAGAGCCAAACTGGTACTCCAAGATCCACCTGACTTCACGTCTACAGCTAACAACCAAGGAACAAAGACTTTTAAAGCCTAAATGATTTATATTTCTAATTTTAGGATACAAATCTCTCCTAAGTGTTTTAAAGGAGTTAAGGGAGTTACTAGGTCACTAATTGTCATCCTGATTTTCCTCAGCATTTGTAAACTCTGAGGTTGGGTCAGATCCACTCAGGAGAAGAGCCATGTCCAGCAGAAGGCGAGGGATGCATGTTTCCAACCCAAGGAAGTGGCAGTTACCTAAGTTCTAGTGAAAACATGCTTAGAGTCCAAGCTGTTATTGTGGGTTCAGCTAAGTCGTTCACTGATATTTCTGATACTTTAACACACAGACTAAAAATCACATGAGAAGAAAGCAGGAATAACTATAAAAAGATAATTTACAAAAGGTTTTCCCAGTGGTAAGTTAATCAAGATCGCTAGGACTAAAGGAAAAGCATGTCTGAAAGTGTTTGTTGTTTCTAGTAAGAAAGAAAATCAGCATTAGCTGAAGAAACGCCTAAGGAAATTTGAAGCGGTATCTAAAAGTAACATGTCCTCTCAAAAGAACAATATCAACACAATAATATCTGCCCTCTACTCTGTAAGTGATCTTCTACCCAAAAAAGCAAGAAAGCCTAGGTCTAGTACATTTCATAGGTAAATTAGAATAAGTTAACTTTTCAAATACACAAAAAATTTGTAGATTCTCTGACAAAGAAAAAAACAAAGTTGACTTTTGACAAAAGATCTAAATCTGTGATGGACTTACTTAAGTAAGAATCTCTAAGCTTGCTTCCCCCCCCCCAACAAACAACTGTTAAAGGAGTTCCAGAATTGTTAGATTGAAAGAAAAAGTTTTTAAGTAATCCTCGGAATAAGCGTATTACCAAAAAACCACGTATGTACTATTAATGTGTGAATTGGGAGATCTATAGCTATAGACATGTTAAACTAAATAATATTTAAATTAGCATAGACCTCCCCAAGACAACACATTGCCAAGAACGATTTACATTTCATAAAACAGCCTCTCCAAACAGCCTTGTATTTGAGGACATAATCCCCTCTAGGCTGTTCTTTACTCCCTAGCACATGATTTGGAGAAAATACCACCTTTTCCCCCACCCCCCCTCAGATGCTCTCCATGTGACATAAAGCTCCCTCAAAACTATCATACTCCTAACCGTGCAACAGTGAGGAGTTTTATAGCCTTCATCTGCCGGGGTAAAGCTCTACTCCAGATCATTGCAAATAAATGTTACAAAATATGTTACACATTTATTGAGTATCTTTTGCTTAAAGATGATTTGCTTCACAGTTTGCTTAAAGACAGTTTGAACACATGCATGTATATAATTCACTGTGCAACACTGCTGATGCAATATTATCTCTGTAAAGCTCAACCTGCTGACGTGTTAACCAGGGCATTTCTCACATTTCAAATGTCAGTTATGCAGCAGTCTGCTCTTTCAAAGTACAGTGCAGCCTACCTCAATCCCCAATTTGCAAACAAAAAAACCCACCAAACAAACAAAACAAAAAAAACCCACCATACTGGATCTTCCAGATTTCAGGGGGCTGGTCTTAACATTAATCAAAACTGCTCAAATATTTCATTTATTTAATGTAAAATTTCATGTATTTCCATTATTTTAATGCCAGAGAGCTTGCAGGAAAAGGATCTGGGTGCTTGCCAGTGATATCAAATACAATACTGCAACACAAATACCCATCATCTTTGCTTGAACTTAAGAACTGATTATGTAAATGGCACTCCCCTAAAACTGCACCTTCCAAACAAACCAACTTATTCACTTTGGTACGCTAAGCTGAAATATTAAACAAGATCTTCTCTTTCATCACCAACTTGGCTAGTACAGCCTAGTAAGTTCACACATCTAGGCAAATATGAAAGCAGGATTTTTGTTCTGCAAAAAAGGGGGTGGGGGAAGGAGAAAAGCATTACACATTTTTCTTCCCTCCTCCTTGAATCTGACATTCCAATTTGCAAAGTTGCATTCTCAAGACTGACAATCAGAAAGACACGTTTAATAAATGTAGTACAGAAGCTACTAAAAAACTCAGTGATGCTTACTTTTAGCAAATTTATGTTTCAAGTGAAACGTTTTCCAACTCAAGACATGCACCAATTTACAGAACGATCCCAGAAACTTTCATTATATCAGTCCATGTCTGGCAGTTGCACATTTAAATGTGCTATTAGCCACCAACACCCGGATGTATGTTTCTGCAATCCAGTCGCGACTTCCTTGGTGTCAATATCCTTACATTTGCACAAGAGCTAGCATCTCTACCATCTCTTGAAGAGACAGGCAATGAATGACTGAGCAGGAAATGCTGCAAGGAACAGCCACATACCTCCTCCTTCAACCATGAAGTGCCATATAACTATATACAGCCGTGTCTCAGCACATCACCTCTGTGTTCCTCTTGTAAGAACTTCTGCTGTGACTCTCTTCCCAAGCTACTCCGCACCAGAACTCTTCCTATTTGTAAATGTCCTCGGGAGGCTACATTACTTATGCATCACTAGTTGGAAATAAGATTCAGAAAAAAAATACAACAGAACCGACAGGACATTTTCATCTTCACTCACAATACTGTCTTAAGTACTGAATCGCCCTCCACTGTTCTGCTTCTAATCTGTATTTTTAGACTGTCAAAGACGGTATTTTCCTTTGTTACTGTACAAGACGTGCTAGCAACTGAATAATATCATGATGTAAGCAAATAAAGCAAAAGTGTTTTCATACACATATGCAATACAGACACCTGATGTTCAATATTTAAAGCTTTGAAATCTTTATTTAGGAGTAATAGATGTAAAAAAGATCTTTAGATTGCATTAAAAAAAAGCTAACTAACTTTGTCTTAACAACTAGTATACTGAAGTAATTTTAGGAGTGATCTTTGCAGAAATTAGGAAGACCCCAGATATAAATCACTGAGAATAACCAGCTATCCTACTGTAATTAGATTCTATATAATTATTTTCCTAAGTGCTAGTATTATCTTCACAAAGTTTTCTATTTTAAATGATCCACTTTTTATATAGAGAAGATGACCATGGAAGTATTTAAATTGGCAAGCAAAAATTCTCAGACTACACTGGGGAATGAACAGATGGAGAAGAAAACTTTTCCTTAGATAGAAAAATATGTGAACATTCAGGAGGAGATGAAGTTTGTAAAGTACATGAAGATTTGAGATATGAATTGGAGCAATCGGTAATAGACATCTAGGGTAATTTCCTATTGAAAACTTGGATACTTGGAAAATTAACGCTGCAAAAATAATGATTCAGATGCTATTGAGAGAAACCTTCTTCCTATTTATAAGCTAAACGCATAGTAGAGGATCTATAGAATAGTGAAAAAAATCTGAGATGGGCAGAACTGAAATATCTTTTGACCAGCCACAATGATGTTTCAACAGCTTATTTTTATTGTTTAAAAAACAAAGCAACCAACACACCCCATCCCCCAACCTCAGAAGACACATGGAGATACACTGGCCACAAAAGGGAGGAAAGGAAACCCACAAATAAGTCAAAGCCATCCTCCAGAACTTTGCTGCCTTGTCAATATAAGAAGCCAATTTCTTTTCAGAACGTCACAGTTTCTGTTGCATCTCAGCCACCACCTGTCCTTGAGCTTCAGAGAGCAACATGAGGTTTTTGGACTCCTTGAGCTACTGAATGCTTCTACCTTTTCATAAGCCAGCTTCATTTTCTCTCTCAAAGAGCATCAGAGCTACTTTCTTCACAGCAACTGTTACTGCTGCCAGAGGGAAGTTAAGACAGCTCAAAAAAGAAAACGGCGGCCAACATCACTGTCGAAAGAAGAGGAAGCGGCTGAAAGATAGAGGCAGTGCAGAAAGAACCCCCGTGAAATGCCTTTGGCATGGGGGTACACCTGCGATCCAAACAAAGCGCGCTTCACGCGGCTGTATTTTTGCAGCAATAGCCTTTCAACAGCTGAGCTGTGCAACTGTCTTTGCATGGACTTTTCATACTTGCACAGCTTCGGAATTAGGTGAAAGAAATGCAGATAGGGTGGAGTAACGTTGGAGGGTCTTTACTATCCTTCAAAATCTGCTATTACTGTAATGATAGTTTTCCAGTGTCAGCACAATTCCTGCATTTTCCAGCTGACCCAGAAGAAAGCACAACAAAAACTCACAGGCTGCCAAAACTTAATGAGATTGAGTTTGACCACACACTCATGTATGCTGAGCAACATGCAGTGAAAATTTTGGGTTACACAAACAGAAATGTGTTGTGTTAGTATTTAAGTATCAAGGCAATATAGTAACAAAACCTACTCAAAAGAAAACAGCTGATAATTCAGATGTTTATTTTCAATAATTACACTGATTTCAGTGAAAGAAGTAATAGTCTGAGTGGTATTTTAAAGAAAACACATGGAAAAAGTTACTAATCAAAAGAACACATTCTGGGATCACATTAATCTGTCCTCCTCCTCACATGTCACTTGCCTGCAGAATAGGCTCTGAGGGCATTTAAAAAAGCATAGGACAATCAGAAAGAATTATTTTTTATAAAGCAAGAAGCCTCCCCAGGACAATTCACATGCAGGACTTAACAAAAAGAAGGGCTTGATTTTTTTAATCAGGACTTCTTGGAAAGAACAAAAAGGTAGACATTCAGTTAATTGTTGTATTTTTCTACTACATTCAGTTAATTATTGTATTTATTTTTCTACTTCTCAGTAGTTTGCCATCAAGTATTTACACAATTAAAGTCAGTGCAGTTACACAAAATAGACAGATGTATTTGTGCACCAGGGTGCAGAGTTGCACGTACATCATAAAAATATGACTGTGATGGGTGTTAGGACTCTTCACAGAGTAATGTAAAAAAGAAAATGCTTCTAAAATTACCATTCTCAAGTGACTAAAATATAAACTTTTGTTCCATCATTCTGAATGCTATAAACAACCATCTTTATGCCTCTTTTTCATTTACTGTTCACCTCCTTACCTAACAAATTTAGGAATGCTATTTATCTAGCTACAATCTAACAGGGAGAGATGATTTGAATATTTTGACTTCCACAGACCATAGTGGTATGACAATTTGCTGGCAAGGCATTCACATCCTCAGGGGAGAAGTTTATTAGTGTTCAGTGAAGCACTGTCCCGAGATAAAGAACAAAAGGCAATCTAAATGTCCTGCCTCAAACTGGAGTCGCTGAAGCAATTTTCTTTGATGTTCAGAATCTGTATTCAAACCATCAGCTTCAGGTCCTATGCCCAGGTGAAAGACTACAGGAGGACAGGTCACAGAGCAACCTTGAGGTTTGGTGGGAAAATAGCTTAAGAATTCAAAAACTAAATATGCTTGTAAGACTAAAAACCTATTCCACAAAAGTCTGCAAACAGGCCAAATCGGTTATATCTTCAGAACGTGCAGTATGGATTACTTAGGTCTACAGAAAAGTAATATAAAGAAATTGTAACAGCAATGTATGATTGAAAATACGTACTTGAAAGCAACGTGGATCCCCTGAAGGGAGATGCAAAAGACTCTCCAATCAAATTAAAAAAATCCTATGTCTAGGTAACGTATGATACACACTTTAACTAAGAATAATGAGAAAGAATCAGTTAAGAGCCACTGACTAGTGGCAAGATTAATACTGACTTCAGTAATTTTGAGGTCCAATTTGAAGAAAGAATAAAAAAGTCAAAGCAAACAGTCTTTGTAGGATAGCTTGCACAACAGGAAAACTGTGAAGTGGTTCCTAGTAATATTCCAGCAAAACTACATCAGGGGACATAACGAGTTGCAAAGCCAAGCTCTCACAAGGTGAGAAACGCTAGGCTGAAAGTAGTCTACACTACTTAATTCAATCTCTTGTGCAAATATATTACAATAGGTCAATTAAGGCCGCATACAAAATTTTTACATGCAAATTTACTGCACAGAGGAGACTGTTGTTCAGAAATGTTATTTATTCAACAAACTATTTTCTCATTGTTCAAAAAGAGGTCTTGCAACACGGCAAGTGTTCTTCAAACCTTGCTGTGGCAACAGATGTTCTTCATTTGCTCCCTAATGCTCTTCTATTATGACAAGATGTAATATTATACAACTGTCTCAAAGGAGAGATTTGATTTCCAGCTGAAACACAATAGATTAATTTTCCTTATCTTTATGAAATGGAGAGGATAAATACACTTAACCTCTGTTCCCCATCTTCCAGTTAAGAGTCACAAGACAAATCTTGGCTTTCGCATTTTGAGACACCTAGACCTGATTTCTCAGAGAAGTAGCTGGTGCAGCACTTCAGATACAGCTGTGAGTGTTCACACTTCACAAACCATTATGACTTCCAATTCAGCATTCAGAAATGAGGAAGACTAAATTCGTGACTACTTTTGAAGAGCCTGGTTGAAGCTGCTTGTCTAAAACCCCAGTTTGCAAGCGGGTAATACACAGGTTAGTGGCCAAGCACGGCACTCCCTTTCAAACCGAACAGCCTTTAACATACAGACATCACTTTCTCATCCTGCAATTAATGCCCCTCTTCCTTCACTTACAAATGCATCGACAACAGGCACCTGTGCCTCCTTCAATGCCACCAGCCTGAGGCATTCCCAGCATAGCCCCACCACTCCTGAAACTCATGAGGCTGTGCTCCTACAGCAAGGCACAAATGTGCAGTTGAAGTCCACAGCATAGCCCGTGAGCACAGGAAAGGTTAGACTGACACTGTCTATACATTCCAGAGCTTCCAAAGCTTTTGATTTTGCAACTATTTAATGCATTGTTTTGTGTAACTAAATCACGATTTTCATTGAATAAATGTTACCTGAGACATACCAATGCCTCCCAGTCTTCTCGAACAACCTGCAGGCACAGCAGCACCCCACAACCTCTCCTCCATGCAACAGCTCAACTTTGGACTATTTGTACAGCCCTAATTCTTGGTTCTTCACTTCCCTCCTTTGTTCTCCGATTTTTCTTACACTTATCCCCAGGCTATGTGCCCAAATAGCATGACTAATGCCATCCCCCAATCAGGATCTTGTCTCATTAATGTCTGAACTAGAATCTCAATCCTTCCATAAGCCCTTTGCCCAAGAGAGAGACATTTTCTTCAATCACAACTCTGATAACTGGACTCTGTTCACCCAACACAGTCAGAAGCTTCACTCCCAGTAGCTGACTACATCTTTTCAAAATCTATAAGATGGTTAGTCAGGTTGGGTTTTTGTTTGGCTTTGTTTTAATCACTGTGAAAAAACAAAAAAGAGAAATCTCCTTGCCAAATGCAAGATCCCTTTTCAGAGGAAAGGGGTCATTATAAGTTTTCAAGAGTCACCAGAACTTGTTTCTTTTCTTGACAGGGAAAACCAGCACCTTCTCAGCAACACAGGTGAACTTTTCTGGACAAATTAACACTATAGGATATTTTCATTAGAAATATATATATATATATAATATACATAATGTATTATTAATTGTAAGTGTACATAATTATATAAAGAGAGTACATATATATGAGACAATTATATCTTTCTAAATTATAGCAAATTAAATTGTCCCTGGCAATTTCAACTGAAACTCTGAAAGTAATACCTACAATCTTAAAAGTGACACTTCCTTAAAGCAAAGTTTGTTATTAAAGGTTGATGGGGGGGGGGGGAGGTGGTGGTAGTGGAAATAGCCAGCTTTGCACAGGTAAGGTGTGCCATTAAGTAGACTGAAGTTTAAAGTAGCTCTATGAGACTGTTATAAATTTTAATCTATTTAACCTCAAAGCTCCATCTTATGAATTCAGCCTCAAGCTACCCGATGGGTAAATTTGTGCAAGATCAAAGACAGTCAGTTCAGTATCTGTCATGAAGTTCTGCTTTCAGGTCCTTTTGGTTGGTTTGGGTTTTTCTGGTTTGGTTTTTGTTGCTGGTTTTTTGTTGTGTTTTTTTTTTTTGTTTGGCTGTTTGTTGTTTTTTTTTTTTTTAAAGTTGAAAGTATACTGTTTTACAGAACTTGCACTTTGTCTTCGTATCAATAAATAGAAAAAAAGACACAAGAGATTTTAAAAATTTCAGTTGATCCTAATTCTGTCCTGTGTATTTAAGCCAACAGCAAAGAATACTTAAAAATAATATAACCAACTCTGGATGCCATCTTCTGTGTTCAACTTTAGTTGTTCTTCTGAAGGCCATTTCAGAACCAAAGCAATACTGCTAACATCTACCTACAACATGACACTATTACTTCTTTAAATTAGACTTAAACTACCTAAAACTGATCAAGCTACAAATAAAATCAGCTATAACTGAGAAAGCTTTCTACAAAGAAATATTTTAGAGCAGAACTACACAGTATTATAACACTGATAAGTCTGGAAACCAAAATTTCAGTACAGACATCTTTAACTTCTAGTACATTAAATATCTCAATAAAAGCTACACAGACTAAGATGTACATAATTATTTCTTTGGATGTACATAGAGGTTTTTTTTTTTTTTCCATTAACATGAACAGAACATACCAGATAAAATAAGTAGTTCAATAATTTCTGCATCTCCCAGATAGGCAGCAGCATGTAAAGGGGTCCTTTTCTCATTATCCTGTGGTAAGAGGGGGGAAAAAAGGTTTTATTTAAAATAAAAAAGTATGGTTTAGCATTCTGTATGAGTTATGAAAAAACACTGCATAAAAGTGCATCTTCCAAATATTGTACATTTTAGATTTTAGAAAACATATTACTCTAAAGATGTTAGTCATATTTACTAAGACCAGCATGCTTTTCCCTAGGGAACTCTTAACAGCTACACAGTCAACTAGTGTTTTCCTGACACACACAGATTGACAGATGCTCATCTTTATATTAATCCATCAGTTAGAAATCACCATCTGCCTATCTCCAGAGTCAAGAACTTAAAGCTGTCCTACACAAAAATGGTGTGTCACCTTCATATGCAACAGTGAGAAACATTTCCTTTGGAAAGTTTAAAGTTAGTTTCAGCAGTTATTTTTTAAATGGAAATGGAAAAGAAGCTGGAGTGGGTAGGGGCAAGAATATTGAAATCCGATTTCAGCTGTTTACTGTAAATAAGCAAAGAGATGGTAGAGATGCAATTTATTTTGCGGAAAACACTCCAGAGGATGCAAGTAAGACCCAGCACTTCTGATTAGTTCACGCTGATAGAAGGTCCTTTTGAAGGTACAAGTGAACTTACTTAGCCATACAAAATATATACTGATGAATATTCATTTTTGGAAGACTAGCACAAATTTTTTCTCAACTCTTTCAGGATTGGTGCCAATTTACCTGCACCAGTTTATAGTTTAATCAGAAAAATACGATCAGTTTCACATCACAGTGAGTGATAAAAATGAACGAAAACCAACCAGTTTGCTCTCTGAGGAAAGGCCACTGAGATACCAGAAAAGAGACGGATCAGTCAGCATCCTGGTTCTGGCCTAAATCCTGCTTAGATGTTTAGATATTTTTAGTACTTTCAAATACACCAGGGGTGAGGGATCAAGATTATAAGCAGCAAGAAATTTTAGGTTGCAAGACACTTCTATTGATTCAACTGTTGTGTCACAATTATGATCGAATTAACACACATTTTAATTGACATTTTACGGTGAAAAGAATTCCTCTCCTTTGCCAAAATAACCTTATTCAGTGAATCCCTACTTGAGAGCTAGCAGCATACAAGAAGAAAATTAAAGTTCACAGCAGGAGAGAGCTGATAGCAAAATTAGAGCTGAGACCTGGGAAGTCACTTCTAAAACACACAAGACAATTTCAGAACTTTGAACACTCAAACCCTCCTGAGACAACACCACCACACACACAACCCCTCACCCCAGCCAACCCAGTCCCTGCTTCTATCCTGCTCAAAAAAAGTCAGTTACACAGTCCCCATCCTATCAGTGCTTCCTAACATAAGTTTTTGAACTACACACAAGTAATTCCAAACTGAGCAGTGCAAACCTGACCCGGATGCACGCTGTGTAAAGAATCAATACTACTTACTTATCACGAACAACACATAATGCCTCACAGTACCAATTACTTGCCACTATCTCTCAACTGCAGATTACATACGACTAAAGACAGCCCCTGACACCAAGAACTGCCCATCTAGGGGACAAAAACCAAAACAAAGCAAAAAAAAAAAAAAGATACACAGAGAGGAAGTACAATGGAAAAAGTAATACACATATTAAACTCACTTCCCCAGCCCAAAGGCAATAACGACCATCCAGAAATGAAAATCAGCTTTCATTTCTCCAGCCTGGAAAAGCAGAGCTATTATAGCTAGCTAACATTTTGCAACCCCATTTAAGCCTTTTTGATAATGCTGAAGAACCTATGACCTGCAGATTAAGGAACACAGAAAAATTAGTATGATAATCTACTGCTGCAATTTCATTGTAGAATTAGAGAAAATAAGATGAACCATGAGTATGCCCTTCTGTAGAGACAGTATTCACTCAGGAACAAATGCAAAAACTGCATTCCCCACTTAAAGGGCAAAACTCATTACTATGAAAATCTTCATCGCATTTGCTATGGTGTTGGTTTGGGTGTGGTTTGTTTGTGGTGTGGGCTTTTTTTTCTTTTTTGCTTCTTTAAAAATCTCAGTGACTGAAGTCATGCAGGTAACCAGTCCAATATAACCAGATATAACCAGAAATTTTCCAATAGATTCGTGGAGAGATGGGAGCTGTCTGTGTAGAAAAATACCAAGCCCCAAATGTATTTTCCTGAAACATCCACGGTCCAAATTTCTGATAAATTCAAGCCACGCTTCTCCAAAAATCCAACCTCTACCAATGGAAATCGCTGAGCACCCTGAAACCACAAATGAAATCTGAGTAAAATAAAATAGAATTCTGTATTTTAAATGCTGCTAAAATAGCTATACATATCAACTACTTTTTATTAAAAAACAGTAATAATTTGATGAATTAATTTCAACTGCAAATACAAACTACTGTATACAAAGCATTACAGTAAATGACACTAATCAAACTTCCAGTTTTAACAAGCAACTTTGGAAGCAGACACCTTGCAGCATTAATATATCATACTAATCATAAATACTGGCCCTAGTGTTATTCCTTTAGTTTCATAAACTTAAATGACACTAAAAAAGATTACAAGAGAAAAAGGGTTTTGTGCATAAAAGTCACTGTTACACATAATGTAAATTTAACACTGTTGGTACTATTTAATTCCAAATGTCGCAGTATTATTGCAGTATTTGACAACACAGAAAAGCAAGTGTTGTGCAATCTTCATTTTCCAATTCAAAAATCTACAACTCTAAATCAGCTGTAATGTTAGTAAGGAAATACATCACACTAATTGCAGTAGGCAGGTTTTACACTGATGAAAGAGAATGTTGGTATTGCAGTGGAAACAGCAAAGAAATTTTTATTTCTAATAAGAAGCTCCAAAGTTTAATTCCAGATATTGGTCAATGCCGTCAACAAGCTAAAAAGCAATGAAAGGGCGTGGTTCTTAAGGAATCAGTTTTCAGAATGGCAGTTCTGTGTCAGAAAAGCCCCGACATCGCATTTATATGTGGCTTTGGATTACATTAGATGGAAAACATACAATCCTTCCACTTGCAGTACTTCCATTTCTCAAACATTTAACCTGTGCAGGAGTTTCTATAAGGATTACGAGATGAGAAATACCTATGAGGCAGCCTTATGACCCTGTTAAAACCGAATTTGGAATAAAGTGACAGGGACAGTGGTGCTACAAGCTTCTTCATAATTCCTCTAACCTCGAAGAAGGGTAATACTGCCCTTGTTATATTTTACCTAAAGCCTAGGCTTTAATTTTTTGCTGGTTATTTCATGGATCAAAACTTCTACAATGGACAAATCTATGGCTAATTTAAACATGCAGCATTCAAATCCACCTCTTTTTCAAGTAGTAAGTATCCTCTGAGATATAACAATTTATTTCTAGTTTGGGTTCAATCTCAGCAATTGATTTAGAGTAACTACATACAACTAACAGTGTTTTACGGAACTAGATGCCTTAAAGGTCGATCTATGTTATCCCATACATGCCCCGTAAGACTCCTGTAACCTGACTAAGGCTTCCCCAAGAATATATTAGGATATAACTTCATTCTGCCCTTCAAATAGTTCAACATCTACTGATCAAAAATCTTTGAATTATTTTTCAGAAAAGCATGAATGTAACACCCCCCTTCACAAAACCTCCTCTTTAATCTATCTGCTCTTCAAAACCAAATTCTGCAATAGCACTTTAAAATACTTTCATTATTTCTTGATCACACTTACGAAGTATCATTTAACAGGTGATTTCTGCTCTATCACTTGTCAGCTGTCTGTTTCAATACCATCTGTTCCTGGCAGAAATCAACTCTAAATACATGGTCATAAATCTTGAAAGAGTTTCAGTATATCCTGTAATAGCTTTAATAAACATTCCTTGTAAGTAAAACTATGTTCAGATACAACACTTCACTTAGTGTATTTTTGCAGTTAGGTTAGAGAGATAGGACTATGCAACCAGCACGATTTGTAACTCCTGGGTTCACAGATAATGTCTAAGAACACGACTACAAAATACTTCCAATTCTTTGACAGTGTCCGGTACCACAGAGGTCTCTCCCAGCGTCAAGTCCCAGCGCTACACTTGAGAGTCACTAGAACACTGAATTTTATGTGCAGATTTTGCTACAGGTTTTAGAATTACTGTTTTGTAAATCAGAATAATTGTCTATTCTAAATAATTTCTTTGTTCCTCCACACAAAACAGAACACATTTAAACACTTGGCTTTTATGTTCCAACTGTAAACTTCACAAAAGTTTAGTTTAGGTACACGATTCTATGATCGAGGCCTCTAGCTCTTTGGAAGTACATCCAACCACAAAAAGGTATCTTATAAAGACATAACTAGAACTTGATAATTAGTTGCATTATTGTCAACTGAAAGTAGAAGAAGATGATTAAGTGCTGGACTTTCAAAACTTGTAAATCTGTGACTAATTTTGTATCCCTACCTTGAATGTAATTAATCTGCTATTTCTTTGGATTTTTCTTCCCAATATTTCTTAACTCAATTCTCAGAATGCCACATTGTCAAAAAATTAACAAACTTCCAACTAATTTTAACCAACATCATTTTTAGAAAGACTTGTATTTTCTCACCATAGTTAGAGGCTTGCTTACTATATTGGAGCTGCATCTTAAATTTTAAATTATTTCAAATTTAAGATGCAGCTCCAATATAGTAAGCAAGCCTAACAACGTACAATAACGGTCTCCTGCATGCTTAAAACCAGAAGGAAAGCATGCCATTAACCCCAAAAATAGTACCTATTGCGTACCTAACCACAAAGTATCCTTTGAAGCCAGATTATAGATACATCGTAGTGAAAATTAGGAGACTTGTCACACTGATCCATTAAATGCTTGTGCTACTATTTGCCTAAACACTTGTATTGCATTTGAAAGAAACATTTTTTGAAGGCCTGGTATTAAGCTTTCACTAATAAGATTGCATCACTACACATGACATTTCAGGACATACCCTCTTCATGCCACCTGTTAGGACAAAG